GGAATGAGTGAAAGGGAAAAAATCTGATGATTCCTTTGTATTTTCATCTGAACAAGTATGACTGCTGGCATTTTAGAATCATCATATTCCCCTGTGTGTGTGTGTCCTTGCCACAGAATTTATCAATTCCTCAGAGGACTCACTGTTGACTAACGTTATATTTCACCAATTTGTTGTTATGCTTTATGCAGATTTTGCTAATCGGTCACCATGTGAGCTGGCATGCCTGTAGATAAGATTTGTTTATCTGGCACAATGTTTTAGGAAATTACAACTGTCAGGAGATTACACATATAAACTCCTATTTCCAGCTTCTTTTGAAAAACCAGAAGTCCTGCCAAGAAAGGACCAGAATCCCCACATGGCCTGCTGGTTGGAACTGCACACTCACTGTCGGTCCCAGCTTTAGAGCTGGCTACCTTCCCTGTGTGAGGGCCCAGCAAGCTTGCTTCATTCTCTTAACCATCACACAGACCTTCTTCCGCAGACCCTGGCTTCTCCTCATGCTTTCTGATGACTGTTGGCTTTTGTCCTTTGCCACTTAAAAATCCGGGAGATTCAGTGTCCCAGATACGGGGTGCAGGTGCCTCTTGTCAAGATGTGGAGTTAGAACTAGGGTTAGGCACATGCATAGAAGTATGAAGGAGGAAATTGGTGAGAGGAAGGCCTAGCCACAGTTGTCCACAAGTAACAGCTGTCTTCGGGATTCATAGCATGTTACCTGTTTTTAAAGTTAAATATTACCCAGTTCTTATCTGTCCTGCAAGTTGAAGATGGTTCATTTGTACAATTTTTTGTACATAGAAAACCATGGAAACCTTGTCTTGTGAGCGGGGAGGGCAACCTAAAGTTGACATTTCTGCAGGACCCCACACAAGGAGATATTCACCAAATATTTGCCCAATTGAATGAATAAACTGTATTTTCTCTCCCAGAGAAGTCTCTGCAAATTCATCTTTGTAAAAAATTAAAAATCTAAATAAGAGGTTAACTGTCATGCTGCATCAGTTTTTATTTATATTAAATGATGACGTCTGGCATTTCAGACTGTCTGCTAGGGAGGCCCTGTGTTTGGAGCCTGTGATTCCAAGGCAACAGGTGTGCTTCGAAGCTGTGTGCTTGGAAAAGTATAGTCTTCATTTGAATTATATCTTGTTACCTTTTGGGGGAGTCACTAAATATAAAGCACTTTATTCTTCCCACACCCAGATTAAGTACTTCCTTCCCAGTTTGTCCCAGTCCTGTGCACTCATAATTATTAGCAATTTAGCTCAGACTTTGAGAATGTAGGTTTGGAACTTGGATTTGTGGCATCAGATAATGGTTCTGCTCTCACCTGTCATGTCATTTTAATGCCTCAGAGTCCTTATATTAAAATACATTTATATAGAAGCAAATAATATATGTTAATACTATTATACATTTATTTCATCCATCCTAAGTGAGGATCTATCTAGCCACCCTCCCCCCACCAGGGTGAGGATCCATCCCAACCATCCCCCAAGGGAGTGGATCCATTTCAACCACTATTATATGATTCATACTATTATAAAGAAAAAAAAAACCACATGTAAATACTACCGCTAAAGCTCTATACATTGCTTAGAATGTAGTTAAGTTCCTATTACTGTTAAGTTCCTATCACTGTCTCTTTTTGTGTGCCCATGAGCTAATAATGATTTTTGCATTTTCAGTTGGTTGCAAAAATCAAAAGAATAATATTTCACCATGCATGAAAATTATGAAATTCAAATTTCAGTGTCCCTAAATAGAGTTTTATTGGGACATAGTCATCATTCCAGTTGACTCATGGATTAATATATTGTCTGTGATTGATTTCATATTACAATAATAAAGTTGAGTCGTTTTGATAAAAACCACCTGGCCAGCAAATTCTAAATTACGTCCTCTCTGTACTTTTACAAAATAATATTCTGACCTCAGTGTAGGGCAAAAAGCCCTGAATCACTGTGCTTAATGGTGTTAACCTTCCCGGGTTGTAGGTGGAACTTGCTCGTTGGCGTTGGTTGGTTCTTTCCATCCGTATAGGGGGCATTCTGAAATTGTGCTTGTCAAGAAGATGTTGATATTTTGTGGTCATTGGCCAAGAGTGGGGTGAGTGTGGGTGTGCTTTTTGGGCATACATTTTGATTCACAGATTTGGACTCTCCTGAGCCCAAGTGCACTTCTTTACCCAGTGAGGAGTGTCACAGACTCCTTTCTCCTCTTTGGCACCATGCTGTGCACATGGTCCACATGGGAGAACAATACACCATTAACGCCCTTCCTGGGGGTGGGTGGGTAGGTTTTGGAAGAAGGAACCAGAACTTAAAATGCATTTCCCACTCATCACCAGTATTTATCTAAGGTTTGAAAATATAATAAATTGAGTTACCATTGGGGTTTTTTTTTTGGTTTTTAAGAAAAACAGGGAATTGGCTATGGTTATATGAATGGTTTGCTTCTAGAGGAATGGGATTCTATCTATGTCATCTTTGTTTCAGTATAATGCCCCCAGGGAGCCTTTTTCAAAATCTGTTTTGCTCAGTAAATGAATGACCTGGACAAGGGAGCAAGGAAAATTATGTTTCATCTGGCAAAATTAATTTTCCTGTTAATTAATGCCTCCTGTTTTGCCCCTTAGCCACTGCTGCTGTGTTACGTTTGTCTCACCAAGCAAACCTAATGCTCTTGCATTATCATGTTCATTATTTTTGAACTGGATGCATCCCCATCAGTTGTCATATTAGTGAATTTGAGACTTGAGAGTGCTTTCTCTCTGAATTGACGCTAACATGCCCTCAGGTTCAGAACTTGCTTTTTTACCTCAGACACTGTGGGAATTTTATGGCACTTTCATGACAGTAGAAAACACTAAAGTTTTGCTTGTGATGTGAGTGAGAGTTAGTAGCATCCATTTATTCAACATCTGCCATCTTACTGTTTTTTTTTTTCCCACAATAATTTGTATTTTTCTATGCTGTCTTCCCAACGTCCCACCACTAGATCCAGTGAACAGTTTGTCTTTGATTATGTAAATTGCTTGGCAGAAGAAAACAAAAACAAAACAATGCCAAAAAATACCTACAGGACTTAATCTTAGTAAGAAATACATTGTGTAGAGCTTTCCTTTCTAACAGATGAGCAAATAGATGCAGGAGGGACCAGTAACTTCTCCGAAGTTGAGTGGTTGGCAGGAAACTTCTTGTCTACAGTGAGGTCTCTGATGGACATTCATGATTATGTGTCATATAGACTAGTATTTATATTTACCTTATATTATGCTATTTCTGGTCATTTGTTTATTTTTTTGAAAACAGATACTGGAGTTGAGAAGAGGGAAGTACCTCCCAGAAATTACTGTCATTCATATTTTCCTAAGATATCCTCATTTGTTCCTCCTGTGAACTTTACTTTTGTCTCTTCACTATGTCTGAGATCAGAGTTGCTCAACTCTTCTCCAATGGGGATCTGGTTATTTGGTGGCTAATTTGTTGATGTATACTTTGGTTTTGAGAGGAGGAAGGTAAGAGGTAGTACCTCATGAGGGGTCTCTTCTGCCTTTGCTTTCACTCTTGGAGGTAGGAAGCCTCTGATGTGGGAGAAACTTCTTGCTCTGCTTCTGAAGTGCCTCTGGAATATGTCTCCCATATCATGCAAGCCCACTTTCTTATTGTGATAGATGGAGACAATCTGTGTGTCTCAGATGCGGGGGCTGCTCACCAAAATGGCAGCTGCGAGTAGAAAACCAGCTGCTTCAGATACAAATGGGTCAGTTTATTCTTTCCTGATTCTGTGGTGAAAACTTTACCATATGTCCCCTCATTTAGAGTATGTGAACTATGGAAAAGTCACATAATGGAAACCACTAGTCGACTATATGTTTAATTCACAATGTAAGAAATCAGGAGAGGAAGAAAAGAGAAAACACAAATTTTTGGAAATTTAAGAATAAATGCCTTCCCTCTCCATTTCAAGCTCAGGGTAAACTTTCCTTCATATGGCAAATTGAATATGGTTTCTTAAAGCAAGAATGGAAGAAGGTAAAATAATTTTTCTGAAATATTTTTGTTATTGACATGAACTAGGACTGTTACTCTATGGAGATTTCATGTGAGAAGGAAATAATTTGAAACAACATAATTATACATTGTGTTTTATAGGTTCTACCATTTACACTCAATTACTTGATTTTTACAATAACCTGTGATTTAGGAAGAGGCCAAAAGCTCATTTAAGTTTACTGGGTAGTTAATGGTCAAACTGGGATTAAAACTGAGGTTTCCTGGTTTTTCTGTGGACTGAGAGCCCTGTTCCGCCATCACATCACACACACACACACATACAACAGAGCAAAGTATCTGCTTGTGAGTGGTGTGGATTTACTACCACTAGCCAGTATGTTTATCAGTGGATATTGTTGCTATTTAGATATGTCAGGGACAAGAGTTCAGGTATTCTATAAACTGTGTCATTCAAAATACCAGACTAGTACTGAGTTTAGACACAGAGTCAGGATATCTGATTATTCAGAAATTAATAGCAAGAAATATAGCTCTAGCCCCTGAAAGCTAAAGCTGATGATGAAATGAACTATGCCTGTACTAGAAATGCCAAAAGACATCATGATACTGGGCATGTGAAGTGTGGTGATGGAATAAGAATTCATACCTGCTCTTCCAGGTGTTCACACTCATTTATATTTTTAATGCATTTTTTCATCATTCCTTTTCAGAAATATATACCACATCCAGGGCATGTTGACATTAACTACAGCTTTATTTGCTCTATGAAATAATACAACTTAAATCTTTTAGCATGAGACAATTGTTATGAGATTTTAAAGTTCTCTGTATTTGTATTTGTTCTTTCCATACAAAGCAAACTGAATAGTCCAGTGATTATCCAGAACTTTTAATTGGATAAATGAAAACATTAATTACTTTGCCACATATGTCAGAGTGTCAGCTACTGAACTAATCAATATTTTTCTTTTATAGAGTGGGAAACCACCCATCAGTGATATGTTCACAGACCTCAAAGATGGAAGGAAGCTACTGGATCTTCTAGAAGGTCTTACGGGCACATCACTGGTAAGAAGTATCATCTTTGAAAACTAGGCTAATGGACTGTTATTGCAGCTGACACTTGAAACTTCTCTGGGGGTATTTTCATTGTAAAGGCTGAATCAGGAACATATGTTTATAAATGTTCCAAGGAATGCTTTGATAGAGCAATACAGATTTTCTTGTGGGCTCTATTTTTTATCAAGAGTAAAATTACTTTAACTGTCTATTACTCTTAGACAACCCAGCAGAGAATTGCAAAGAAGAAAGGATAATAAAGAGGGCATAATGCTTTGAATAGTAGAAAGTATAGAGATAAACATGTTTATATGCTGTTTAACAAATATTTAAAAAAATGGTTGTTAAAAGCTATGCATTTACTTTTATTTAAAGTTTTCAGTATTATCTTTGTGTTTTTTTTTTCTTCAAGTTGAGTTCTATTACTTTACCTGTAAGGTAGTCTATACTCACTGTACTAATAAAGAATATGTATTTTATGGGTACAAGCTTTAACACTAGAGGTAGAATTACTATAAAAGGTAGAGAGAGATGCACTCTTAAAGATGAATTTCTTTCTTGCCAAAGTGTGGGGTATTGTTTTCTCTTTTGACTTCCAGGTGGTGGGTGGGCACAGGTAGGAGAGGCTGATCTCTTTCTCAGATAAGATTCTCTGGCCAGTGAGGCAGAGAGAAGTGGCCCAGATCACCTTCCTCCAGGTAGCAATACCTGCTTTTCCAGTGGGTTGTTGCAGTGCTCGCTGGAACCTAGGGTGGCACCGCTAAGTCCTCCCGGCTTTGTGCACATTAGAGCAGTGTGCAGTTGACATGACTTCTACATCTTTCTGTGTCCAGAGCAATTTAGATAAAAGAAGGTTTGCCCTGAACATTTATTTTCAAACTTGCTTGTGCATTAGAATAACTAAGGAAATCTCTTAAAAATTCTAAACCCATAATATACTCCAGACAGAATAGTGTCATAACAACGATTTTGGCATTTTTACCGACCTCTCTAGGAGATGCCAGTGGCAGGCAAGCTTGAGAATGACTATCTTAAGATGCTGTTAGGGGGGCAATTTGCATCCTGTCAACACTAGCCTCCATAGTGACCTGAGAAACTGGCCAGAGCTTCTGGCACAGAGGGGTTTGTATTCTGTGCTACTGTGCTGTGTCCATGTCAGTGGCGGTGTGGTCAGCCTTGTGGAGCTTGTCCATCTTATTTGACTTTGTGTTTTGTTTTCTAGCCAAAGGAACGTGGTTCCACAAGGGTACATGCTTTAAATAATGTCAACAGAGTGCTGCAGGTCTTACATCAGAACAATGTAAGTTGGTGATGTGACATTTGGGGGTGTTTGGTGCCCTCGGGTTTATTTATTGTCAAACTGGCCACCTGCTCTGTGTAATGGTGTCAAGTGGTTTTTGGGAATGTTATTTTCGTGAGAAGTATTGAACCTTTTCTATGTGAAAAGGAACAGTTGTGTCTTTTCTGATTACTTTGTTGAGCTATTGTATAAATAATGGATTTTTGAGATTCAAGTGTAATTCTCTAAAATACAATTTCTCTTGTTTTTTGCTTTTATTGCTTGCCAAATATGTTAAAGCATAAACCTGGGCGTCTGTGGTGTAATTGTCTTAAGTCATTTTTTCATTTTAACAGGTGGACTTAGTGAATATCGGAGGAACTGACATTGTAGATGGAAACCCCAAGCTGACTCTGGGACTACTTTGGAGCATCATTTTGCACTGGCAGGTGGGGACATTTTCAACCACTTCTTAATAGAAACTGAAACCATTCTATCTGGATTCTAGTTTCTTAGGGCTGCCATCACAGAATGCTACAATGGGTGGCTTCCACAATAGAAATTAATTTCCTCACCATTCTGGAGGCTAGAAATCTGACATCAAGGTGTCTGCATGGCTTGTAGATCATCACTTCTGTCCTCTGTCCTTCCTCACACGCTCTTCCCTTGGTCTGTGTGGTTGGATTTTACTCTCCCTTTCTTATACCAAGATACAGCCATATTGGGTTAGGACCAACCCCTGTGATCTTATTTCACCTTAATTACCTCTGCAAAGTCCTTATCTCCCAATACATTCACACTACAAGGTACTGGGGGGTGGGGAGGTCAGGATTTCAACATGTGGATTTGAGGGCACACAATTTAAATCATAACAATTTGGAGTGGAAGGGACTGAAGAGCCAGCCTGTTTTCCTGGCATAGGAAAAAGATAGCTTTTAAAAAATAGAAATGATTTTTGGCATAACACAGTTGCAAAAACAGCTAAAGAATACCTTTGACTCAGATTCTCCAAATATTAAGAGTTGTCTGCATTTCTGTGTTCAATCTCTGTTGAAATACTTCAACATGCATTTTCTAGAAGAAATCATTCCCCTACAGTATAATGTAATATCAAATGTATACTATAATATCAGTATGAACACAGTTATGATACAATGTGATAGTTATATGCTAACAAATATATAGCTATTAAAATCAGGAAAATAAAAATACCTTATAGAAAAAAAATATAAGATCATGCATTACATTTATTGTCATGACTCTTTAGTCTCCTGTAATCTGGAAATGACATCATTCCTTTTACATTTATTAACTGGCTTTTATTTACAAAGGAAGAGCTCCTTTTCATTAGTTGTTTGTCATTTTCTGTTTGGCCATCTCCATGCATGCATGCATACATGCATCCATGCATCCATCCATCCATTAGTATACTCATGGATTTTTAATTATTTAGTAGATTGTAATCTTTTACTATCATTTATTTTGTTACTCAAATTTTCCTAGATTTGGCCCACACAAGGTCTCTTAAGTTGGGGCCTTTTGATATGTCTTATATCTATTCTTTATTATTCTTAGAACACCTTATTAAAACATGTACTACTTTAGATTAATAGAAAATATTTGTTCTAGATTATAATTGCTATTGTCATCAGGAAAGTTACTTCATTTTTTGATTTTATAGTCAGATGTTCTTCCTCTTGTCCTCATTTTTATAGAAAATAAAAATTAAATTTTCTTCTTATTAAAAGATCTTTATAAACATATAGCATTAAAATATTACTTTTATGTGTCAATGAAAGCAATGTTTATTGTAACCAAATTTAGCTTAATTATTGCTTAAGATACAGAAAATACTATAGAGGTGCATTAAAAATCACCTCTGAGTCCTAGTACACCTAAGCAATTGTTTTAAAATGTACTCATCTCTCCAGTGTTTAAAGGAAAATTTGACATAGTAAATACCTAAATACCAGTGAGCCATAATAATTAATGTAACATTACTTATTCAAGGACTGGGTTTCCGTAACGGTTGTACGTTACAGACAGACGTGGTTTCTCTTGCATAGGTGAAGGATGTCATGAAGGACATCATGTCAGATCTACAGCAGACCAACAGCGAGAAGATTCTGCTGAGCTGGGTACGCCAGTCCACCAGGCCGTACAGCCAGGTCAACGTCCTCAACTTCACCACCAGCTGGACAGATGGACTCGCCTTCAATGCCCTGCTCCACCGACATAAGTGAGACATGATTCTCTTTAGTCATGGGCCTTCCAGATTTGACTGTCCTCTTCTGTCTTCCCCTTCCTGCTTCTTCCTAGAGCTGCTTCCCCAAGAGCCCTGCTCTCCTCCCTGCATGGGCTCAACCAAAACATTAGGACAAATCTTTCATTTCCGCAGGACCTGAATGTTGCCATGCAATCCTTGGCACCTTGTACATATTAATAATTTAAAAAATTAAAATAGTCCACATAGTTTATCCCACTCATTCAGCATTCACAGACAAAAAATTGTTACTTTTTATTCTCATACCAACAGGAAAACTCTATAAATTCAATGCAATCTCAATTACAAATGGACATATGATTTTTTTTTTCATGAAACTTCCAAACCCGTTCTAATTATATAAAAGACCGAAGACCCACGAAGAACCAGAATACTCCTGGGAATGAAGAACCAAGCTGAAGTACTTACTAACCAAACCAAAATCAATTATGAGGCTGTACTAATTCAGACTATGTAGTGCTATAAATAAGTATACTAATATAGCAGTATGAACCACACAAAATTACCAATATTTTTTTGACTGTTTCTGACATAGAAGAATGGTAGTATCACATATATTTAGGTCAGCCTAACAGAATTGGGGGCTCAGAAATATTTCCAACAGAAAGGAAAGCTGAATAGACGAATGAACGGATACTGTAGATTAATATGTAGACGGTACAACTAACACCACATGTGATAAGTGAATTGCATCTTTACCTCATTGTACTAAAAAATGGATTCTAGATGAATCAAGGATTTAAATGTGAAAGGCAAAATTTGTAATATGTTTTATTGCTATTATAAATTATTGTCTCATTTGTTTCCTGTAAGTTCTTTGCTGATATATAAAAATACAATTGACTTTTCCATATCTAATATCTGGAAATTTGTTAAATTCTTACAAATTTTTAGTTTGTTTCTGTAGATTTTTTGAGTAAAGTGTATATGCATCACAATAGTTTTATTTCTATTCTTTTTCTTTTCATTTGCACCTTTTTGTCCTTATTGATTTGAATTGGTGATAGTGAGTAATTAATGTTTTATTCTTAAGAAAGGTATGATTTTGGGGCCTCCCTGTGGTGCAAGGTGTTAAGACACAACCTATGAAGCTATCAGTAGCCACTGCAGCATGAGTTCAATCCCCAGCCCAGGAGGAGACCTACATGGCATACCAGACCTCTCCTGACTTGCCTGTTGCTCCCCTCAGCAGTGTATTTCAGTAGATCTGCCTGTTCTGTTCCCCACTCTGTCTCTGGTGAATCCTCTCACCCTCCACACCTCTGGCCTGTACCCCAGTTCTTGTATGCATAAATAGATGAATTTAAAAAAAAAGATAGATATGATTTTAGCGTTTGACCATAAGATTGATGCTTGTGGTAGCTCTTTCAATATACTTTTTATCTGGTGAAAGCACTCCACACCCAATCTTCTTCCATTTCTCCTTGATCAGTTTAAGGAGGTTGCTTTCTGTTCCTGGTTGATTATGAAATATCATCAGAAAATGTGAATGTTAGCCAGTGCCTTTTTACCTTTACTCATTGGTTCTGCAAGTATTTGTGGAGTGCCTCCTATATGTTAGCTACAGGGTGTAATATAGCATAGAACAAAACAGGCAAAAATACTAGTCCTCTTGAAGTTTGTTCCAACAGAAATAGGAAGACATAAATAAGAATTAACATTTAAATTGTGTAGCATATAGAAATGGGAAATATGCTGAAAAAAATACATCAGACAAGAGGAGAGGGAGTTTCCTGGTGTGGGGGAGGCTAGAGGGCCCAGTGGTATGAATTGGGGGGAATTGCAGGAGTTGAGCTCAGAGGAGGAGTTGAGGGGGTAAAAGGGAGCAATGTGGGAGGCCAATGTCAGATGGCAGACATGGCAAGAATAAATAGAAATGATCAAATAGCAAAGAAAATGATCATTTTTAGGTAAGTTAAAGCAACGGTTATGGCCTGTTGTGGCATTTAAAGAAAATCAACATAGCAGTGAAACACTAGACGATATTTCTATGTAGGTGGGTGCTTGGAAGTCCCAACCTTTGTTTTAGGTTTATCCCCTGAAGAGATTAGAGATGGCTTTTCTCTTTTGCTAAACATAGCTTCTAACTGGAGATTTTAGTCCATTAACTTTGATTGTGATAATCGATGCTTTTAGTTTCAGTTTTACTACTTACCTTGATCTTTTCTTTTACATTTTCTATATCTTTTTTTTTCTTTCTTGTCTTGTATTGATCAATTCCTCCTGCCATTTTTTTCTTTTACTCTTTGCAAAGTATTACATACTATTTCTAGTCTTTTAGTGGTTTCTCGAGAAATTTTAACATATTTAGCCAACAAAAGAAGCTTAGAATGTATTACCTGTTGTTTTCATATTTGTGAATTATTTTAAGATATTATAAATTTGATGTCTTTGTGGTATAGAAGATAACCATTTTTAATGCACAAAAATTTAAAAGTAAAAAGTATTAGATTATAACCATAACTACTTTGTTTTTTTAATAATTCATCTTCATTGCATTTTATTTGCATGGTGATTTCAGACCTGATCTCTTCAGCTGGGATAGTGTTGTTGAAATGTCCCCAATTGAGAGACTCGAACATGCCTTCAACAAGGCTCAAACTTATTTGGGAATTGAAAAGCTGTTAGATCCTGAAGGTATTGTTCAGTATTTTACTTTGATCTTGATTTTGCTTTACAATATTGAACACTTGAAAAGCAGTTTTTTTTTTATTTCTAGAATTGAGGAAGTTTTGTTGTTGTTGTTGAATAATAGGTGTAAGTCATTTTATTATAGACAAGCTATTGGTACTTTCGGCTAAACATTTTGTGACAATTTGTTGGATCTGATAAAAATTTAATTACATCGTTGTAGAAAACTATAATACCAGTGTAAGATTCAAAATTCTTGGAATGTGTATTTTTTATGCAACCAGTTCAGCATTTCATTTAATTAACTAAAAGGCATTCTTACATACACTTCTTGCATATGATATGAAAATTTTATTTGCAAATATTGCAGGATTGAATTCTAGACCTATTTTTATAACATGAGAAAAAGTCATCTTAAAAGGTACTTTATCTTTGAGCACTTTGGGGAAGTCTTTAGGGAAGTTTTTAAAGTAATAGATATTGAGTAAAAATATGCACCTTTGATTTTGTCTCTTTTATTATTATAGTAAATAAAAGTTTAATGAGCTATGGCATTGCATAGATTATTTACTAGTGTTGTTTATGGCTACTAAAGACAGTTATTTTGTATGTTCTATTGAGCATTTCACATATTTTGGACATCTAATTTAAGCTGGTTCTTATTTTCTTCCACTTTTAGATGTTGCTGTTCAGCTTCCTGACAAGAAATCCATAATTATGTATTTAACATCTTTGTTTGAGGTGCTGCCTCAGCAGGTCACTATAGATGCTATCCGTGAAGTAGAGACTCTGCCAAGGAAATACAAGAAAGAATGTGAGGAAGGAGACGTCAGTATACAGGTACAGGTGAAGTTTTATCTAGATGTTTGACTTGCCATATTTGTTTTCTCTGATGTACTAGATAAAAACACTTAATTTATTATTATTATTATTTTGTTTTATTTTTACATCGTTCATTTTTAAGCAATATTTGCTCCCCCTACCCCCTCAGGTGTAGTCCCCATAGAGTTTCCTTCACCAATGCACCCGTGCACCATCACCTCAGTCCCCTGTGCTCCTCCCTCCTTCCCTCTGATCCCTCTCCTGCCTCCTCCCCTGCAGGATGTCTCTGATTTATAGTTGTTTGTTTCTGTTTTGTGGTGTATTGTATTGTTACTATTTTATTTACATTGATGTCTTATTTGGTTTCTCTATATTCCTCCTATAGTGAAATCATAGATATTTTTCTTCTTCCTTCTGGCTTATTTCACTGAGCATAATTCCTTCTAGCTCCATCCACATTGCTGCAAATGGTATGAGTTTATCTTTTTTGATTGCTGAATAATATTCCATTGTGTATATATGCCACATCTTCTTGATCCAGTCATCTATTTTGGGGTATTTGGGTTGCTTCCAGGTTTTGCCTATTGTAAATTGTGCTGCAATAAACATAGGGGTACAGGTGTTCTTTTGAATCAATGTTTAGGTGTCCTTTAGGTAGATCCCTGGGAGTGGAACTGCTGGGTCATATGGTAGCTCCATTTTTAGTAGACTGAGGAAACTCCAACAGCTCTCCATAGTGGTTGGACCAGTTTGCACTCCCACCAACAGTGCAGGAGAGTCCCTTTTTCTCCACATCCTCGCCAACATTTGTTGTTGCTTGTTTTTTTGATATGTGCCATTCTTAACTCTTGTAAGGTGGTATCTCAATGTAGTTTTGATTTGCATTTCCCTGATAATAAGGGATGTTGAACATTTTTTCATGTGCCTGTTGACCATTTGCGTTTCCTCTTTGGAGAGGGGTTTCCTCCTGAGAGGGACTGTCTTGGTTTCTCGGCTTATGTAGATAGGAGAGGTTGGTTGTCAGTTAGCATACCATCACGGGTCACGTGCGTAAGGGATGCCATCACAGCGATTTACTGAAAGGGAAATAATTATTTCACACAGGATGACTGGCATCGGATCTAGGGCTCAGATCATGCTGACTTGCCCCCTCACCTGTTTGCCATCTTTTATCATTGTTGTCATGTGGTAGAGATGGTTTTTCTCATGTCAGCCTAATTTTGTTCTAAGTACTAGTTTTCTCTTTTTTGCCACACAAAAGCTTTATTATTATTATTATTAATATTATTTACCATTATATTCTCACAAGGGCTATCAAAATATAACTTTTATTTTCCCTTTCTTTTAGGGGAATAATTAACAGTGTGCTGCTTGGTGTGCTTTTTACTTAAGGGCTTACAATGGTTTTATTCATCAGGATATAATAAGTTTTTTTTTTCCCCAGAAGATACAAAGTCATGAATTTTTTTTTTTTTTACCGTGTTATCCTGACTAGATCAGCTTATATTTTATTTTATTCTGTGTTAGTGCAACCAGTTCTCTTCATTCATATGTGAGAGATGCTTAATAGTTGGATGAGACCTTAAAAGTTCATTCTACAAAGTTCATTTTAAAACTTTAACATTTTAGCAACCAAACAGCCAAAAGATGCACATAGGTTTCAAACTGATATGAAATACATTTTGGAGAAGCAGGAAACTTATACCCTGAGGCTTAAGTTTCATCCTGTTGCAACTCCTTTTGGACTGGTTACTCTTCAACCTTAGTTTAATCTGAAAAATCTAGATAAAAACACCTACTTCATAAAGATAATGAATTCAAAGTGTCTCAAATGATGTTAATAAGCACTCAATAAGCAGCAGCTATTATTATAATTTTTCCATCTTATTTTTTTTTTTGGCATTATCATTCATTCTCATTCAGCAGTTCCTTTTTAAAAATGTTAGTTAATTCTCAGGTAATGATAATGGCCCGAAATTGGCATAACATTTTTTTTTTCTCCAAGGTTCAGAACTTATTATTACATATTTTCTTTGGGTCATAGAGTCTTCTTCTTTTCTTATTTTCTTCTTATTTTCTTCTTTTCTTCATTTTTTTTTTTTAAATAGCATGATTTAGAGAGGAAAAGTAGGTAAGAGATTGGTCTAGATTGTGAGCTTAAAGCTCTTTTGAGAAGTTTCAAAAATCAAGTGATGCCGACGGAAAGTCCTAATATTTTATACTGATTGAGAAAATGCTGAGAAGCATTTGTCTTTGGTAGTGGAGTTATTATCCTGCCTCAGTGTGGCTCAGATAATCTTCTGGGTTTGCCTTTTGGTTTTAGACTCATTTCTTTATTGTATTGGAGGCTCCTTTTGTTGGAAAGATGGATATTTGACTTCTTATAGTTAAGTCCATTGTCTCTTAAAAAAGAAGGAGATTTCATTTGCCTTTCATAATGTGTAGATAAAATAATCATTCTCTCTGGGGCTTAGGGTGTCATGATAAGAATTGCAGAAGCCATTTGCTGTTTGATTAACAGCAAGTGTATTAACATTAACCTTTTCCTTTGCCTGCATTCATTAGTACCTTAGAGGTTGAATTAAGTTAATTGAAGAAATAAAATGTGGTGGAGTTTTGATCATTTATTCTTTGACAGAGTTCGCCATCCAGTGTTTCCAGTGATCTCTTGTAGCCAGTTTCCTCTCTTGCTCTGACTATAAACCTGTGCTTCACAGCATTAGGTGGTCAGCAAATAATTCCTGCATTACTCTTTAAATTAATCTCTCAGTTGAAAGTTTTATCATGTGTTTTAGTTAATACCTTCTGAACATTTGCATTTAAATATGCCCTTTTCCCCCTACCTGGTAAATCCTAGTGCCTAGCTTAAGTGACTTTGCTGGTCACTCACCTTCCTAGTTCTCAGATATCATCATGAGACTATAGAGGATTGGTTCTAAATGATCTCCAGGATTATTTTGGCTCAGTATTTTTGGGATTTTGTGTCTAGAACTTAGCTTATTTTTTTCCTTTTCTGTGTTTGGCACCTCCTATTTCTTAATTATCCAGTGTTTCAACAGTGTGCTTCCCGATTCATTTTATAAGTCCTTTATTCAGTATAATGGGTTCCTTTGATTCTCCTTCCCAAATTTCTTTTCTGTGTTTTTCTTTTTGTTCCAGCCTTTACACTAATTATAGATATCATCTTCTCATAGCGCACGAGTCCCTCCTACTTCCACGAGTCATCTCAGGCCACTGCCCTACGGTCTTTTCCCCAAGATTGCTGTATATGTGTGTTCCTCTTTATAAAATACTTCTTCGCACATTAGCTTCACACTTTTCTCCTTTCTTCTTTTTAATGGAACTTTTTGAGAGATGTTTCCCCTGATTAACTTATTGAAATACAACCCTATACACACCACTCACTCACTCACCAGCTCACTCTGCTCTTGCTGTCACAGTGCTTTTGTAAGCTGTGTTAAGATTTTAAATTGTATCAGAGGAGCACTGGAAAAGCAGTGAAGGGTTTTAAGCAGGGAAATCTTATGATGTGATCACATTGCCCCGGGTCATTTTGGCTGCTGTGTGAGAAGTGGATTGTGGAGGCAGGAGCATGGCTGGCAATGTGGGGAAGTAAAGACAGTGGTGAACAGGCTGTGGTGACTGTGATATAGGTGGTTGTGGAAATGGAAAGGTTTGTATAGATTTGAGATAAATTTTCAAGGCAGGAATTAGACTCAATTTGTGATAAATGTGGGGATGAAAGAGAGAAAACAAGGCTAACTCTCTTGATTTTAGCTGGAGGAATGAAGTGTTTTGAAGAGCTCTTTACTGAGAGGGAGAAGCTTTAGAAGGAATGGTTTGGAGAGAAAATGAAGGGTTGAAATATAAGCATGAATTGATATAGCTGGGATACTGAAGTGAAGAAGGTAAAGTAGTTGGACATAGGAGTTTGGAGTTTGGCACAAGAAATGGAAAGATAAATGCCTGAAGATGTAGAAGATTCTTCAAATCCAATGGGAATGGGTGAGATCACTCAGGCAAGGTATACGGAGAGAGGAAGAAAGGGCCCAGGACTTAGTTTTGAGGAGATTCCTTACTTACCTGTTCGCGAATGCCGTTGAATTAGGGGGAAATCCAGTGTGGTGTTACGGAAGCAGGGAAGGAATGCTGGAGAGAGTGGGGTGTGGTTGTCCGGAATGCAACTGGGAATCTAAGCAAGAAACACCGTGACCCAGATCTCCGGGTTTGATTGGTCAGTTCTGGTATTATTGTCCTAACCCCCATTATTTAAAAACTGTTCTAGTTTGTTGGTTAATTACATGGTTACTCTAAAGATGATGCTAGAAAAGTGGATTTGTCGATGGAAATGTTATTGTAGGCAAATATTCAAAAAGTTTTGCTTTGAAAGGGAATACGAGAATGAGAGACTTTGATTTGATTATAACGTTCCAAAGTATTTAAGAAAATGCTTCATTGCTTAGAAAGAGCTTGAGATTAATTTATCCTATTGAGTTATAATAAATATGCATTTGTTCTTTAAATATAAAGACTAGCAAGTTATCTAGCGGGTAACTCCTCAAAAAAAATATTGCCTTCAGTTCAACAGCCTGCACGTGTATCCGTCTTCCTGTTTCTAAAATACAACACTAAATGCAACCCAGTAAAAGCAGTTTAACTCAGAATCAAAGCAGAATTCTGATCTCTGTCTCTTTTTCCTTAAATTATATCCACCCTTCAAGGCCCAGCACGTTACAGAGCTTCTGTGAAACTTTCTCATGTTAGCACTTGGTGAACGCAAAAAGCATCTCTTAGAAGTTGGTCTGTGGAATTTTGTAACATTGCTAATTGCCACTTCATATTTGTTCAGAGGTGACTCATCTAGGTTATTTCGCTCACTCTCTAACTTTATTAGAATTTCCGTGGGTTCAGAACCCCCCAGTGCAGGCCCCTTGGTACTGTCCCCTCTGGGCACACTGAGTAAATACCTCCCAGCTTCTTCGTGACATGGTTACCTGAGTCCTGGGCCGCCCATGACGCGTGGTGCCTGCCTTAGACTCTCTGTATGGTGTGTTTTGTTGAACACCTTTCCTTCTTCATGACGCTGTGGGTTTTCCTGGATTTGTTTTTGTAGAGCTCAGGACGGGATGAGCATGATAGTCCTCGAGCTGAAACCCCCAGCACTGTCACCGAGGTGGACATGGATCTGGACAGCTATCAGATAGCCCTGGAGGAAGTGCTGACCTGGCTGCTTTCTGCTGAGGACACTTTCGAGGAGCAGGATGACATTTCTGACAACGTTGAAGAAGTCAAAGACCAGTTTGCCACCCACGAAGTAAATAATCTGTAGCTGCTGAGCCAGATAGACCCACTGTGGTGCCTGTGTCTTATCAGGGGCTGTTCTTTGGGTTTTGTCATTTACTGAACGCTGCTCCACAGAAAGGTCATGGCATATTGTAGGAGTCATGATATTTAAATGGGGCTTTGTTATAAATTGACATGTGTGATTGTGCTTTGGAATTAAATTTCGGATTTTAATCTTACTGTAATTTGTATGTTCTGTGCAGCCACAGACAAGAATCAGTGCATAGAACTTCCCATTTCTAAAGTGTATTGTTATAGTTAAAACACAAAATAGCTAATCAATATACCAAGTCTTTAGGTCTTGAATGTTCTCCAAGAAGTGCTTATTTTTATTTATTGTATGATTATGCAAATGTCATATCCTGTGTTCCTGTACAATTTTATCATGAAAGCTTCCTGCTAATTTGAGGTTATATTATTTTGCAGTGAGGTGCATTTGATTATGTGGAGATTTCTGTCTGACTAAGCAGTTTTTTGGGTGTCCATATGCTCACTGACAGTTTTTTTTGTGCTGTATTGGCCTGAAAATACTAGAAATGTTAGTAATCCTTTGGTGATCATGGGGTTTATTTATTATCTTTTCTTTTAATTCCATGTCATGATCTGTCAGTAGCATTATTTAAAATTTACTTAAAAATACCTAGTTTCCTCATGTATAACATTGTCCTCTTTGATTAGTTCCCTTTTTTACCCAGGCCAGGTGCTTATTTCTTATATTCAGTATTTAAAAAACTGGATCAAAGTGTACTTTATTTGCACTTCACTAGGCTAGTACCCTTTTCTGCAGCATCGATGGTTAGGCATTAACAATTTTTTAAGGTATTTTTGCAATGGGCAGCTCATGAGTCATTATGACATACCTTTCCAGGCTTTCATGATGGAGCTGACGGCACACCAGAGCAGCGTGGGGAATGTCCTGCAGGCAGGAAACCAGCTGATAACACAGGGGACACTGTCCAATGAAGAGGAGTTTGAGATTCAGGAGCAAATGACCCTGCTGAATGCCCGATGGGAGGCACTGAGAGTGGCGAGCATGAACAGACAGTCCCGGTGAGTGAGGCAGAGAAATGGCTTTACCCCATAGACTGTGCCACCCAGCTCCAGCAAAAGTTTGCTTGTCTGTGAGACCAAGATAATGACAGAACTCACTTTGTACAGTTTCTACTGTTTTTGCACCGTCACTGGAATTTTGTATGACCTTTGTTTCCCCTTCGATGTGTTAGCCAAATCAAAAGGTAAAGGTTGGACTATAGAAGTTAGCAAAAAGGGGAAGGAAAGACATTGCATATCACACTTACCCATGCCTGGGATAAAAGTCGGCTAGCCGTTCACCTTATAGGAAGACGGTACCATGTAGAATTTATCCACAGTTCCATTTTGTAACATCTTTAAATGCAGTTTGTCCCTCATGGTTCATTTTATTTCATGTATTGTGTGTTAAGGATCAAACTGCATTGTATTGCAACTTCCACCTATTTAATAAGCAGGACTTCCTGGTCAAAGAAATAATGATTCTGATATAAATAAAGGGCACTGCTAGATGCATGCTTTGGCTGCCTCTAATTCACTCCATTTAGGAAGAAAACGAGTTGTTTCTTTTGCTGGTTTTTATATTGAAGGGCCAGATGCTAACTTTGAATGTTAGATAGGCTGTGTCCCTCAGAGAGGGGCTGATGCTGTCTCCCACCCCACAGGCTGCACGACGCACTGATGGAACTGCAGAAGCAGCAGCTGCAGCAGCTCTCCGCCTGGTTAACTCTCACAGAGGAACGCATCCAGAAGATGGAAACTTGTCCCCTGGACGATGATTTAAAATCCCTGCAGAAGCTGCTAGAAGATCATAAAGTAATTGCTCTCATATTTCTTTCAAAACCTTATCAATTTTGAAAAAACTGTGCTTAGTATACTCAGGGGTTTCTGTGATTAGAGCAGAGTTGGGGTACTTTTCAGTGTCCTTTTACCCAAAAGCACGTAGGGATGCAACTGCAGGTTCAGATTCTTACTGGGTACATAGTTTTCTTATGAAAGCACCTGGCGTTCATGAGATTCTCAAGGTGCTAGAAGTGGAAGAAGCAATGGCTTTCCTTAAAGGACGGGGCAGCTGGAGTGTGCTAGTGGTCACACAATGTGGGGCTAAAGAGGCAGACCCTCATTTCTCTGTGCCGCATTCTTTAAGGAAACCCGTTGCTGCTGCTTTGATCCAGGAAGGTAACAGGCAATAGACAAGGAACAAAATTTGGTGGACATTTCAATTTGGTCAGATTTACGAGATAATATTTTAGTCAAGATAAGAAAATGTAGAGTAAAAGAGCCTGTGCAAATTGCTTGAAGAATTTTATTGATCAATGGAATATATAGATTGATAATAAAGCTTTAGAAATTCATTAACAACTCAAGGCCTCTGATAACATTCCTGATAGATAGTATTTAAATAAACTCCCTATAAAAAAATATCCAAAGACTGCTCCCAGGGAAGAGGTGAGACTGGAAGGCATCCTATAACTTTTATTGCTTTTCTGGGTAATCAGATTAAATTCTGACTCTCAAATAGCATTTGACTTATCGCTCACTTTATACCATGCCTCACTAGGAAAAATGATCCCTGACTCTATGTATTTAAGTTCAGTACTTTTTTGACTTACCAATTCTATGTTCTTAATTTCCATATAGTCACTCAACTTGTTTATGTTGTGTGTGTGTATGTGTATATAAATGTGTGTATGTATGTGTGTATATGCATACACACATATATTTTAACTAGAACTTGGAATAAATGTGATGACATACATTTGCAATTTGTTATGACATTGCATTTTCAAACTGCTTTGACTCATAATGAAATGTAAAGATGTACAACGGCTTGTTTCATTAGTAGAACACTTAGCGCAATGATTGGAAATTTAAACACGATGGCCTCATTAAGTGTCCTTAATTACTATTGACAACTGAGTGGAATTAAATAGGTAAATGGGAAAGAGTAGAAATAATAGGTTGTCTTAATTTTTTTTCTCTAGAGTTTGCAAAATGATCTTGAGGCTGAACAGCTGAAGGTAAATTCATTAACTCACATGGTGGTGATTGTTGATGAAAACAGTGGGGATAGTGCTACAACTGTGCTGGAAGATCAGTTACAGGTAAGGACCCTGCACAACAGGATGGTCCCAAGGCACATGTGAACTGAGACCAATGTACATATTCCTCCTCTTTTTTTTTTTTAAAGATTTATTTATTTATACATACAAGAAGTGGGGTACAGACCAGATGTGCTGGAGGGTGAGAACATTCTCCAGAGACAGAGTGGGGGACAGAACAGGCAGACTGACTGAAATACATTGCTGAGAGGAGCAGTGGGCGAGACAGGAGAGGTCTGCTGCACCACGTGGGTATCTCGCCAGCCCGGCCGGGATCAAACCCATACTGTAGAGGCTGTAGACAGCTTCAAAGCACTGTGCTCAACCACCTGCGCCACCAGGGAGGTCCCCTCCTCTTCTTTTTTTTTTTAAGATTTATTTTATTTATACAAGAGCTGGGGTACAGGCCAGATGCATGGAAGGGTGAGAGGATTCATCAGAGACAGAGTGTGGAACAGAACAGGCAGACTGACAAAATACGCTGCTGAGGGGAGCAAAGGGCAAGACAGAAGAGGTCTGCTCATCATGTGGGTTGCTCTGAGGCCGGCGGGGATTGAACCAGCACTGCAGAGGTTGCCGACAGCTTCACAGTGCTGCGCTCAATCACCTGCGCCATCAGGGAGGTCCCCCCCCCACCTCTTGTTTATGCCCTGTCTCATTGTTTATTTAGAAGAGTAGAATAACCTACTTTAGGTTGTACTTTGCAGTTGAGATTCCATAGCATATGGGTTGTAGGGGTACATGGCCCTTCAGTTTGGCCTTTGGGTGATGGATAGGGCTGCAATAAGTGCTCCACTTGTGGATCATATTAACAAGACTAGGAAACTCAGGAAGTGGACCACAAACTTCTTGTTCAGAATCACTTCAGGAATTTGTAAAAATGCAGATTCCTGGTTACCATGCCCCTCAAAATTCCTGGAATTGGGGCCCACTAAATCTGCACTTAAAAAAATGTGTGTACATACTATATTTTGAGAATTGCAGCTATGTTAGATTTAATATGCCTTTTTCTTTGGTAGATCAGTGTGTGAATTTATCAACAGTTTTGGGAATCCTCCACATTGCTTCTTTTTGCACAAAGGCTATAGTGTATGTTTATAAATATGTCTAAAGAGATTTATTGGTATTTCATTTGAACAATACTTTAATACCTGATATGATATTGCCAGTTTGTGATTTTTAGTTGTTTTCACACTAGAGTTTCATCATATGACATGCTCTTTCTTTTGTAATGTTGAAGTTGATCAGAAGTGGTGGATGTGATGTCTTAATGTGCATTTTCTTTTTAAGTGTGTAGAAGAGATGTAAACATACAGGTAAGGTAGCCCCTAAACCCAAGTGTTGTAAATCAGTGTAGCTGGCCAGTGATTTTGGGAACTTGCTGTAGCATTTAGTTACTATAGTAACCAAAGAGGTTAACATTCATGTCTTTCCTGTGAGGAAACTGAAATTCAGAGAGGTTAAATGATGCCACTGGGATTAAAATAGACAATGAGACAGGAGCCCTGTCTTCTGGCTCTACCTTCTCTACCCTTTGCATTCTAAAACTTATTATATTATTAGCTATCAAGATAGTATAGTATGAATGAAATAATTCTTATTTATCTGCAAGCAATGTAGAAATAAAATTTAACATATGTTACCCATTATTTATAGAATGGTCATAAAATTATTTGCAAAGTCTCATGAAGAATTAGTTTTTGGGAAAATTAGTTAAGTTTATTTAGTCTTGCTAATAGTTGTAAGAATCTGTTGCTAATTTTTATGGAATTTTCTATGGATCATGCAATGTAAACAGAACACATCAGTTAACCATTTGTTATTTTGTAGGAATTCATTCAAAATATAGATTCATAAGGTTAAAATTGTTTCATAATGTTGATATAACATGTGATAGGTGGTGTGTAATGGGTGGGTAAGAAATAATTGATATACTGCATTTTTTTTCTAATAGCCTGAAACATTTTAACCTCAAAAAAGAATTTGCTTGGTATTTTTTGAGGATGTATGTAAAATTGTCAGGTTCTCATAATAAAAAATCACAATGAATTGGAAAGAGTAGGAATTTGGAGTTAAAAGATAAAAGATAAGAGTTCTATTTATATCACTTTCTAATTATAGAATATGAACTCATTGATTAAATTCTATGGAAATTAGTTTTCCTCATTTGTACAATTAAAGGACTTGTTTATAGTATTTAAAAGCAACTTTTATAAAAGTATTTTTTTAACTGGCTGCTTTGTAATAAAGAGCAATGATGCCATGAATTTCTTTAAGGATGGTGATAACTTTCTCTGAGGGCTTAGCTGACAAAGGATGGTTTCTTCCTTTTTTAGAAGCTTGGTGAACGCTGGACAGCAGTGTGCCGTTGGACTGAGGAGCGCTGGAATAGATTGCAAGAAATCAATATGTTGTGGCAGGAATTATTGGAAGAACAGGTGTGCAACTGTTATTCATCAGGAGTAAAATGGATGGTGTCAAGTAACTCATGTTTATTATCACTTTAGAGAAGTTGTCTTGTTTACTTTTTTTTCCTAAGATTTATTTTTTATTTATACAACACTGGGGTACAGGCCAGAGGCATGGGAGGGTGAGAGGATTCACCAGAGACAGAGTGGGGAGCAGAACAGGCAGACAGACAGAAAGCATTGCTGAGGGGAGCAGCGGGTGCAACAGGAGAGATCTGCTGCACCATGTGGGTATCTCCCTGACCTGCTGGGAATCGAACTGGCACTGCAGAGACTGCAGACAGCTTCACAGCGCTGCGCTCAACCCGCTGTGCCACCGGGGAGACCCCTGTCTTGTTTACTTTTCTTTGAAAAGAAACTATGAACATTTTTATTGTTTTTTAAAATCAGATATTTATCCATTTTATAATTGATCAGCTTCTTCATAGACATCAAATTATATGACTCCATTGTAATAGCAGTTTGATCTGTGTTCATTATTTAGAATGTTAGTAGTTAGATGCTCTGTTTTCTTGACTAATTTGACATTATTGCTTTTGTGTTACACTTTTATCCACACAGTGCCTACCATCCAGTTTGTGTTCAGTAAATAATGATAAATAAATTCACTCAAATACTTTCTGAACTTTAAAACACAAAAAATTTTTTAACATTAAATCGGAAATTATTGATGTTATTTAGCAACACCACTGATATAACACACAGCTAATAGTACATTTTTTTCCCCATGATGGCCTCAGAAAGTGAACCTTTGGGGCCTCCCCTGGTGGCGCAGTGGTTGAACGCTGGGCTGCGAGGCTGCCCGCAGCCTCTGCAGCACAGGTTTGATCCCCGGCCATCGGTGAGGGTCCCACATGGCGCGCAGACCTCTCCTGCCGCCCGCTGCTCCCCTCAGCAGTGTACTTCGGTCCTTCTGCCTGCTCTGCTCCCCGCTCTGGCTCTGGTGAATTCTCTCACCCTCCCGTGCTTCTGACTGTGCCCAGTGCTTGTATAAGTAAATAAATAAAAATCTTTTAAAAAAAAAAAAAAGAAAGTGAACCTTTGGCACAAAGCTGACACCTTAATTTTTCAGTCACAGTAGCGGGTCCATCTTTCCAGGAAAGCAATCATCAACAGAATATAAATAATGCAAAATTTTCTTCCAAACCCCAAACAGTTGTGGTTTTTAAAATCATCAGATAGTGTTATTCCTGTGTTCATTTTGATTCTCTACATGCATTTCACTTCCATCCACAAAAAAGCAGCTATAATTTTTGCAGTGGATAAACACAGTGTATCATGTTTGTGGCTTACTAATATCGTAGTAGAAAAAAAAATCTTAAAAAAGTAGGCTGCAAAATTTATCTCAACATAAATTGTTTGTAACTCCCCCTTCAGCCCCATCTTTGGTCAGAGTTCTTCTGTTAAAAATCACATAACGGAGCTGATTTTGATTTTTGAAATATTTGCACTTCACTTTACAAATATTTGCATTGACTTGGACCTTGTTTCCATGCCAAAGAGTCACATAGAGTAGTTAACATTTTACTTCTATAATAGGAGACATTGATAGCTAGAGAAAACTACCGTGTTACTCTCCTGTTAATAAAATAATCCAAAACTTGGATATAATTTTAATTTGGTCATAAAAATATTTATTTTTTTAAAAAGTAGCTAGTATTTTGGACATTTATTATTTTATGTTTTAAAATGATTTTTGAGTGGGTTTCTTTGGAAGCCATAAATATAGAAGGAGAACCCTTGTTGTAATCTGGACTTAAACACAGCACTAGTCCTTATGATGTAGATAATTTGCTGTTGCAGGTTGCATAGCAGGGGATCCAATATACTGTATATGAATGCAAAGTCTTTCAAGGGATTATTGCACAGGTTTGAAGATAATTTAGAGATGGTCTGCTGTGAGAATTAATTCTAAACGTCTGCAGCTTCTACCAAGTTTCATTGTGACCTTAATTTCCCTCTGTCCTTCCATGAGCTCAGACCCTGTTCTCAGTTTATAGTCTGTTCTTAGACAGTCAACACCATAGAAAGAATGCTGGCTCTCGGCCGCCCCTCTGTTCTGCATGCATGGTACACTGTAGGTGCCTCATAGCTTTTTGTTTTGGTTGGTGGTTTTTGAAAGGATAACTATTTCATTTGTTTTCTAGTCTCCCCCCACCCTTTTTTTAATGAATCTGCTATGGAATGCCTTTTACCCATCTCATCTCATCAGTTTTATTTTTTTATATTCTTAAATGTTTATTCATTTTTGTACAGTAATCTCATCATTTTTAAGTCTCATCATCCATCAAGGGCCATGAAGTCATTTATAAGTGCCCATCCCCTCCCCCGATACCCTGAAATTGGAAATAATCTCTTCTTTGGAATTGCCATCACATTAAAAATAATTTTATATACTAAGTTTTACGTATGCTACACATTTATATATATTTATGTATGATACATTTAAATAGGATATATTTATATTTGTGGTGTCTGCACTTTCTGTCTTGTCGCATTTTTGTGCATGTCTTATTACCCTTATTATACTGAACACAGGATCCATATAGTCTTGATATTCTTTACCTTTTGTGCGTGTGTGTGAAATAGAGACACAAGGAGTAGTTGTTAAATAAACTGATAAATAAAACAACTAGAAAAAGAACTGATCTCACTATAAAAATAAAACCAAGATTTTTTTCCCTCCTAACTCTATAGAGAAGATTTTGGGGAAGAATTAACCCAATGTGCCATGGTAGTTTTCTGCCCCTCTTTCAAGGTTTTCTTGCTACGTTGCTAAATATCTTCTGCTTAAAACAACTGCATTGTTGGCCAGTGGGCTTTCACTATCTTTGTGCTGGCTTCCCACCATCCTTACGTCCTTGCTCTTGAGTCTGCAGCACTAGTGTGGTCTTCCTGCCTGTGCCTTGGGTAAACAACTGACTTTGGGGTGTGGGTGCTTGATGTAGGCCTCCTGTTAACTTTCCAAAATGAGGGCACCCAGCAGAACAATTTCTGAGCTTCCTTCATCCTCTGGAGGGTTATAATTTGATTCCTTTGTAGATTAGGCGAGTTAGATTTAACCTTTTAGATTCACCTGCCTCCCTGAAAATTAGGTTGAGTCACCTAGGGGCTTATGTCAAGTTGAAAATCTGAGAAGACTTTTAAAGAAAAATGTCTTCTGGATCAGGTATGCTTCAGATTTAGGTGTTTGAAGTTCCTATGCTAGGGAAGGGTGAAGCCTTTAGTTACATGAAAGTTAGAGATTTGGAAACTTTATTGAATTAAATACAAATGATCCCCCAAATATATTTCTAACCTTTCTTATTGCTTGTAGTGCTTGTTGAAAGCTTGGTTAACTGAAAAAGAAGAGGCTTTAAATAAAGTGCAGACGACCAACTTCAAAGACCAAAAGGAACTCAGCGTCAGTATTCGGCGACTGGCTGTAAGTACCATCTTTGTCAGCTTGCCTTATAAGGCCATGATACCTTCGTGTTTTCTATCAATGGTTAATGCAATTCAGTGAGTGCAGAATATGACCTAGTATCCAAGACTAAAATGTTGCTAGGTAATGATCTAGAACCAGGAGTCTTAGGTTTTAGCATTAGGGAACTGCATAGTGTGTAAATTTTACTATAAAATATACATATTTACATTTCCTGACTGGGGAAAAGGAATGTAAGTCCTATGAGAGGGAGTTATCTAATAGATAATCTGAAATGCTAGATTTTGAAGGAAGACATGGAAATGAAGCGGCAAGCATTGGATCAGCTGAGTGAGATTGGCCAGGACATCAGTCAATTACTTGATAATCCCAAGGCATCTACGAAGATCAACAATGACTCAGAGGAACTGACTCAGAGGTGGGATTCTTTGGTTCAGAGACTAGAAGATTCTTCCAACCAGGTACCTTTTGCTTTGGACAATTTATTGTGCTATGAAGTAGAAATTACATGTTCAGGTTAGTTTTAGATTTATGGAATAAAAGAGTAGTATGTAAACTAAAAAGTTAGTGTGTTATACTTGGTTTACAATAAAACTGACAAGTATGAATCTTTACTTTTCTAAAGTAAATTTTAATTGACCTTTAAAAACTTATTTGTAGCCAATAATTTAATCCTGAGTAACTGATAACCAGCATGAATCCATTACACGGTCTTTAAATCTTAAATATTTTTGTTTATTATAAAATATTTTAGTGAATTGATCAAAAATAAAACTTCAGTGTGTACACGAATGTTCATATCACTATTAATCATAACCATCAAAAAGTGGAAGAACCCAAGTTTCCATCAGTAGATGGATAGAAACACAAAATGTGGTTGGATCACACAATGGAGTGCTACTTGGCAATAAAATAATGGAATACTGTTTTATGCTACAACATGGATGAACTTTGAAAACATTGTTCTGGGTAAAAGGAGCCAGTTACAAGATCACATGCACTGTGGTTCTATTTATATGAAATGTCCAGAACAGGCCTATCTGTAGGGTTAAAAAGTAAGTTAGTGGTAGTGCTAGGTCACTACTAATAAGCACTTGCTTTCTTTTTGGGGTGATACAACTCTTCTGAAATAGAAAGTGAGGATAGTTGCACAACTCTGAATATACAGGTAACCACTGAATGGTGTTTTCAAAGTGGGAATTGTATGACATGTGAGTTACATCTCAAAATTGTGATAAAACATTAAAACTAAGCTGATTTTTATTTCAGGTGACTCAGGCTGTTGCAAAGCTGGGGATGTCCCAAATTCCTCAGAAGGATCTTTTGGAGACTGTTCGAATAAGGGAACAAGTAACTACAAAAAGAACGAAGCAAGAACTGCCCCCGCCTCCTCCCCCAAAGAAGAGACAGATTCCTGTGGATATAGAAGCTAAGAAAAAGTGAGAACTGATAGAGAAATTTTCCAAACCCAGTATTGCACATACTGTATTTTGTGATCTGTATTTATCTTGTACTAATCTCTAGTTATATGCAAATGTAGGCATTGTAGTTATAGAAATTCCACTGCTAAACCACTCACTGCCCCTGAATCATCTGAATATTCTATTTCACTCTGGCTAAGCATTTAAATTGCCTTGGCTGATTTTATTTATCTTGTGCTCAATTTGGAAAACTATGTGATGAAATCCCTCTCTCTCCATTTCCCATCACTTCTTCTGGAAGGATGTGATTCTCCAGGATTCCTTATTATTTGTTCTTTTTTCTCTCTGTCATGACTCCAGCAATTTTGCTTTAGATAATCTCACTCTTTACGACTCTCCTTCTTCATGTCATTAAAAAATTAATTCAGGAAAGAATGCCTTTTGTCTCCTTTTTTATTTTTCTTCTTCCCCCACTCTTTTTTTCATGATTTCTTTCTTCCTTTGTTCTTTTAATCATATTCATTAACAGATTCTTTGTGTTTGACTTAAAGACCCATTTTGGGATAGGATGTCTTTTCTTGATTGATTAAAAAAAACTGGATCTTTGTAAGAGGAATAATCACAGCTGACATACATTGAGCTTTTACTAACGTTAGATGGTGTGCTAGCTGGCCTGTGTCTGGGGACTGTACCTCACATCATCAGAGCAGTCCATCTTCAAACAGCCCTTGAGTAGCAGCATTCTGTGCCTTTCACAGTAGAATCCCAGAGCCTGGGCAAATGGGCAGTTATTTTGGGCCTGAATAGAAGTGATATGATGTCCTTGGTTTAGCTTTTGTTAGACAAAGCAGACCTCCCCTTTCACCAGGAGATTATTCTTTGATGATAGGGCTGTGTTTCGGCCTCCTCCCTCTCCCTGCACTTTCAGACACCTCCTGTGGGACTTCCAAGACGAAGCTTCTCCTGTTACTGTGATCTCAGCTCTTTCATTTCCTGAATGTTTACATTCTGCCAGGCATTGCTGGCAGTATCTCTCCAGGGCTGACTTTGTGCTTTTGGAAGCAAGGAAGTTTGTAAAAGACTAGAGCGTGTAACTCTAAAAATCTTAGTTTAACTATGACTGTATTGGATACAGGCATTTGGCAGTAAGAAGCAGAGCACGTTTCTGCAGTGGCTTCAGCAGTGGGGGCATTGATGCCTCGAGTTACATGAGCGCAGCAGGACCACAGGTGAATGGGGTGGTGTGGGTCAGCCTCGCGGGCTCAGTCTCTGTCTTCCTCAGCATGTGGGCTTTCACCCGTAGGCTTCATCCCAAGTGCTGCTGCAGCTCAGGTGGAACAACCTTGTAGAGCCTGCTTTCTAGGAAGAAGGGCAGTTTTTCCTGATTTGCCTTCTTTTGAATTAGGGAGAAACCCCTTTCCTGGAAGATGTTAGCGAAGTGTCCCCTTGCTCGCACTGCCAGGATGCAGTCACTTGCTCATGCTCTGTGTGTGTCCAGCCTTTTTGGGTGTGTGTACATGTGTCCTGGGAGACATCAAAGCAGACGTGGCTGGGAGGGAGTCAGCCTGGCAGGCAGCCCACTGTGAGTGCCGTAGTTTTCTAGTCCATGATTTCATTGTAGCAGAAATCACTTCACTTAATTTCTGGACAGATAAAGGCTTTAGTCCCTACAATTCATTTCATTACAATAGAAGACAGTGTCAGAGAGGTCATTTTTATGCCCAGACATGGTCTGCCCTCCTGTTTGTCCCCCGATGGGGGGATAGTTCTGCTTTCTGGGGCAATGTAGAGCTCCACTGCACTTCTTCATTGTGGTACCCCTTCAAGATTTGATGATGTGTTTCATATTCTCTTTCCCACTGACTTAAAGTCCAGACTATCCTTAATCGTTTTAGTGTGACATGGTCTCCTTTAAAATCTTCAGTCTGTTCTAGAAGCTGCAACTAGCTTGTCCACAAATGGGCTGTCTGAGTAGACTTAAGTCTTAAAAAACTGCTTAGCACAGTTTATAATACACGCTTTGGAAAAGATGGTCTGTTTGCCCCTTTCTCTTCTTGGTGGTAGGTTTTGCTGGTTTCCAGGTATAAAGGGAGACTCATTGGCCCTAATCTGAACTCTGTTAATATGACCTGAGATCATTCATGCTATCATTTTTGTATCACTGTCATGCTTATTGAGGACAGAGATGAACTAAGGCCCCCAGGTCATGGAAATGTGTGGTCTTTGGATGGCACACCGCTCTCTGAAAGATTAAATAGAAATATGCTACTAAGATGAAGGAGGAGTTTACCACTGCTTTAGGGGCAACTCAGCTTCACATTATTTACCCTGAATGTCCCAAAATCCCATACAAGTTCAAGGAAAAGGTAGCTCAATGAAATATTCTGAATTCACAGGAAACATTTAAAATTACAATTTCCAAAAGAATTAGCAACACCCTATGCTTACCTAAAAGATCCTGAAAATATCCAACTTGCTTTGAGATTTCCTGTGGGTAGGGGGTGCATTAAGAGGATAATCTGCTTTTGTTGGAATCCCACATCCAATATTTTATTATTAGTTTTGTGAACTGGGGCAGTTACTTGAAACCTCCAAGGACTCAATTCCTATATCAAGAAAAGGGTAGCAATCATATCTATTTGATAGGTCATTTGTGAGAACTCCTTGAGTTGTGAATACACATAAAACTCTTAGAAAAGGCCCTGGTATACGGATGGTGATCAGTGGCTGTTTCTCCTCTTCTTCTACTCACTGCTGTTGGCCAACCTTCTCGAACCTCTCAAACTTGTTCACCTTTATTCCTTTCCTCTGTCACAGTCCTAGCTCTGGCTCCAGTTATTACCTTAGCCTTTTCCCTCAATTTGCCTCTTTTTGTTCTTTCTCTTCTGTGAATATTAAAGGATAAATATAATCAAGTCACTTCTGTGTTTAAAACTGTCGCTGGTTCTCAGTTGCCCTTTTATTAAGCCCAAACCCCTTAACTGAGCCTGCAGGGCCTTGCAGTGGCTGGTCCTGTGGTTCTCAGCCACATTGTCTATCACCTCTTCCTGGAGTGTTTGCTTCCCAACCACACCTAAGTGCATGCAGGGTGTGAAGTCTGGGCCCTCCTTTCTGTGTTCTCCCTTTGCAAGGAAAACTGGATAGTCACTGCTTTTCCACTTTAGGAAGCCAATCTTCCTTGATTGGATTGGGTGTCATGCCTGCAAATACCTGGAATTAGCATCCAGCAAATCTTTTTGTTACTGCCAGCTACTTCCATTGCCTTTCCTAGACTGGAAGCTCCAAGACCCTGGGATTGTGTCTGGTTTACCTTTGTACCAGGAGCCCTATCTAGTGCCTGGCCTATGGTAGACTCAATAACTACACACTGAAATAAAGAAGACATTAATGTTAGGAATATCTGTATTTGTTCCTTTCTATTATTATCTAACCAAGCCTGTTTTTAATCATCCACAAGAATTTATAAAAGTACAAGTGATTTCTTTCAAAGTTAAAAAAATTTACATTTAATTATTCTCTTCATTTATTAATGTTACAATATGATTCCTTTTCACACTTTCAGTTGTAAATGTATGATCATGTTTTATGCGGTTACTATTATTTTTGGGTTGCCAGGTTTTGTGGGGAGTGTTTGAAAACATGTGCCTGATGCGTGTTTGGTACTCTTTGTCTTGAGCTGAGAGAAACAATAGAAGAAAATGAATGACAAATGGTAACATCTAAATCTTAAATCAGGTTTGATGCTGTAAGTGCAGAGCTGTTGAGCTGGATTTTGAAATCAAAGAGTACCATTCAGGCCATCGAGATAAAAGAGTATAAGAAGATGCAAGAGACTGCAGAAATGAAAAAGAAGTTGAAGGTAAGACATAAAACAAACATAGCAAGTGAAAAAAGTATTTCATCAGGATATGTTTGCTGTTGGCAGAAATATATGATGGGATCCAAGGACTTCCTGTAAAATAAATGTAGCTGTAGGTAGTTTTTAGAAGATTGTAGTAAATTTTGAATTGATTTGGTGGCTGTGTCAAATCTCTACATGGAGTAGGTTTTCTTCCCTCTCCTTCATTAACCGTTGAGAACTGCAGGAAGGGCTATTTCTTAAGGTGATCCAGTTATTATTTCTATTTTTTAGCTTAATTGGTACTTACAGATACAGACTAGTTTATGAATTTGTGTATGCTGAAGATGTTTTGCTTTCTCAATATAGACAACTATTTTATATCTAAAAATGTCTTCCCTGTATTCTCTTCAGAGAAGAGACAGTTGTTAAAGAAATGCTATGAAGATGTATGGGATTTTAGCCCCACTACTTTGTACCCTTATGTGTGTTACAAAAAATTGAGACAGAAGATTGAAGTGATTTATGTGACTGGTTTCATAGTCTCTGCACATCCTTTCATGAACAATTTGGACACTTTGAGCAAGTCTGCATCAGCAGTGGAGTTTGTAAAGAGTTTGGAAAACATTTATGAAACAGAGCTGTGTTAATATCAGTGATGTAAGTTAGAAAGTGGTACTACCGTAGCCATTGAAGGGAGGCCAGGATTGCAGTGTTTTCTCTACAGAGGGGGAGTCCAGAGGTGACCCCTGAGCAGAGACAGGGGACCCTTGAGCAGAGGCAGGGAGGTGAACAAGTGTGTTGTGATGCTGATGCTTGGGGCAAATACTCTGTTCGGGGACTCCCTGGTGGTGCAGCAGTTGAGTGCTGTGTTGCAAAGCTGCCGGCAGCCTCTGCAGCACTGGTTCGATCCCCAGCTGCCTGGTGAGGGTCCCACATGGCGCGCAGACCTCTCCTGCCACCCGCTGCTCCCCTCTGCAGTATATTTCTTTGTCAGTCTGCCTGTTCTGTTCCCTGCTCTGGCTCTGGTGAATTCTCTCACCCTCCCATGCTTCTGACTGTACCCGGTGCTTGTATAAATAAATAAATCTTAAAAAAAATATTCTGTTCGGTTTCATGCTAGATGTGCAGGGAAGAGTAGCAGAAGGCTAAGGCAGTAGAGAGTTTGAGGTCAGCCTGGTCAACTTTGAATATTTGTAGAGGAAGTTAAGATAGATTTCTGTCTCATCATTCTATGACATGTGTTCTTACATGGAGGTCTCTGTTGACTGTTGGCTTCCAAATCCAGAGGCTGCATTTTTGGTCTCAGTATTTGCCACAGTTAATCTTTCTCTTCTTAAATTCTCATAGCCCTAGGGTTCTTCATTTATACACACACACACACACACACACACACACACACAAAATATGTATCTGATCAAGTGTCTCCTGGGCTTGCAATTAATTAATGATTTCCCATTCCTATGGGGACAAAATGTTTCACAGTGCCCAAGGCCTTCCAGTGACCCACTTCCCACCTCTTATCACCTCCATGAGCCCCAGCCCTCCCTCTCCTCCTGCTGTTTCCTCACTTCCCTGCATTCCCCATGTGCTCAGAATGACCCTTTATTAAGCCTCTGAGCTGTGTGGCTGGCATACCCTCTACTCCAGGGGTCTCCTTTAGCCTCATTAGAAGAGTTAAGGGATTCATCCTTTGACTTCCATATTGCTTTGCTTTACCTCTGTGGAAGCCCTTATTTATGTCATTGTTTACATGCCTGCTAGGAGTGCTTAAAAGTGGGGATAATTTTCCACTGAACCCTGCAATTTAAGCACTCAGTAAAGTTCTTGGAAGGAGGGAAAGGTGACTGTGGGCAGGGAGAACGTGGGAGGCGGTTAACCTAGGAAGCCCTCTTGGAGTCCTCTGCTCAAGGAGTGGGGAGAGATAGAAATAGGAACTGAAACTTGTTAAATGCTGAAAGACCAATTCTCAAAAGCTCTAAAGTAGCAGAGAACTTGGAAGTTACAATGATCTTTATGGAACAAGTCACACAAAAAATAGAATAAGTTAAATTCTACCCTATGATCTAGGAATAATTTTATGTCCAGAAATTGTAGAAGTTCATTTATTTTCTTGCTTCAGACAAGTAGTAATAGATAACAAGGTGTTGGAAAAAATGTAAAATGAAAAAAAAATTACTCATTGCTTTAAATTAATTTTTCTCAAAAATAAGGGAAAGATTGGTTTAATTTTGTTCTAGTGAAGGGATATCTTATTACAAGTAATAAATATCTGGGTGGGAATCCCTAGTCCTGTCTACCATGACTGTAAAAAGTGGCAAAAATCAACTTATTTAGGGCAGGTGATCATTTTTCTCAGCTTGATGGTGACTTTTTGCATTGATATACAGTTTAATAGAAATAAATTGCTGTTTGTTATAGACTGTTAATATTTTTTAATCACTGATGCTAAAAATGGTGGTTTTATTGCATTAAACTTGAGGATCACAATAGGATAGCTGAATTTAATTGCCAGTGTATTATAGATGTAAGAAGTAGGATTTTTTTCTCTGAGTAGTCTGGGCAAAATAATCTGGGTTACTTAGAAGTTTTGATTCTGCTACTTTGAGTACTAATTGAAAAGTAGTGTGTGTGCACGCATGCACACACCCACATACATGTTGTTTCCATGGTTTTGCTCAGCCCTTTTTTACGAGTCCTGGAAAACTTGATTTTTCCTGGCCCTGCAATGGCGGGACATTGAGAATATTAAACCATGGAGACATGAATATTAAAATTAACATGAGAGTCACTTCTCAAACAAAAGGACAAAATACTCTAGTTTGGGCATTGATAGCATATTATCATGTTTAAAAATTCTGTATGAATTATCTTGTGATTGAAATTTTTGTCATACCCTTGAAGTAATGTAAACAACCAGCAAATGACATCAAGTCTCAAAATGTGCCTCTCTCTTTTCCTGATTAATTATTTTTGAATGTCATAACACACTTAGCTCTTTTGACTCAAAAGCAGTATTTTTTATGGTATGGCACATAATGAAGCTATGGATGTGAATTGATATCCTGGATTTAAGACACTAATTTTAATTATTTCCTCTTACTAGAAACTCATAATTATAGTGTATAATATTTTTCTTATAAAAGAAATTGAAGTATTATATTGTTTGGTTGAATGTATCTTTTAAAATTTATCATCTCTGGAGTTCTGAAGTGTAGCCTGGGTTAAGTAAACCTTGTAACACCTAAAGAGAATGTGGGAGGATCTTTGGACATTATAACTAAAATAGCATCAGTATTGTATTGAGAAGAAAGTTTGCAGTATTTGTTTGCATATTGGGACTTTATTTCCAGGGATTGGAGAAAGAACAGAAAGAAAGAACCCCTAGACTGGAAGAATTCAGCCAAACTGGACAGATCCTTTTGGAGCATATGGGAAAAGGTGAGACCCTTGCCATTTTTTTTTCATGTTTTCTTAGATGGTGGCATTGAATAATAATTAAAGTTTAACCTATCAAATATTTATTTGAAAACACTAACCCCCTTTTTTTTTTTGCTAGAAAGTGGTTTTTAAAATTTCTTATAGGCAGCAGAATCTTTCAAATGAAATTTTATGTTGAAGCTGATTAAAACAGATAAAAGCAGAGTTGTTCTGCTGTTTTACAGGGTCAGGGAATCTAAATAAAACTGTGATACCTCAGCAGAACAGTTAAAATACATTGTTGTAGATGATTTTGAAGCCTCATCCTTTTTGATTATATTTTCCTCCTTCATACCCAGGAAACTGCTTTAAAAAAAAACAGTATTTTTCCATCTGCTTTTCAAAAAATGTCAGTTTATTTTCTGTAAATGCTTGGGGTACACACACACACACACACACACACACACACACACTATGTACGTGTCCAGTTTATAACACTTGTTTAGAAAATTGTGCAAGTGCACCACTATCATAGATTATTAGTATAGTTCAATTATTTCTTCCCCCTCCCTCCCTCTCACCCCCTCACTCAAAATACACCCTAGTTAAATGTCTTGGGTACCCTGGGTGTGGGCATCCCACCAGGAGAGCGCTCCTTCAAGTATTTGCTTGAAGACACCCAAGGGCAAAGACAAACCTTCCATAATTTCTCTTGACATGCTGATTTTTTCAATAATTTAACTATGAGTTGAATTTATGTTGGTTATAGTCATAGATTCTTCAATTCTCCATCAACATGGTAGCATGGGACTCAGTCTGGTGTAAATGTGAGTTATGAGTCTGCATACTTAATTTACCCTCCTCTGTGTCTTTTAGTTGGTGTAGAATCAGTGTTCTGAGATTGGTGGGGGAGAATAATAAGGGTAGAGGTTATAGGGAGAGGAGCTAAAATTGGGAAAGGGGAGAATTTGGGGTCTCCTGTAGCCTTTTCTAGCTTTGTGTCCTTGGGCAAGTCAAGTAACCCTCTTGTTTCTTTGCTTCCTTTTCTAGAAAGCGAGGGTTCATTAGCTGACTGTAGCTTTTGCTATACATTTTGCTAAAATGTATACTCTGGAAAATAAGTTCATGTGTGGTTCTACTTGCAAAAGATCAAGGGTACTAATTGGGAATCCATGATATTTGATAAAGAAATGAGTTTTGTAATCTAATGTGCAGTTGTTTAATTTATAGGAAATCACATATTTTGCGTTACCATTTTTCTTGAATGTTGGTAGCAGTGGGATGCATTCATGACAGGACTCTAATTGTATTTTAGTTATTTCAAATTCTGTTTATTTTAAAAAGCATGTTATTAACATTTTTAGGGTGTGGTGAGAAACTAGGGAAGATGGACACAGATTTGAATAGGGTCTACTTGTTCTGCGTTTAATATTTTCATTTTTTTTGAGGGAGTACCTGCCTTTTGTTAATGAGAGAATAAAAGTGATTTTATAAATGACCCCAACTTTTGTCCATTTTTATCCATTATTCCAATTTACAGTATTATATATTACTTATCTGCATTTGACTAATCCTATTGCTATTGTAAACTCAGAAATGTTGGACAGAAATGAAAGCACATTTGGATGATTCTCTCTGGCTCCCATTTCACCCCCCCATTACAAAAATCACATTGTAATTAATGGATCATTAATGGGGAGGAAGTTATTTTACAGCATGTGATTTGGCCAGAGTTTGTTAAGGTAAGGAGGCAGATAAAGAATCCCACTCCATTAGATAAGCGTGCCAAATTCTTTAGTAAAACATGTTCAAATAATTGTGTCATTGTTTTCCTCAAACTGCTTCAAAAATCCTGCCACAGTGAAGTCTGATAGGACTTTTCTGCCTAATGCATTTGAATTAAGTGTTGTGATATCTCATATAGCATGAAAGTGTTTCTAAAAATGAAGTAGTCTGTTTGATCTGACTTTCACAGATGCTATGCCACGTGTGGTTTTCTTGGTTTAGCTTATCTTATTCCTGGGGTTTGTCAACTAATGTAACAGAGAAGGGGCTCATTTGAATGGAGTGACTTTGTGACTGCATTGCAGTAACTTTGTGAGCCCATTGTGACTGCAAAGTATATGAGCCTGTGGAATTTCATGATGGACTCATGCTTGTAAACATTCCTTTGATCCAGTAATGTTTGACTGAAAAGTGATGTCAGTGAGAATAAGGGTAGGAATATGTATATTTCACCCCTTCTTTATAATTAAGTAGATGCTAGGCTACCAATTCTGACTTTATCTAAGAGTTAGATATTCTGTAGGAATAGAAAAGTTATAACCCTGGATCTTTGAGAGCAAAACAACTACTTAAAAAGACAGTGTATAATTTTCCTTTTGTAAGCAAATTGCATTTTAGTTATTTCTTGACATCCATCCAACTAGTATTGGGTTGTGGGAAAAGTCATGATGCATTTTTGCTTGAAAAGCAGAAAAAAGATGTCATGACTTTTCCGATAACCCAATAATATCACAAGAGGAAGGAAATTTAAATTTTGAGAATTGAAGGAGCAAAGTAAATGGATCATGAACTTTTGCCAGTGACTAAAAAAGCAATTGAAGAATTTTCTTCAGTTTTCCGCGTACTAAAGCCAACTCTGTCTTACCTGTTTTCTAGGTAGTTTGGTTATCTTCCACCTCAAACATTTTATTTATCAGCTTAATTTTCTCTCTCATTTGGCATCAATTACCCTCGCATGAAAATGAAGTGGCTGCTGTTATTCCTTGTCCATTTTCAATAGAAATGACCCTGCAGAAGTGCAGCCATTGCTCAGATAGTTTGTCAGGAAAATGGTGATTTGTTTTGTTTATGACCCCATAAAGGGGATAATTAAACTTGGACTGTGGTGTGCATGTTTACCCCATGTCTGGTACTCCATCATCTACGTGATGGTGGGCAGTGAACTTCAGCAACTGCCATGATGATATATTCAAATTATGTGATGCCATGCTTGCATTGCTAATTTTCCTAGAGTACAGTGTGATGCAGAAATTTAAAAATACACAATCTGTCACTCATAAGTGGCCTTTTGTTTTACATACCATTTTTTAAGTTCTCATTATCCTGGAATTTTCCCATATGTTTACAAAACATGATTGCTTTATTTTACCTTTCCTCTGATAATAAAGATGTTAAGCCCATCATTTCAAAATGTATGCTGCTCACAGAAAAGAAAGATTCATTTCCAGAATGCTCATAGCTTTTTCTTAGTAGTTCTGAGAAATGACTTTCTTAGTAAAGATGGCATTTTCTCTTAGTAATTTTAAAGGATTTAATGGTATTTTTCACTAATATTATAATATTTGATGGTATTTTATGCTAGAGGAATGCCCATGGTAAAGCTTATATATATATATATATATATATATATATATATATATAAAAGCATACAGATATATACATATATATACACACATATACACACGTATATGTAATGTGTATTATATATGAAATATATACCTGTATCATATATAATACATTTTATATTATATAATGTATTATATAATATATAAATACTTCAGTATACACATAAATATATAAAGTTATATGTGGGTACATATAAGACTGTTATTTCTATAAATATTTTCTACTGTTCAAAAATGAGACAAACAAAATTATATATGAGAAATAAGTTCTGAGGATGTAACATATATAAAAAAAATCCACAATTGGTGTGTTCCCACTATAAAATTAATTTATAGGACATCAGTAATAAATGTGACACATTTGTTCCAATGTGTTTTTGACTGTCCTCCCCTTGCAGTGATACTTGGGCATATGTGGGTCTCTGCCAGGTAGACTTAGTGGTGGTATGGCCTGAATGCTGGTTTGATGTCCCTCCACCCACATGCCAGGGTGCTCCCTGCACTGGGGATTTTTGTCATCCATTTTGCAATTCACAGGACTCTGGTTTGGTCACCAAAACATTGAGCTGCCTCCTACTTTTTGTAGTCAGCTGTCTCTTTATCTGAGGACAGAGGATGTACCTTCTGATGTCAGAACCCAGATGAGTCCAGACAGTCTTTGACTTAGACTCGAAGCTGGCAGAGTAGCAGGATGCAACGAATGGAAACATATTCTATAGAAAAGCAGTGGTTGATTGTCATCTGCTGTGCCTTTGCCACATCCAGACCACTCCTGATGTGCAATTTCAAGCTCTCCCTCTCCTGCTTTGTTCAAGGAATTAAACATAGTTATTTCTAAATGCATCATTATAATTTTTTTGTGATTGCTTAAAGAGGGGCTTAGAGAGTGGTCATTAGAAGTGACATTGTCTCATTCTTTTGAATATGTCAGAATGTCTACAACAAACCCCAAACTAGTTTTTGTAAAATACATGAAGTACATGCTTATTCTTCATGTCTGTGTAGAAGGCCTTCCTACTGAAGAAATAAAAGGTGTTCTGGAGAACATATTAACAGAGTGGACGACTGTCTCTGAGCAGCTGGAAGAAGTGGCAAGAAAGATCCAGCTACAAGAAGATATCACTGCCTACTTTCGGCAACTTGATGAGCTTGAGAAAACCATCAGGGCAAAGGAGAGGGCCCACCAGGCTCCCTTTGCAGGCTCTCCACAACAGTCCTTGCCCAGCACGCGGGACTCCTGTCAGGTAAGGAGCCGGCCGTCTGGAACGTGAATCAATTCTGTGCCCAGCCCAGCATTTAAAGAAGCTGCTAGGTGTAGCATGAACTATTGGCTAATTCTGTTCTTATTAGCCTTCTGTGAGGATGTTCATATCACCAGTGAATTCTGTGACTATTTTCTCTTCCCCAGCGGGAATTGACAAATCTCCTCAGCCTCCAGCCCAAAATTGAAACACTACGTGCAAGGTGCTCAGCACTGAAGTCACAGCCCTCTGCTCCTGACTTTGTACAGCAGGCTTTTGATAGCTTTCTGGGACACTACCAAGCTGTGCAACAGGATTTAGAGGACTGTCAGCAACAGCTGGAGAATGGTAAACCTACTAGCTTCACTTTCTTCTGATGTGATTTTAATATCTTGGTTTGCCTTAATTTAAAAATTACTTCCTAATATTTAGTACAGCTACTTGTTTTGCAACAATCCAACTCTGTTTTCTTGTGTGTCTGCCATTGGTCCGGTGGTTGAAGTATATTCAGGCCATTTCTTGGATTCACACATGTGTGTAAACTTGCAAACACCTTCCTCTTAATTTAAACTCATGTTAACAGGGTAGAATGATTTTTATAAAGTTTTTTAAAGGGTGTTATTTTCCCCTTTCATTCAAGGAGGTCAGCTAATATTACTAGAAGGGCATAAATGAATGATCACTTAATTTTGCTCACTCAAAATTGTTTAAATTTAGCAATATCTTCTTTTAAAACAACTTCTGTTTCTCTTTCAATGCTTGAAAAACTAGAGTTTTTACTTTTGGAATACACATAGTTTTGGAAAGTTCACTGAAAGGATCTGAAACCTTATCCTTCATACGTTGTGTATTTTCCTCAGCCATTTTGTAAGTCAGGAGTTGTATTGTATTATGAAATGCTGTTGGTAATGCATGCTGAGAAGCTGTATATTTAACATACCATTACTTACTGCAAAAACAGATTGTGTAATGGCTTGTGGGAATCTCTGCATGTACATCGTAGGCAAATGTGTTAGGCTTCCTTTCTTCTGGAAAGACATTTGGACGCCATATTTTGTTCATCAAGTATGAAATGTTTTGCAAGTACCACTTTTCTATTTACTGTCCTAAAATATACTTTCAGTTTTGATGAAAATCAGTAGGCACTTTAAAAATATTTAGTTTCTTAACTTTAAACTTTAAAAAATTATTTTTTTTAATTGTGGTGAAATTCACCTAACATTTACCATTTTAACCACTTTTCAATATAGAGTTCAGCTGTGTTGAATGTATTCACGCTGTAGTACAATCTCCAGAACTTTTTCATTGCATAAAGTTGCAACTCTGTCCCCATTAAACAGCATCTCTCCATTTCCCCCTAAATTCCAGTCCCAGATACCCACCATTCTAATTTTTGCTTCTCTGAATTTGGCTATTCTAGATAGCAGAATAGCAGATTTCAGTAGAATTATACTCTTTTCTTTCTTTTTTGTTTTGTTATTGGCTTATTTCACTTAGCACAACACACCAAAGTGTGTCCATATGGTAGCATGTGTCAGAATTTCCTTTTATTTGTATTTTTTCTAGGGCTGAATTAGTTTCCACCCTACAAATATTCCACATTCTGCTAATCTAGTCATGTGTCAATGGAAATTTGAGTTGTGTCCACCTTTTGGTTATTGTGACTGATGCTGCTCATTTCTTAACTTTTGTTGCTAGTTCTGTTCACCATTTTCTGCTTCAAAAGAGCCTCTTTCCTACCTCCATAAGGGTTGTTTGTTTGTGACATCGATGGCAGGGACGGATAGATGTTGTAGCTGGCTTGCAGTCGCTGTCTCTGTGGTCTGGAAGAGCTGTGGTGTTCCCGTGTCCTGTCTGCTACTTTAGAGATGACAGTTTGTCCACATGCTTGAGATTAGAGGAAGACTGGTTGAGAGGATCTTTGTTTCCTTTATCAGGGACAAATAGGTTCTATGGGACAAAGGGAACATTGTAGTATCACCTTCAGGGAGACGAGATGAAATGAAGAAAAATGATAGTGGATTAGTGGATGACTCCAAACATCGGCATGCACAGAATTGAAGTCACCGGCTCTCAGAAATGCCAGGGGAAAGATTTGTTTCCATAGCTAACAGAGACCTATTTCAAATTTAGATTATGGAGTTTGATGTCACTCATATTAGAATTCACTTATTTTAGGGCCTCCCCGGTGGCACAGCGGTTGAGCACTGGGTTGCGAAGCTGCCCGCAGCCTCTGCAGCGCCGGTTCGATCCCCGGCTGCTCCCCAGCCACCGAAGGAGGGTCCCACATGGCGCGCAGACCTCTCCTGCTGCCCGCTGCTTCCCTCAGCAGTGTACTTCGGTCCTTCTGCCTGCTCAGCTCCCCACTCTGGCTCTGGTGAATTCTTTCACCCTCCCACTCTTCTGAGTGTACCCAGTGCTTGTATAAATAAATAAACAAATAAATAAATAAATCTTAAAAAAAAAAAAAAAGAATTCACTTATTTTATATAGAACAAATGGCATATATAATAATATCAGGTTCATAACATTGTTTTTCTCAAAATAAATACTTTTAAATAAACAGACCTGAAGAGCCAACCTGGATGTGCACATTTGGAAACACTGAAAACATTAAAGGATTTGCTAAATGATTCAGAAAATAAGGCTCAGACATCTTTGAGTGTCTTGAATGATCTTGCAAAGGTGGAGGAGGCCCTGCAAGAAAGAAAGGTAACATGTATTTGGGTTTTAGTAGTCGAGTCATTTTTAATAACTCATTTCAAATATTTTGAAATATTTTTCAGCAATTTAAAATAATGTCATTTTTTGTCAAAATTGATCAACGAGTTCTTTTTAATTTGAAGGTTTGTCACTATAGTTACTGTACTTCATATCACAGAATGTAGCAAAGTTATTTATTATTTTTAAATAGAATAAATGCATATTTTCTCCTTCTGTTGCCATTAGCCTGACATTTTCAGCCTGTTAATAATCCATTAAAACATCTTTAATAAAATGAAGACTGTAGGTTGAACTGAGGTGTTCTTTTCCTGTGTTGAATATAAATGCTTCTCTCACCTTAGAATATATGGCTATTTCATAGGATAGAAAGAAAACTTTTACTTTTTTGATTGTGCTTATTTTTTCATCAGTTTTTCCCATCTTTCTATCAAATGCATTTTACTGAAATTTTTATAGAATTAATATTGCATTATGACATTATATAGGTTTTAGGTATGCCTCATTATATATCAACATCAATATACTAGATTAAATTCATTACTAAATGTCCAACATATAAAAAGTTTTTAAAAAGTGACATTTGACCACTTATACTCCATATTATTACATTTGTACAAATTATTGTGTGTAATTTTAATATTTAAAAATTTTTTCAGGCCTTTGATGAGTTTCTTGAGAATCAAAAACCCACATTATATAAACTTGCAGAAGAAACAAAGACTTTGGGGAAAAATGTTGCACCAGATGTAGAAAAAATGTATAAGCAAGAATTTGATGATGTTCAAGGAAAGTGGAACAAACTAAGTGTCAGAGTTTCCAAGGATTTGCATTTTCTTGAGGAAATTACACCCAGGCTCAGGACTTTTGAGGTAAGTCAAAAATTTGAGACTGTTAGGAGTTTCAGTTTATTACAGTGTAAAATAGTAATTATCATGAAAGACTCAAGTGTGTATATATGTTGAGTATTATTTGCGTTCCTTTTCGCTCCATACTTTTTATTTCCTTAGCTGGGGTTTATAACTTGTTTTCCAAAGTTGTAGGTTTAATATGTTGGAAAGCATATTTATTTCCTTTTGTCTTATAAAAGCTGCTTGGTAAAGGTAATGTGGACCTTGATGATAAGAGAAATTGCTTAAAAATGGTCAAAATAATGTTTCAGGATGAAGAGCCTGCAGGAAATACAGACTGGGATTTGGTTAGAGTGGTAGAGGTTGCCCAGGTAGCTGAGTGTTTGAAACAGTTTATATAAAGTTTTATATGTTTGGAGTTGAAAATCTCAAGTAGGTCATTGACAAACAGTAGCAATTTGGGACAGAAAGTAATTCACAGGACACAAACATGCAGAAGCATGATCCTTCTTGAAAATGTGAACAGATGAACTAGTGATAAAGTTCCATAGATTTAATATGGGGACATAAAAAAAGAAAGTGGTTAAAGTCAATGTCAGATAAGACAATCAGAATTTTAACATTTTGCCTGTGTCAAAGTTGAAGTGGTTTTTCTAAATCACCTTGTTTTTGAATAGGAAATATCTGCTTGAAGAATGAATGAAGAACTCTCTTCCTAGGGGTTCTCCAAGCTCACAGTGCCTCCTTAAGTGGTCATTGGCATCCCAAGATATACTTCTAGACTATTGTCTGGCACAGAGAAGGCGCTCAATAAGTGTTTTCGTTGAATAAAATGAGATTAGTAATGAAAGATTTAGATTTAGAAATTACATATATGTTTGTGTGTGTAGTTCTCTGTCTTTATCCCTGTCTTTCTGTCTGTCCATCCATCCTTTGTGTACACACACGCACATGCACATACTCACACACACACACATAATTGTATTTAGATCCCAAGAGAAGTTATGTAAAAAATAAATTGCTAAAAAAGTGAAAAGTTTGAAAGTAATGACATTATGAAAACAATGTTTTAAAAATAAAGTGCCATGAACATGTGGTAGGAAAGAACTGGAGATTTTACAGATCAGTGTGAAGAGATCCAGCACATGGATTCAAGTCTGGTGACCACTTTAGCTGGAGGGAAGCTTTTTGACCAGGAGTCAATGGACAGTTTCAATGAATGACCAGTAGGAGAATGAAGGATGAGTGTGGTGCAGTACTGGAAGGAGGTTGTTTTCTTTATGTGCAAGCTACAATTTTACACTGAAATCTCACTAGAATAATTTGTTAATTTTGAAGTGTATTATGTGTAGTTTTGGATTTTTGACTCCTTTAATTTTGTGAGTGGATCTTATCAGTTTTCTGTTGTAATTCTTTCCAACCATAAAGACCAAAGTTATTGTTACTGGTGATTCTAAAATTTTTGGTTATGGTCCAAGCCAATGCTTGGATTATTAGTTGTTCTTGATCAGGGATGATTTTTTCCTCCAAAGGACATTTTTAATGATTGGGTATATTATTGGTTCCCACAGCGGTGGGGATTGGTGAGTGCTTTTGTTGTCTGGTGGGTCAAGGTGGGACTGCACACAGACATCCTTCATACACAGCCCCCACAACCAAAGAATTACTTGGCTCAAAATATCAGCAGTGCTGAGGATGAGTAATTAGCAAATAAATACTTCCCACCTTTTAGAAATATCATTGCTTTGTTTTCAAATTTAAATCTGAGATATAGTTAGGGAAATTTATAGGTAGAGATTAACCCAAAGGTTAAATTTTTTTGACTCTTAAAGGTATATTTTAGGGTTAGCTGAATGTGTGCTAATATTTTAATATGGAATTTAAAGAAAATAAATATTTATCCAAATAATAAAAAAGATTCCTGTGGTTATGGTAATCCAGCCTTAGGCTTTAGTGGGTTGTGGTTACTAATGAAGTATATCCAGGTACCTAAAGTGGCCAGCAGGATGCATGCCAAACTTGTTTCTATTAAAATATCCCACATCAGGCATGTATCTAGATATTTAGATTTTTTTTATTTGTTGTAACAGTAGCAGACTTATATGTCCAGTTATTATTTTTTTTAAGATTTATTTTTATTTATACAAGAACTGGTATATAGGCCAGAGGCGTGGGAGGGTAAGAGGATTCACCAGAGACAGAGTGGGGAGCAGAACAGGCAGACTGACTGAAATACACTGCTGAGGGGAGCAGCTGGCGAGACAGGAGAGGTCTGCTGTGCCATGTGGATTTCTCCCTAGCTGACCAGGGATTGAATTCGTGCCGCAGAAGCTGAGGATTGCTTCATAGTGTGGTGCTTAACCCCTTGCGCCACCAGGGAGGCCCAGTTTGTGTTTTTTTCCATTGTTGTTCATTTCCTTTTTACTTCCTGTATCTTCCATAAATAAGTGAAGTCATATGTTATTTGTCTTTCTCCTGAGTTATTTCACTTAACTCAATCTATTCAAGGTCAACCTATGTTGTTACAAATGGCAAGATCTCATCTTTTTTATGACTGTGTAGTATTCCACAGTATATGTACCACTGATGGATAATTTTTTGGCCTCTGAGTTTTACTTGTCTTTGTCATGATTTTAAGACAGTAGATTTTTGATTCAATGTTAATTTATTATTTTTTCTTAGGAACAAAGAGGTTGATTTGTTTATTTTTAAAATGTAGTTTTAAGCATATAAATAATACATAAAGTCTGTTTATTGTGAAGAAATTGAATAATAGAGAGGTAATTAGAAGGAAAATTTAGAGTTCCCTTTCATCCCTAATACTATTTCCTTTCCTTGAGGCAACTAATATTAACAATAATCCTTGCTTGAGGTTAACAGAATCAAAGATAAAAACAAAGCTTGTGAATATCACTAGTTCAGGAAAATTGTCCATAATGATAGAAACAAAGGATATTAGAACTCTATAAGGCATATTTAAATAGATAGTAGGTAAATAGATAGTAGGTAATTACTCAATATAATAATGCTTTCCACTGACAAAACACATTTCAACTGAAAATATTTTCATATTTATGTGCTTTCTCTTTTACTACCTTCCTATAATACTTGTAGGATGATTTTGTTATTTATGTGCCAATTTTAGCTTTGTGTTATTTGTAGAAAAATAGTATCTTCCTCATTTGCCTACATTTCCTTTGTCTTCATAGCCAGTGGCTTTTTTATGGGTAGAGATTGGTCCTATGTATTCTGATTCACAGTGTCTTAGTCATATGCATTTTTAAATTCTTCTTTTGAAAAATCTATTCTATGCCAAAGTAATGACCTCAACTCTTGTGTTTAAAGAATTGAACTATCAGTTAGTGTTTTTAAAAACTACCTCACAGAAAGTCCTCCCATTCCTTCCAGGTAGCAAAATACTTAAAATTATGTGACAAAGGTAATTTTTTCATGACTGGTTTTACTGACAGGATTTTCTTTTGCATTATGGGGAGTAAATATTATAAAATCCCAAGAGGCTGCTGATAGATATTTTGTGCCCAGAAATAATATCTTTGCATTCAGGACTTGCAAGATATTTTGTATTATTTCATTTTGCTACTCAAGATCGCCTGTTGTACAATCAGACTGGGAACTTGTAAACTCATCCCCGAGGCCCACACAAATCTTTGTTTCACCACTGCTCCTGCCCCTTTAGATCTTTCCTTCCCCTAAATCCTTCCTGCTGTGTTCAGAACTTCCTGTAATCTCCTCTCCTGACAATCCCATTAAGCTTTAAATCTGACTCCCACTTCCAGTCTCTTGCCTCTGAATTCATCTTCCATGCCGACTCCAGGAAGTTCCACTTCTGGACCGGTTGTCTTTGCCACGAAGACAAAGTACATACATAGTCTGCTCTTAATTCCTGTCCTTTAATCAAAAACCCTGACTGCATACCCTCTGTAAGCTGAGTCTGGTGGGGAGACTATGCTGGTCACAACAAAGATAACCCTGGACAATTGCTTATTTCTTTGGAGTTTGCAGCCTCTTCTTATCTCAACCTTTAGGAATAAACTTCTACAAGCCGCCTTCCACCTTGCTCACCACCACTCCCACACTCAGATAATTATTCCCTTCTCTGTGGTCCTGCTGTCTCTTCACTTCACAGCAACCCTACCTCAAGCCAGTTTTTGTTATTTTGCAAGACTGGCGTGTCTCTCCTCCCCCAAGGCATGAGACCCTAGTATGGCATCCAGCAAGTGAGGGGATGTGTGTGATTGTTCTTTAGGGACCTCCAGATATCTTGTCACTTACACCTCTCTAGTGAGGTTGCATCTCTGAGATTGCAATGCCTGGTGATCCTTGGTGGCAGGATACCCCTAAGTCACAGTCCTTCTTCAGGTTAAAGGCACACACTGAACAGATGTCCTCATGCACAGCACAGAAGGGGTCCTGCAGGAGCTCAGTAGGCTTTGGAATGGCTTGGAAAGCCTTGCAGGGCTTTCCAAATACAATGTTAAATATTTTATAAGACTAATATGCAGTATGGCTGATTGAACTCTTCCGGGGTCACAGACAATTGAGATTATCATTTCATAAAGGTTTTTTTTTCCCTCATTTAGAATGCATTTTACTTTACTAAATGAGATATTGGTGTAGTCTAAATCATAGCTTTAAGAAAACTGAGTTTCAGATAAGTAAATATAGTAGCAAGGTCATCCCTAGTCTTCCCCGCTAAATGAGGAAATACTTTTTAAAGAGTGTTTTGAGGTTAATGAATATTATCAAACCAAATGAAATAGAAACCCTATTACTTTTAATTACTGTTTTAATTTGGGTTTCACATTTCTTCTCGCCTATGTCTTACATTAGAAATCACTGCTTAAGAAGTAGTGGACATTCCAGCAGATGGGGGAAGAGCAAAAGAAAATGCCAAGAATTTAGCTGTAAACAAAACCTGGAGATAGTTGTGTAACTTGGAATCTTTTTGTTTTACATCCAGAATCAAGCTTCAAATTACCTCCATCCCTAGCTCAGGGTCTGGGTAGGTGGATGGGGTGTGATAGGGTTAAGGTTAAAGTGTTAATGACCTCACATTCCTTTTCTGTGACCCCAGAGTAAGGTGTTGCTCATCCCAAATGCTTACATGTCATTGCTTTTGAGCACTGATGGCCAAATGTAGAATTTTGATTCTTCCAAGCTAGAATATTTGATAATTTGTTTTCCAAACTACTATATCGGTCATTTTGTATTTGCTTAAGAATTTGCGAGCATAAGTAAGAATGAGAAATGGTTGCCTTAGCTTAGTAAGTATCTGGTGTGTGTGTGTTTTGGCATGACGTGATGAGGCATTTATTTTAGAACTTTACTTGTACTTTTTTATATTGCTTTAAAAGAACAGAGGTGCCCCCAGGAAGATAAATATTAGAGATTATCCAATCTGTCCTGTTTATCTGCAGGTGGATAGAGGCAGAGAAAAAAAAAAATTGAATGTTCATTATTGTACATTAGTAACTCAGAAGTGCCTCAGCTGAGTGTAACCTCTTTGCTGTACAATTGACTTAAAGGTGAGCAGAATTTTGGCAGTACATATCTCCTACAAGAGGATTGAGACAATATTTTCCTTCTGGGGAAAGAGGAGATACCAGAGGATAGGCAGAGCTCTGTTCTGCAATTCGCTGCACACAGATGGCAACTAGTATTGACCTTAGTGGCTCAATAATCCTTCCTGCACGGTGTGGCCACAGGCTGGGGATGCCCTGGGAACCTGCTGCTACTCAGCTCTTCCAAAGTTGGGCTCTTTCCTCATTATCTTCATTTCCTTCTACTGAGCTTTATTCAGCCAGGTCTATTCAGATGTATCCCAAGCAGCAGCTCTTTCAATTACTTTTAAGCAATTACTTTGAAAGAGTTACAGGCTAGAGCAAACATTAATGTTGGCAGCAATTAAAGACAGTAAACAGAAGCTTATGCAGACATGTATTCACCCTGGCCACTCCTACTGTGGAGTCTCACCTGAGTCTGTGCCCATCAGAGAGGGGAAAAGGAGGAAGGAAAGGGACAGATGTCCTAAAACTTCCCATTTTATGCCAACAATTGGGATTGTTGAGACTGCTTGCTTTAGTCAAGACTGATTTTCATTAAATCTCCTTTGAATATAATGCTTCTATATAAATTTCAAAATTCCTTGTCCTAAAAGATTCTCAGTTTTCCTATTCAAAACTAGATTTAATGAATTTCCCAGTTACACAACGGTAATGCTGCCTTGAATTCTTAAGTTCTTGAGTTCATAATGGAGATGAACGGTAAGTACAGAGAGTGTCGATGCATTAAATGAATGGTGAATAAACGTCCTTCATGAACTCTCTCTGTATGCTCAAGCTTCCTTTCATTTAGCGTTAGGAGTCAAGTGGAAAAAACTCCACAGATCTTCCAGATGCCTAAATCTTCATTTCACTAATCATGGGATTTTTACCCATGATAACATTATGCAGTTTATGAGAAATTCAAGAAAAATGGAGATGGATGAATTTATTGATTAAAGGGAAGGATTATTTTCTAAACGCTAGAAGAGTAAACTTGCTATCAGTTCCTAGCAAAGCTGTAAATAAATGACCAACCAGAGATATTACTTGTCTTAGGAAAGAATGTGGGGGTCACAAGGAATCAACAGGAAGACCACAAATAAGCGTTGATGAGACTCATTTAAGTGCTGCTTTCTTTTATTTACTTTTTGGAGGAAGAATACTAGATTATTAGATAAGTAGATTTATTGAGTTGTACCTTTCATGTGCATTCACCTACTGCTCACATAATACTCACAAACTGTCATTTGGGGCAAGTCTTGATTTCAGTAAAGTATTTGAGAAACTCCATGACCTCATAAGAAGGAAATGGAGGGCCTCCCCAGTGGCGCAGTTGCGAAGCTGCCCGCAGCTTCTGCAGCGCTGGTTCGATCCCCGGCCACTGGGCGAGGGTCCCACACGGCGCACAGACCTCTCCTGCCGCCCGCTGCTCCCCTCAGCAGTGTACTTTGTCAGTCTGGCTGTTCTGCTCCCTACTCTGGCTCTGGTGAATTCTCTCACCCTTCACGCTTCTAACTGTATCCAGTGCTTGTATAAATAAATAAATAAATCAATCTTTAAAAAAAAAAAAAAAACCAACTTCAAGGAACATGAAGAAATTATTTTATATATATATATATATATATATATATATATATATATATATATATAAAGGAGATGGAAAGCTAGCTAGGTGCTAATACACTGTAGCTTCCCATAGTTTAAAAACTAAGTTGAAAGTTTGTTGATTCATGAATGTCATAGTGTCCTTCTGGGGAAATGCTTGGGTAGACACTGTCATTGGCATTTTTTTTTCACCTGGAAAAATTCCGAAAGTGAATTAAAAAACTCCAAAAGATAAACTATTCTTGCCTCTCAGCTTTGTGGAGAAGAGCAAGCTGGGAGGAATTAACCAGTACTAATGGGGAAAACTGAAAATTCAAATCTGTGTTGGCTTCCTTTGGTTGTATTGTCAGCTAATTTTAGTTAACATAATAAGGCAACATTTAATATATATAAATATCAAGAACTGAAATTATTATAGAAGTCAATTAAAGAATATGAGGTAGGAGAAATAAAATTTTGAAGGAGCGATGGCAATATTAATAATCTGGTTAACCATAACATGAATATTATAAACAAAAAACAAAAGAAAAGAAAAACCTATTGTTAAAAAAGAAAACTTAATTTTAGCTAGTGTTTCATGTATGTAATATCCATATGGGAAATACCAGTTAGAATTTATTTTTGTCATTCATTCCAACTTCAAAAAAATAATTGGTTCTGGACATTAAAAAATTGAGGTAGTTTCTTGATCATGTTGATTAGAATGGGAAGTGCAACACGCCTTGGCTATCATGTCCTAGAAATATGGCTATAAGAATTGGGAATGCTTAACCAATAAGGATAGGGGAAGATACAGTGGCTGCTTTCAAATCCAAAGAGCTTTCCTGAACAGGAGAGTAAATTTATCTCCATTCCTAGGGATGAATGAGAAGCAGAGAATCGAAGAAGGTACATGGGAACATTTAGCTCAATACGAGGGAAATGAACAAATCAGACTGGTCAGTCAAAGATAGAAGGGAAGGTCTCGTCAAGCCATGTCCATCACTTTACTCTAGAACTGGAACTCATTTGGATCTTTTTCCTCCTTTACGGCCCAATTCCAATATACTGCCTCTCAGAAATATCTTTGTCTTTGCAAATTGTTTCCTTTCATTTGATTTTGAACCCCCAGCACCATCAATAGTAACTGGATTCAATTTAGTAGAAGATGGGTAAAAGAAAGTACTGGTTTCTCGGATAACAAGGCATTCAACAGCAGAACTAAGAACAATCTGTTGTATTCTTTCCATGATGCTCTTTATTTATTCCAGGTTTGAGTAGCTGCCTTTAGGAGAAAATTTGTTTTACATTATATGAGAATAAAAGTTTTTTAGCTGATTATACCCAGAAAAGCAATTTTCCTGGATAGTGTTTTGAGTTATTTAGAATGGCCACTAAACTGTCATAGTCAAGAATAAAGAAAATCATAATATCAGAGTTGGCAATTTTTAAAAAAGAAATAAAATAAATGAAAATGATGCTATCAAGCTTTTGAAAAGTTGTCTTTTTTCTCAATAGCAATAGATCTTGAGATAGAGTAGGTTGAATGTCACTGAGTAATATCCCCCTTTGTTATTGTGTTCAATTTAGGCTGATTCGAAAGTCATTGAGAAGTGGATGGATGGCGTGAAAGACTTCTTAATGAAGGAGCAGGCTGTTCGTGGAGACACGCAAGGGCTGCAGAGGCAGCTCGACCAGTGCTCTGTGAGTTCTGCTGATCTAGGGAACTGCTATAATAAATAGCATTTTCTTCATCATCTTATTATTTGCTGCTGTTATTAAAATTGTAAGACTATGACATGACAATAGGCCTAGCTAAAGTATCTTTCATCATAAGCCTTTTCTTGACTTGATAGTTAATAAAAGAATGACAGATTATAGTATTCCTATTTTTATTTTTGGCCACGGTTATAGATTTTTTGGATAAAGGGAACAAGAGCAATTTTAGTGCATTAGGGCCTGCTAGTTTATTTGAAAATGACAATCTTAGTGTCATTATCACCGATTGCATATTGTTCTTTATCGTGCCATACGGTGAGGCTTTACGGAAAACATATTTAACAGATGAAATCTGCCAGTAATACTCCATGCAGTTTCTATTTGGTGAAATCATTAGGCTTCTCTAAATTAATTAAAAGTACTGTTCCCTGCTGAGAGTCAAGTATTTCCAATCTAATTTGGCAGATGGCTCGATGAAGAACCCAGGTGAAATGAATTTCCTAAGACACAGTACTTCTTAAGTAGTTAAAAGTCCTGACTCCATACTTATAATACTTGCAGGGATACATCAGGCCAACTGTAATTATGGCATCCTCTAATACAGGAATTAACTCAACATGGGTCTATTTTTTATGTTCAGACATTTGTTAATGAAATAGAAACAATGGAATCATCTCTGAAAGACATGAAAGACATAGAAGCTAACCTTCAAAGTTGTCCTATTGCTGGAATCAAAAGCTGGGTGCAGACAAAGCTAGTTGACTACCAAACCCAACTGGAGAGATTAAGCAAGGAGGTGAGTTTTTCAACTTTACTGTCAAGAAAGTAGATTATGTCTTTTCTTGACCAACTAAATTCTATCCAGACTCAAAACTAGTGGTCTAAAATGGGTGGCTGCTAGGGTCAAGAAATGCGTCATTATTCCTTTATAATTAAGGGAGGGTACAGATTGCTCATTTTGGATCCTTGGTGGAAATAAGCTCGGTGTATTTAATAAAGAATGAGAAAGTCAGGGCCTCCCTGGTGGTGCAGGGGTTAGTCTCAGTGCTTATCATGCTATCAGCAGCCACTGTGTCCTGAGTTCGATCCCCAGGCAGGGAGCTGACCCAGATGGCACAGCAGACCTCACCTGTCTTGCCCGCTGCTCCCCTCAGCACTGTATTTCAGTAGATCTGCCTGTTCTGCTCCCCACTCTGTCTCTGGTGAATCCTCTCACCCCCTATACTTCTGGCCTACACCCCGGTTCTTGCATGCATGCATAAATTAAAAAAAACTTAAAAAAAGAATAAATCTTAAAAAAAGAAAGTCAGTGAAGCTGGAATAGAAAGAAGAGAGGAGATAGTGGGTTAGGGGAGGATAAGAGTTGAGGTGAGAAGGTAGGTGGAATGAATGGTATATGATCTTTGAAGCAAAGATTTTCAGTTTTATTTTATATGCAATTTCTCATGGAAAGCTGAGGGATTTGAGCAGGCAAATGACATTTTGTAGATCTTTTAAGATCACGCATGTTTTCATGTGGATGATTTTCTCTGAAAGGCGAGAATGGATACAGGGACATTATTTAAGAACTTACTGTGGTCTTCGAGAACAAGGATGGCTCCTTGGACTAGGGAGGTAATGGACTAGGTAATGGTGAGGAGGTAAAGGTGAGAATAAGTGTCATAGCATTCAAATCTTAGGTTTGAACGATATTTTGAAAAGAGATGGGTGTCTGATAATGGGTTGGATACAAGATAAAGGATACTTTTTGCAAAGTTCCACTTTGTGTGAATTGTCATGCTGTTTCCTGAAATGGCAAAGACTCAGGGTGAGGAGCAGGTGAACTGTTGATTTCCATTCTTGAAGAGTTAAGGTCGAGATTACTGTGAAACCATTGCTTTCCTGGTACAATCTGAAACCAACACACACAGAAGGCAGGGAGAGACCAAAGAAGGAGGCAGTTACCCCAGAATACTCCAGCAGTTTTAGTGAACGAGGGAACTTACTTAGGAGGCATAGTCTGGCTGTGAGACTAGTGCTTCTCTCCCCCTGCTGCCCTGCACCCAATCTGAAAGTTTTATAATAGCAGCTTTGGCTGTGTTAAGTCACATATGCAGCACAGAGAGCCTCGAAAACACACATTAAAGACTTTCTCCTGGGAGTGACATCTGTTTTTTGTTTTTTTTTTTTGTGGGACCCTCCCCGGCGGCCAGGGAATGAACTGTTGCTGCAGAGGCTGAGGGCAGCCTCGCAGCCCAGCGCTCAACCACTGTGCCACCAGGGGAGGCTCCTTAGAGTGACTTCTGGACTTGCACATTTTCAGGGAAGGGGGATAAGAACCCTGCAGTTGCCAGGTCCAGATCTCAATGGGTGAATTCAACCATTGTGCTCTTTTCACTGTCTCTTCCCATTAATTATTAAATAATTGTTATATTAAATAATTAATATATAATAATAATGAATATATATTATACAGACATACAAATGGGGCTCTTTAAGCCCTCTAGAAAGAGGGGGCAGAGACCAAGGTTGCTAAGAAGGAAAGACTGACCAGAGGGAAAAAGTCCCAAGAGTAAGTGGAGAAAGCTTTCCGCAGTGCCCTGTGCTGAGGCATCTGGAGGCCAGGCAGCCCTGGCAGCAGGCTTTCCTTCTGACAAGCACTTCTAACAACCTGGAGAGAGGAGGCTCCAGTGAAGTGTTGGGGAAGAAAGTTATGTTGGAGAATATTGAGGAGAGAATAGGAGTGAGGAAGTTGGATAGTAAATGTAACCATCTTGGAGAGATTTTCCATCAAGGGGGCAGAGAAAAGGGAAGTGGAATCCAAAAGGGTATTTTTTTTTTTTTTTTTTATAGAGGCATGCTTTATTTATTTGTTTGCTGGTTTGTTTTGTTTATACATGCACTGGGTACAGTCAGAAGCACGGGAGGGTGAGAGAATTCACCAGAGCCAGAGCGGGGAGCAGAGCAGGCAGAAGGACCGAAGTACACTGCTGAGGGGAGCAGCGGGCGGCAGGAGAGGTCTGCACGCCATGTGGGACCCGCCTCTGGTGGCCGGGGAGCAGCCGGGGATCGAACCGGCGCCGCAGAGGCCGCGGGCAGCTTCGCAACCCAGCGCTCAACCGCTGCGCCACCGGGGAGGCCCCAAAAGGGTATTTTTGTAATTTTTAACCAACAAATTTATATCTGTCCACCTACCTACCTACATACATACATACACAATACACCTAGAGCAACATAGAATTAATTGTGAATTATTATTAATTTAATGTATGAAAATAAATGTATGGGATTTAAAAAAAAAAGTCCTCATTAGGGAAGTGGCCGTGTGTTATGTGAATAATTACCCAAAGCAGTTACAGACTGTTTATTTCTTTGAGTACTAAAAAGATTGAAGATATTTCCATTAAACATAACATTGCCAAAATTTCATTTTGCTGAGAAGGAACGCAGACATAAAACCAATCAACAAACATTCTAGCGCATCAATTATATCCATGATATAAAAAGGAAGAAACTTTGGGGCTCCCCGGTGGCGCAGCAGTTGAGCGCTGGGTTGCGAAGCTGCCCGCAGCCTCTGCAGTGCCGGTTCGATCCCCGGCTGCTCCCCGGCCACTGGAGAAGGGTCCCACATGGCGCGCAGACCTCTCCTGCCGCCCGCTGCTCCCCTCAGCAGTGTACTTAGGTCCTTCTCTCTGTTCTGTTCCCCGCTCTGGCTCTGGTGAATTCTCTCACCCTCCCGCGCTACTGACTGTACCCAGTGCTTGTATAAATAAATAAATATTTAAAAAAAAAATAAAAAGGAAGAAACTTTAATGCCCCAATTGAGCATATATTATTATCACAGGATAATTATTTATAATTTTGAGATTTTTTTTATTGTTAAAAAGTTGGCACAGCATCTTATTTTTCTTGTTTCTCTGGATTCTTGAAAATTATGGTATTGACTGGTGAGACTCAGGAATCATCCCTTTCTCTCTTGTCTGTCCATCCATCCATCCATCCATCCATCCATACATCCATCCATCCATCCATCCATCTTCTGTTATCCATCTAATATTTTTTGAGACACTCACTAGATTAAACTGCTGGTCAGACAGACTTGGGAGCTAGGACTAAGTAGATTGTTGGCAACAGGTTCCTAGATTCTGGGGGCAGGAGGGGGCAGTGAAATCAAAGCTCCATTTATTTTTATAGTCCTGTTTGGAAAGTGGTGACAGGAGAGCCACTACATGTTCTCCCATCCTCTGGTGAGAGCTATTCTGTCCTGCCCTGGCCCTTCATCACTGGTGACTCTGCAACCAGGCAGGCCCTGGCACGTGACCTCTCCTGTGACACTGAGCTTGAGTGAAGTGGGGCAGTGATGGGCGTGCGGGACAGTCACCATGGGGCAATATCCCCTCTCACAGTGGAAATCAGGTAGTGGTGGAGGGGACTGTCTCTGAAAACATTTTCCAGTGTTCTCTGAAATATATAACTAAGTCAAATGATCAGACAAAACACCTGTTTTCTGTTCTTTTTTTTTTTTTTTAAGTCAATGACAACCTCAGGATGGGCAACAAGCTTTCTGACAGTCAAAAAGACTTAAAGCAATTGTTTTGCTAAATTGTATCACCAATGGGACATCCAGCTTGTCTGTTTAATTCTTAATTAGAACCAAAAACCCACACGTGATAACACACAGTTAATTCTAACCTGATGCTTTGGGTGGAGAAAACACAGCAGGTACAAGTCCTGATAATTGATGTGGCTCCATCTCACCCCAGAGTCAGGCTGATGGGCTCCATTTTTGATTTACCTTGTCAGCTTGCATCACTTCACCCAAGGTTTATTGAGTTGAAGTAGAGTTTTTCCCATCTCTTATTCATTTCCCTTTTGCTTTTCTTTGAGAGATGAATTACTGGGGCTGAGTGGAGCTTGTTCTTGGGACATTCTAATCAATGGTACTCTTTTATTTTTGGTAATTTCTGCATTGATTTATCATTTCCTTTGTGTATGCATTTATTTGTGTATGTGTGTCTTGCCTCTATTGTTTAAGGAGAAATAAAGAACCAGGAAGAAGGGTGGCAGCATTCCAACATCTTAATTCATCTTTATTAAAGAATTGCAATGTCCAAAGATCCAAATCCCCACTTAACCACATGCTGTTATTTGTGATTTCCAAAAATGCAAATCAAATCTTTGTCAATAAAGAATTTAATGGTTTTTATTACTAGAAATTAGTCTCAGGGATAATTAGTCTCAGGGATAAAATTAGTTGGAGTATTCTTACAACTCTGTAACTGGTATCCCTTTACATGTGTGTACTCATTACTGCGTATTCAATACAAAAGGTACATAGATTGCAAATTCTAAATATGTACGTGATCATCATAAATCGTGTTAGTCTTCTCTGAAAAATATAGTTAAGTCAGTGAGCCAGATTCAGACAAACACCTGTTTTCTAGTGTAACTTTTTCTGTGTGGAATTGACAATTATATTATCAAAACCAAAATTTTGTGAAACAGTGCTCCAAATTGAAATTTTTTTTTCAAGATTTATTTATTTATATAAGCACTGGGTACAGTCAGAAGCGCGGGAGGGTGAGAGAATTCACCAGAGCGGGGAACAGAACAGGCAGACTGACAAAATACACAGTTGAGGGGAGCAGCGCGTGCGGCAGGAGAGGTCTGTGCACCATGTGGGACCCTCACCAGCGGCCGGGGATCGAACCAGTGCTGCAAAGGCTGCAGGCAGCTTCGCAGCCCAGTGCTCAACCACTGCACCAACAGGGGAGGCCCCCAAAGTGAAATTTTAATGGGAAATTCTGTTAAAAAGGAGAAAATGCACTTTTTGGTTACTTCAGGTTATTTTTTCCATAATAAACAATGCTAGAGTAAATTTATATGAAATCTATGCTTTTATTGCTGTATGCTATAGTCCTTCATTTGGGATTTCTCTGTCAAAAGTTGCACATTTCCAAATTATAGTACTTCCAAATTATAATACTTCCCAGATTAGATTAATAGTCAAAATGTCATATAGAATCCAATTATTATTGTTTTAAGTATTATAGTCCGCAGCATTGGGGCAAATTATGTTATGAGTCTTATCTTAATTTTGAGACACTTTGTGGAAAGTTATCACTGTGTGTTTAGATATTAGTAACTACAATTTGACACTTAATAACATTTGCTCATTTGGGTGAATGGCATTTCCTTTCTAGATTGCTACTCAAAAAAGTAGGTTGTCTGAAAGTCAGGAAAAAGCAGTGAACCTGAAGAAAGACTTGGCGGAGATGCAGGAGTGGATGGCCCAGGCTGAGGAAGAATACCTGGAGAGGGATTTTGAGTACAAGTCACCGGAAGAACTTGAGAGTGCTGTGGAAGAAATGAAGGTAAGGCTGGAACAGATAGTGCCAATAGGCTTTCTGTCTCTCCTCTTGCTGCCTATAAAACCTATTCATCAATCAGTCAGTCAACCAAATGTTCCATCAAGCTACCTAGCTAGCGTGATGTGTCCAAATGATCCTTCAAAGTAAGATTTCAAATCAAAATAAAAGAGGGTGGTAGCTTCTATGATTTTAGTAGGACCAGGAATCTGAGTTTCTACTTGTTCAATGTGGGTCACGAGTCAAGTCATTGAGCTCCCCTGAATCTTGGAAAGCCATGGAGAATGATCCCAAAATTCAGCAACATTAATTGTAGTACAACCTTCACAACTGTTACCAACATTTTCCAGGAGGAATTATTTTTTGTAAGGAACAAAAGAGACTTCCTATTTCAGTTGGAGTGTAGCCTTATTTTGTCAGGTGTACCCTTCTAGCTAATGCACGGCACACACATGAATACCAAATTTTTTTAAAGCAGATAAGAGAAGCAGTAGGACCGTCAGCAGGGGATTTGATATCAATAGAATCCATACTATATATTTCCTGTAAACTTCTATCCCTGTGTCAAAAGTCTGAACACTCTTTTTTATATAATAAAGGAACTGGGCATTGTTCCCACATTTCTAACTCTGCTTCAAATGTCCTTTATTGTTCAAGACAAAGGAGAGAGTATCTTAGAGGCTATTTTTTTTTTTTTTTTAAGATTATGCCACACGATGAATGTTTTGCCCAAAGTTAACTTCCTAGAGGTGTAACTGAAGAAAAACTCTTTGTGCAGATATTAAAAAAAAGGATTACATTTTACCCATGTGTTCTAAATGAATTGAAGTAAATATGACAAAAAACTTTTATTTTAGTTCCAATATTTTCACTGAAAAATCTTTTTTAATGTAGCTTTAGGGGAAACTTTAAAAATATTCAGTATGCAAGATATTTCAAGGTAGCCTACTATGTTTAGAACTGTCTTCCTTCATTCACTTCCATTACACTATAGGCATTGTAGTTTTGTGGTTTCTTAAAGTCACTAGGGATGAGGAGGGTTTAGAAAAATGAGATTAAAACTCTTGATTGGGTAATATTCTATGTATTTTTATTCTTCTAAACAACTACTGGGATTTTTAAAAAAAACTATACTCAATTACTGTACCCCAGCCTAGGGAAATTTAAAACCATGATGCAGTAAAGAAAATGCAAAGGGAGAGTAGAAGACTCTTTTAGGCTGATTTTCCCAAATTTTAAGCAGGAGGGACAGGCAGTGGAAGCTTTGGCTAATATGAGTTCTTGTCAGCACAGCACTGTCTTATTTGAAATGCTGTTAATTATCAGGAGGAAAGGTGTGTCTGTGTTTCAGGAGAAAAAAAATGTTTGTATTGTTTTTAAAGAATACTTTTACCATTTTGCACTTCAATTTTTGTGAAAATTCATGTATTTCAGTCCAATATTTGTAAATCTCCAGTGATCACTTAAAATTAATTCATTTAGATTCTTATATTATGGACTCAGAATCTGAAAATACTTAATAGCAGCAATCATAACTTGGATATTGGAACTGCTGTTATGAAGTGAAAATGTGTGTGTGGAACTCTGTACATTAAGACATACAGTAGTGAAATTTTATAGTCAGCATTCTTATTTCAAAAGCGCTCTTTATTGATTACTTATGGAATGTCCCAAGTAGGTAGTTAGAATCACCTAGATGTCTTAATTTTGGTTGAGTTATTTGTTAAATATAATAAAGAAAGTGATTACTGAGAAAGGGAGATGAATTAAAGTTCATCCTGTCTTGTAACAGAGGGCGGAAGAGGATGTGTCACAGAAGGAAGTAAGAGTGAAGATTCTCAAGGACAACATCAAGTTATTAGCTGCAAAAGTGCCCTCTGGTGGCCAAGAATTGACATCTGAGCTGAATGATGTGCTGGAAAACTACCAACTTCTTTGTAACAGAATTCGTGGCAAGTGCCACACACTAGAGGTATGTTACTCTTTCAGTGATGGGTTTCTGAGATTCAGGCTCTGCAGTGTGCCAATCATTTCCTTATCTTGGGAAAAATTCCAGTTTTCTTTTTCAAATACTGAATATGTGAAAACTAGTTCTTGGATAGGAAGTTGATAAAAACACAAACATGAAAAAAGGAGACTAATACCTGCCCCAGTTAGTGGAAGGTTCTTGGGCAAGTCATTTAGTATCTTCTGAGCTCACTTTTTTTATGTGTGAAATCAAGGTTTTCACATCACAAATCATCTGTAGGGGCTATTCCAGATAGAACATTCTAGAACAAAATTCTTTCTTTTATTTTTCCTGGCTGAGTACACAGAGATGAACTGAGGTTTATAACTTTGTGTGGTATATACATTTAGTGACCTGAAGGGAAAGAAGAAGCTGAGTGTGCTGGCATTTTTCTGTACCCTTTTATCTTCTGTGCTTTGGGTTTTAAATGTGCATGATTCTATGATTTTTTAAATTAGAATGAAATTTTTGCCTTTTTTTTACATTAGTGTGATTTTTGTTCCATCTTATTGAAAAAGATTTAAGAGACAATTTCACAGTGTAACAAATTTAATTAAGTTCAATCTAAAACAAGTGACTGTATTATGGTAAATCCTAAAATGATAAACAATCACAACTGCAGCATTTAAACTAAATTCACTTATTACTGGCTTGTTCCGAATCTGTTTTGCACTAAGATGAATATACACAATTCAGACTAGTTAATTTGAAAGCTACAAGTTGAACAAAAAAACCTCACCCTATATTATTATATTGTCTAACATAGAACACCTACTCATTTCAGAATTAAGAAAATTTGTAAACTTAATATGATTTATGTTTGCCTCATCTTATGTCCTGGTGAATGAGCTCTGGATTAATTTTATCATGCTTTCTTCTTTGTCATAACCACTGTCAACTTTGGTTTTCTTATTTATGATTAATCAAAGTAACGATTCATGGATATGTTGTAATGATTAATGGGGTCCGTAAGTTATCACAAACTAAAAAAAGACCCCCATGTATTCCAAGTCATTTCTCCTTCCTGTTTGTGGCAATTGGAGGATGAGCAGGGAAATAACATATTTTGCATGCTTGGAATTGCTTTGAGAATTACTTTGGAATTAGTTTGAGAGAATCACTTTAAGGCAGAAAAGTAAAGATATAGCTCAAAGTGATAAGGATAAAGAGAAAAGATGAGGCTTTGATAACTTTGAAAGGAGAAGTAGAAAGAAAAAAGAGCTTTCAAAATGTTAATGTTATTAAAATTATGCCAAGGGATCTTAGGCAGAAACAGCCCAAATTTCTAAATTAGATTAAGAATGCCATTCTTCAGAAGAATCTAGTTTTATTACCATGACTATTTCTAGATTCTTTGCACAGGGTGGAGGGAGCCCAATGGAGTGTGGTGGAAGCTATAACTGTTAATATTTGCCATGTATTTCCAGATCCTATTTTGAAATAAAGGCAATTAATATATAGAACCTGTTCTTTCTGTCCCATTCCATCCCATCCCTTTACCACTGTCTTGAAGTACACATTCTCCATAGGTTAGTGTATATTTTCCCCATTAATGGTTTTATAGTTTTTTTTAATATATTTTTTTCTTACAAGTGAAAGTTTGTACTCTTTGACCAGCATCTCCCCATTTTCCCCATCATTTATCCCTTGGCAACCACCATTCTACTCTTTGTTTCTCGAAGCTTGATATTTTTAGATTATACATATAGATGAGATCATATTTGTGTTTACTGTCTGACTTATTTTACTTAGTATAATGCCCTCAATGTCTGTCCATATTGTCATAAATGGAAGATATCCTTTTTAATGGTTGAATAATACTCCATTCCATTGTGTTGCAATTATCCCTATATTCTTCAGCTCTAAAATTTCTGTTTAGTTCTTTTCTTAATTGAGATAACATTGGTTTACAGCACTATAAATGATTCAGGGGAATAAGATCACATCTCCTCAGATATTTATCACTACACTACACCCTCCCCTAGAAGCTGGGCTGGCCTTGTGTCTTGCCTAGATCAAAAAAAATGGCAAAAAGCTGACACTGTGCAAAGTAGAGATCTTAATATATAGTTTTATATCTTAATATATAGTTATGTTCAATTATGAATTGCTGTGTAACAAGCCTTGCCATCACAGTGGCTTACAAAAACAACTGTTAATTGTTTCTCATGGTTCTGTGGGTTTACTTGGCCCAGCTGGGTCTCTTTTCCCTTCCATGAGGTATATGGAGGTCATCCACACAGCTGCCTTCTGCTGGGCGCTGGCCTGGGACATTCCCAGTGGCCTCTCACCCTTCAGCATGGTGTCTGGCCTTGAAAAGAGAGAAAGCAGAAGCTGCTGTCCTCTTTAAGGCTAGGTCTCTACTTTGCACAGTGTCAGCTTTTTGCCATTTTTTGATCTAGGCAAGACACAAGGCCAGCCCAGCTTCTAGGGGAGGAGAAAACAACTTCACCACTTAATGGGAATAGCTGCAAAAAACTGTGGCCATTATTAATCCACCATAGTGCACTCTCATCATAAATGAGTTCCAGTCCTCCCACACGCAAGATCATGTAGACCTTCCGGAGTACAGTGACAATCTTGAAATCCAGTATTTTGTGATCTGCATCAGATCCAAAGGCAAATGTGATCAGGTGCATGTGTTCAGGTGTGGCACCTCTTACTCTGGCAGCCTGGGCATTGAAAAGATAAGTTATCTGCATCCCAGACACCCACTTGATAATGGCAAAACAGGCTAACAGAAAACCTCAGAAAGTACTCCCATTCAATAAAGTTGAAATGGAAGGCAAATAGTTGTCACTGGTGATAGTGGCAAATCTGAAGTCGAGCCAGGCATGGGAGTGCCCGCCAGGTGTCCTGTGCAGGGGCAGCGAGTGTTGTTGGCGACAGACTGCTTCTGCCTCTTGAAGTGCTTCTCTGCAGGCCTTCAGCTGAGCAGATGCCTCTGCCTGTGTACTGCTATCAAATTTGGGAAAACCAACAGAGGAGGGAAAGGGAAAGTGATCAAAACAGAGAAGGGAAGAGCAAAAGGGACTATGGTGATGGTTCATGGGTTAGTTATGGTGCTGAGAAAATTATGGTGTTTACACCTGAGGGGAGAAATCAAATCTTGTACAAAAATGAACAATGATGTAAGAAAATAAAAGTTAATTAAGAAAATAAAACACACAAGAGCACACACACACACACACACACACACAAACAAAAAGTCAAAAACAAAATTTGGGGGAACCAGACATCACTTTTCCCCTTTTTGTCTTAGCCAGGAGTGGCAAATGAAAGCCTGGGGAGCAAACTGGTCTGTGTCCTGCTTTCATGTGACTTGTGAATTAAAAAGGGTTATACATTTTTAAAAGGTTGTTAAAAAAAATACAAAACAGAACACATAATAAACAAAAAAGAATCTGTGACAGAGATGGAATGTGACTTGTAAAACTTAAAATATTTAATATGTGGCCTTTTATGGAAAAATTTGCTGACCTCTGCCTTGCTAATCATGCCTCCTATGGAGATCAGGCTAAAATGTGCCTTTTCAACCAGCAGATCTAACACAGTACCAGCCCAGGAGATTCCAAGCTGAACTATTCCTTCTTAATATATTAATCAGGCAGGCTTCTCAAGTATAGTGTAAAATTATAACCTTCCCTCTCAAGACAGTTCATGGGAATGAGGGATATGTGATTATACTAATACAGTAAATACAGTATGATTCCATCTTGGGTGAAATGTAGTTCTCTTTATATAGGGAAGCTCATGGGAATTTAGACTGGACTTGGAAAGATTATACAGCAAATGGTTATATTGATTATGGTTATATTGAGCTGGAATTGGGTGGACATCTGGGCGTTCCCTTTCCTAATTGTTGAAAAGTGTGCTATTTTGAGTACTTTTTATCTTCATTTAAAAAAAAGTTTCCCTCCTGATTTCTTCTACTAACTATGTAGTGTTATTTTTGACATGTAAACAGATCCTTGTAATTCAGTGTAAAGAGTGAGACAGCACAGTCCTTGGTTGAGTTGGTTAAGATAAATTGAAGAATTTGATTTTCTTTCACCTTTTTAAAAATTTGGCTTCAGCAGTTTCTAAATTTTCATATAAAAAAAAGAGAGGTGATGTATGAAATATCTTCTGATCTGCTTTAATTCTTTTCCCTTGCTTGCTTTCAGGAGGTGTGGTCTTGTTGGATTGAACTGCTTCAGTATTTGGATCTTGAGAACACCTGGCTAAACACTTTGGAAGAGCGAATGAGGATCACGGAAACCCTCCCCGAGAAGACAGATGCTGTCAATGAAGCCTTGGAGGTGGGCGCCTGTGTTATTGAGCTGTTTATTATCATTGCACTGAGGTCAAATGGGTGTTAGAATGAAGATTGTAGTGATGCATGCTTGACCAGCACATTTGCTTCCTCAGTAATTTCCAGCGTAAACTTGATTTATACAACTATGTGTATTTAGATTATTGGTGACCCAATAACTTAGCTTCATGAGGTGGTTAGCTGTTTGTTAGTATATTTTAGACATTGTAAAGCATGCTTGTGATCTCCCAGCTTGTTTTTACTGCTCCCTGGATAAAATCCTGCCTTTGTTACTAGGACACTTGCTCTCTTGTTTCTTCCAAAAGTTATTTTTGCCCACTAGACACTGCTGTGACTGTGTTTATCAAGACTTCTACTCTGTTATCTTCAGATATGAAAAGTTGAAGCATGAGTTGGAGAGGGCAGTATTTGAGACATGGGACTCTATGTGCTGAGGCTGGACTCAAGCTTCCTGGGCCCTCAAGGTCCCTTGAACCTCCGAGGCTGGAGATCAAGAAATAGAACTGATGTACCATTGTTCTCCAGTTCCCCAGCACGGAGGGTGGCATAACTTCATGATTGTTCCTTCTATGGATTAAAATGGAAAGAGAGTATGTTTGCTTAAAAAGAGGAGAAAGAGGGTTGATAGGATTTTAAAACTGTAGGGACACGATGTGGTGATAGATGGAGGACTGGATTGATGGTCAGGATAAAGACAAATATGGTACCAAAATTCTAGAGGCTGGATACTCTTCTGGAGTAAAGAGGCCATTTTTCAAACAAAACAGTGGTTTGAGATTGAGAGAATAAAAAGAAAAGCCATTAAGTAATTACTTTCAAAATGTGTATTTTCTACCTGGTAAGATGGTGCCATCACCTGGTTGTCCACTCCCCACTTGGGCTGGAGCCCATGAGGCTCCAGAGCTGTTGACACCTGACAAATGGAACTGACTGAAGATTGGACATTGGGTATCTTCCCTTGTCTGTGGTTCTTTGGCATCAAATGACAGAAAGACGTTTTAGAGACGAAAAGAAGGAATGGGCTAGAATCAACTTGTGGAGCGCTAGTACCATCTCTTCATAGGGTGATTATCACACGTCCTCTGGATTCCCCCATCTGTTGTAGATGTGAGGGAAGAAGTTATATGTGAATATATGTCAAGTCAACACTGGTGTTTCACATCATGACATGAAAAAATAAAAAGACTTAAATACCCTTCAAATGATGTATATTGTGGCAAGTTGTAAAACTGTCAATTCTAAAACATAGTATTTGAAATTTTTCCATTTGGATGGTGCCATCTAATGATGGGCTCAGTGGTGGTTGAGGACACATTGGTAAGAAAATCTGTTAATGAGATAGTTTCAAACATCGCTGCTGAAGGATTTACTTCTTATGTCAAATTTTAATTTCTAATCAAAAAATTTATTCTTAATATATCAGGGTGATAGAGCTACCTTATCACACTAAATAGAAAAGAGCCCAAATACTGTTTCTTTTTGGAAGAGCCATTGGAAGTGAGGCACTTAAAAAAAATCCTATTCAAGGTGAATATTTTCTTAATTTGAGAGCTAAAACATGATATTCTAGAATTATGGCATATGAAGAATAAACTCAAGTGCAAAATAAACTCTATGATAAACACTTTTAAATATTTTAGAGTATTTCTTCCTAAATATTATTACTTTTGTGATATATACACTGATATCACATATTATAGTAACTCAATCAAAGACTTTGGGGTTATAAAGTCTTTGGAGCCAAGTTGGAATCTTAGCTCTTTTTCACTTACTGTCTGTCTGTAGACAAATTATGTAACCTCTCTAAGCTTCAGTTTCCCATCTGTAATAGAGGAATAATATTTAGCTCTCAGAAATAATACTTAGCCCTCATATTTAATCAGATTTATGTTTATAAAAGTATGTATCTAAAATAGTATCTAGCTTTCTGTATAAATACAGAAAAATGGCCTAATTTTTTGTAATATAATCAATAACAATTTGAAATTTTTGGTCTTATTCTGTAGGTAGATTTTGAGAAAAAGCAATTTAATATAAAGGGTGACATTTTTAGGATCCCTGACATTTGGATTCTAATACATCTTTTTCCTGTACCTGTTCAGTCTCTAGAATCTGTTTTGCGACATCCAGCAGACAATCGCACACAAATTCGGGAACTTGGCCAGACTTTAATTGATGGGGGAATCCTCGATGACATAATCAGTGAGAAATTGGAGGCTTTCAACAGTCGATATGAAGAACTGAGTCGCCTTGTAAGAGTCGGGATAAGCAGGAGTGTTGATTGGGTGTATATGACCTCAAGACTCTTTATCAAGGGGAAAAACTAGTAGCCAGCAGTCATGGGGAGGTGGGGGGTGTGGGGAGAGATGTGTGTGAAGGGCACTGAACTTGGTGGGGAAGAGTAGACTTAACTTCTAAGGTAGGCTGAACCTGATGACTAAAACATATTATCTTTGAGGTTATTGCTACTTATAAACAATTTAATTTCCTTTCCAGACCATATGATAGCTGTATATAAGAGTAATAACTGAGAATCATCTTAGTAAATATTAGACCTAGCAGAATGTGACTTGAACTGCTATTATTAAATGACGCAAACTCTGGACACATATTCAGAATGATTCACAACATCCATATTTATAGCAGTAATTAGAGAATGGAGATTGTTTTTAGATAGGAGGTCAGCTAGATATTAGATGCTTTTCAACATTAAATAATAACTATTGATATTTAGATCATGAATAGCATCAAACATAAGCCAAAGTGCAGCAAATAATGGCTCAGCATAATGTGTATCTATAGAACTTGTTTAGAAAAACACGTTTTTACTGTAAAATTGAGTTAATGCATAGAATGCTGCTTTCTGCCACAATAAAGATGTTAGTACTTACAAAAAAATGGACAGAATAGATTTATATGCTCACTCTACTGATAGGCATTCTTGATATATTTTATGTTTTTAATGATTCATAGCTGATTCATAACCCCACTTTTCCAAAATTTATTTATAATAAATGACACATTTTTGTTCTCTGATGTGTTATGTATGAAGTATTTTCATGTTTTGTCATTGTGTGTAGAAAGAAATGAAAATGAGTAATTCATTGCAAGATACGTAAGATACCCTAAAAGGACCTCTTCAGGATCGCTGCTTATTATTCATTTACAATGCCTGCCAAAGTCTTGTACTAGTGCTTTTATGGTCTGTTTCTTTTCTTGGTGGCCAAGACATAAGGTTTTTTTTTTTAATATTCAGTTATTCATGTTTGTGTTGAGCAACTAATGATTAAATTTTTCCCCTGTGTAGGCAGAGAGCAAACAGATTTCATTGGAAAAGCAGCTCCAGGTCCTCCGGGAAACTGACCACATGCTTCAAGTCTTGCAAGAGAGCTTAGGGGAGATGGACAAGCAGCTCACAACTTACCTGACTGATAGGATCGATGCCTTCCAGGTGCCTCAGGAAGCTCAGGTACTGCCCTGGACTTGAGGGTGTTTGATTGCAATTGCTTCTTCCCCTAAAAGAGACCCAGCCTCTCCTGGCATCCCTGCCACAAGTCAGAGAGAAAGGTTGACCTGTCTTATGGGAAGGTGTATGTGTCTGTATGTGTGACCCAGGCAAATGACTATCATTTTATTTATTTATTTATTTTTAAAAAGATTTATTTATTTATTTTTATACAAGCACTGGGTACAGTCAGAAGCGCGGGAGGGTGAGAGAATTCACCAGAGCCAGAGCGGGGAGCAGAGCAGGCAGAAGGACCAAAACACACTGCTGAGGGGAGCAGCGGGCGGCAGGAGAGGTCTGCGCGCCATGTGGGACCCTCCTCTGGTTGCCGGGGAGCAGCCGGGGATCGAACCGGCACTGCAGAGGCTGCGGGCAGCATCGCAACTCAGCGCTCAACCGCTGCGCCACCGGGGAGGCCCAAATGACTATCATTTTAAAATTATAATTTTCTTAGCTATGAAATTTGGAAAATTCCTTCTTTATAAATGAGTGGTAAACATTAGAAATGACTGATGCAAAGATCTTACTTTGTGCATAGTACACTGTAATCCTATAATGACTAGCCTGTGTTAGTATTATACTGCAAACTCATTAATGCTTGTAGTGTGATCAACATCATCTTCCATATTGTGTAGCTTTATGGAACTTCCTGTTTTTAATTTATTTTTATAATTTGTATTGAAGTAACATTGGTTTGTAACTTTATATAAGTTTCACGTGTACAGCATTATCATTTGACATTTGTGTATAGTACAATAAGATCGCCATTAAAAGTCTGGTCTCCATCCTCTATGATAAATTGATACCTTTTACCCAATTTATGCATCTTCCTCCCCCTTCCATTCTGGTATCCCATTTTGTTCTTATACGCTAAGATACTATTAGTATCTTATCTTAGAATATCCTGTAGTCTAAGACACTTTTGTTGCTTATCTTGTACATCTGAGTGAAATAATATGGTATTGGACTTTCTCCACCTGACTTATTTCAGTTAGCATAATATCCTAAAGGTCCACCCAATGTTGTTGTAAGTGGCATGATTTCATCTTCATTATAGCTGAATAGTATTCCATTGTGTATATAGACCACATTTTCCTTACCTACTCATCTGAGGAGGGGCATTTACTTTTTAAGGAGGACAGTGGCATGGTGAAGGATATGTTTGGACTTTCAGCAGTCATCTTATTGTGGTACATACACAGCTTGATTCTCAGTGACAAACACCTGCCACTTGTATAATGATATAATGCAATGTCACTTCAATAAAAAAATTAAAGGCATGTTCCCAATTGAAAAGAACCCAATTCTCTCTTCTTTCTAATCTCTTTGCAGAAAATCCAAGCAGAGATTTCAGCTCATGAGCTAACTCTGGAGGAGCTGAGAAGAAATACACGTTCTCAACCTCCCACCTCCCCAAGTGGCAGGACAGCACGTGGCGGGAGCCAGGTGGATGCACTGCAGGTAAAGAGGAAGAGCGGCTCCTTTTACTTCTCTTGTATTGGACAGAAGGAAAAGATGGGAATGAGCAGACTGCTTGAGTTTCTTTGGCATGATGTGTGATGTAGCCTCAGGCAGGGGTGATGGATTGATGCTGCATGGCACCCAAGGGCAGCAAGGACATGCTGCCACAGGGCTGGAAAATATTGAATCTGGTTTTTATACTTGAGTGGAGAAGTGAGAGCTAGATGTAGAAGCTGTCTTTAAAGATTTTTCCATTGATGCAGAGCCTCTGGCAGCAGTGTGGTGGCCGAGTGCTTGGGTGCAAGCCTGCTGGTGCCTTCACAGTGGATGTGAGATTGACTTGCTCTCTGAACTCATGGTGTAGAGCATATTTAACTTCTGTGCCTCTGAACTGAACTAAATGAGGCCAGTTTAGGCTTTTGTTACACCTAAGACTGAGACACTGAGTTGCAAGTATTTCATGACCCAAGCTCACCCAAGTGGCTTCAGTGAGTTCTTCTAAGGCTTTCTTTTGGGGGTGGAGGGGTTGTTGCACTGAAATTTTTATTGTGCTATATTTTATAGCTTTTTAACAGTATCTGCTATACTAATAACATCTCAGAGAGAGATTAGTGTTCTGATGTCAATTATTATTTTCATTTCTGCAAACAGAGGAAACTTCGAGAGGTGTCTACCAAGTTCCAACTTTTCCAGAAGCCTGCTAACTTTGAACAGCGCATGCTTGACTGCAAGCGTGTGCTGGAAGGTGTGAAATCAGAACTTCACGTCATGGATGTGAAGGAAGTGGACCCTGACGTCATCCAGACCCACCTGGACAAGTGCATGGTGAGGCAGTAGGACAGCTGATCCCAGCAGCTAATAGAGCTTCTTGTAACTTTATGCACATGGCTTATTCGGTAATTACTAGTCTACAGTGAGCTAGGATTTGGGATTGGTGATGCAAAACAGGTTTAAAAATGGTTGACTTCCCTGTAAGGAAATTAGAAGAAATAGGAGACATAGCTAGGAGAGAGTAAACCCAACTATTGCAGTGTGATAAGATAGAAAATTGTGTGTGTGTGTGTGTGTGTGTGTCTATTATACATAAATAAAAACAATCACAGTATGAGGTTAGGAAAGAATTTGGCATAATGTGACTAACAAGCTAAGACTGAAAGGATAAATTTGAGTTAGCCAAAAGAATCATACTTAGGATGGATGACAAGAATATTGCAGTATAAAATTCATTCACAAGAAAGTGAAATTTAAAATTTCAGTTTATACATTTTAAGGCTAAAAGGTGAAAGAATAGTCTGTTTAGAATGGATTTCAAGAATATTATAGCACAAAAATAAATCATTTGTAAATGAAATAAAATTTCAAGTTTAGTCTTAAGATATGAAAGAAATTATTTTATAAGTTCTAGGAAATGGAACTTAATTCTATTTTAATCTTGACATTTATAATTCAGTTGAATAGAAATTTCAAATGTGGCTAAGCATACACCATCTTGAAATTAGTGTTCTGCTTGGGAAAAATCATGAAGAAGCTTAAGATAACACTTGTGGAGACTAGAAAAGTCTTGGAAGAGTTGCTCTTTTCAAGACTGTAATACCTACGGGTCTGTTATATACTGCAAATTGTATAATGACTCAGAAGCTGAAATGGGTAAAAGAATGAACAAATAGGATAAATTTGTAAGTGTGAGAGAATATATATGTAAGTTTATATATTTACTGATATATAGAGATTACCAAAGCAAGCAGTGCCCTTGACCTCTTGTAATTATAGTCTCTTACTATGTGACAATATCATGTGAAATACTTCAGGTCAAGGTTGCAATGAATGGAGACAGAGAACTTTTCCAGAATAAAGGTTTTTGGTTTCCAGGAAACTAGCAGGAGGACAGCCTTTAATTTGACCTACATATCTTTGATTTCTATAGTTGTGTATGTATTGATCTGTTGGATTTTATGTGTGTTCTTATGTAGGAGCAATATACTCATTGTAGCAGATTTGGTACTTTAAAGTAAGAAAATACTTCCAAATCCAACAACTAAAAACTAGTGTTGACTTTTTTCTAGTAATAGTGTGTAGGATTTTTTAAAACATAATTTTGGCTTTCAATTTGTAGTCCTGATGTTTTTCCATTTTTGCATGGGAAATATAGTATCATGTGAATCTCATATTATCATATAAATCATACTTACAACTTTGTCAACCTGTAAAATGCATGTCTTTTTTTTTTTAAATAAAGATTTATTTATTTTATTTATACAAGCACTGGGTACAGTCAGAAGCGTGGGAGGGTGAGAGAATTCACCAGAGCCAGAGCGGGGAGCAGAGCAGGCAGAAGGACCGAAGTACACTGCTGAGGGGAGCAGTGGGCTGCAGGAGACATCTGCGTGCCATGTGGGACCCTCCTCCGGTGGCTGGGGAGCAGCCGGGGATCGAACCGGTGCTGCAGAGGCTGTGGGCAGCTTCGCAACCCAGCGCTCAACCGCTGCGCCACGGGGGAGGCCCAAAACACATGTCTTTTTTAAACAAACATAAATTCTTTTCATTTTCTTACCTGATTTTAAAAAGTCATTTAATTTTATTCATGATTTGAATGGAGTCTGAGAAAGAGAAAGCCCTTTGATCTCCATAGTTAGTTCTTACCTGTCAACTTGTATAGGGGATGTTCTGAAATGATTCCATTTAGAAAGTTTTCACTCTCAGTTATAAAATTTGTCTTGCTTTATTTTTAAGAAACTGTATAAAACTTTGAGTGAAGTCAAACTTGAAGTGGAGACTGTCATCAAGACAGGTAGGCACATTGTTCAGAAGCAGCAAACTGACAACCCCAAAGGAATGGATGAGCAGCTGACATCTTTAAAGATCCTCTACAATGACCTGGGGGCCCAGGTGAGCAAACTGCCCAATACCACACCCCCTTCCCCACGCACACCTTTGTCACCTTTGTGTATTTTAAAATTTCACTTCTGGGGGAATTCGTGCTTGAATTTTATGTATTAGTAGTAATATTTTCAATTATCTCAAATTTTTATTGTATTTCTTTAAATGCTTGTATTAATATTACAATGATGAAGAGTTGTATAAATATTTATTTTTAGTATTTAATCCAAATCGTTTTTTTATGTTTTACGGCTACTAGTATTTCACAGGTTATTCTAAGCAAACTCTTCAAATAATAGTCCCTGTATAGATTCACTTTATTGGTCATTGATTTGTAAATTGAATCGTCAGTCTTCTGAGAAATGCAAAAACAGCACTCTAATAAATAGTAACTGACAGTTCACATTTATTAGCAGATTTAAAATCCTTTCTTTCTTTTTTGCATAGAAGAACTGGAGTGTAGAGGTAGAGGGAGGGTAGGCTGGAGGTGGCGGGAGGATTCTCCAGAGATAGAGTGGGGAGCAGAACAGGCAGATTTTAGTGAAATGCACTGCTGAGGGGAGTAGCAAGAGAGACCAGAGAGGTCTGCTGCACCATATGTGGGTCAGCTCCCTGGCTGGGGATCTAAATCAGGCCCTAGTAGCGTTAGCTCTGAGACTTAACCCCTAGGCCACCAGGAAGGCCTCATTTACTGCATTTTTAGTTAAGTGGTTAATCACAAAAAATATAATTGTGGAAATTATGTGTTTCCTCCTCAAGTCACTAGATTATATCGTATATAGGGGTGCTTTGAAACAGAGATTTGCTTAAGAGGATTCTAAGGCATTTTCTGTTCAAAATGACATAAAATTTATCGATCCCTTTGTTGCAAAGACTGGGCCAAGTCTGTTGTGTTTTTCTCCAATGCTCATAGTGGGTTTTTGAGGGCTTACTTCTATCAAGGTCACTTAAGGAGTAAGTGATAGAGCTAAGGTATGAAAACTCAGGTGTGCTTGACACTGAACCACAGCAGTATGACTGTCCCCTTGCAGGAGTGAGAGAACTAAGGGATTTTAGGATATAGTAGAGATTATGTGTGTCCTGGGGGTTAAAGGTGAATCAGTTTGGATCTTTAGTTAATATTTTGTTTCATTACCTTTCATGCTCATTTTCCCCTCCCTCCATGTTGCCTCTCTCCTTCTCCCTCTCCCATCTTTCTCTTTCCTTTTCAGGTGACAGAGGGAAAGCAGGATTTGGAGAGAGCATCACAATTGGCCCGGAAAATGAAGAAAGACGCTGCTTCTCTCTCTGAATGGCTTTCGGTTACTGAAGCGGAATTGGTACAGAAATCCACTTCAGAAGGTTTGCTTGGTGACTTGGATACAGAAATTTCCTGGGCAAAAGTAAGTTGCATTTCAGATGAACTTCCAATGTTACCCTAGTGTTAACCTGTGGCATTTGGTTCAGGGCAATCTGGGGGATGTCATTTCTCTCCATTTCACATTAAATATAGCCTTTTTCTTTTTCCATTATTTTTCTACTTCTTTGTCCCTTAGAAAGGATAGGATGTTTCAAAAGCAACTATCTTAATAAGGTATCTTTGTCTTGATGCTAAAAGCATTAAACTCATACGGATCACTCACAAAGCCATGATAGGCATTATGCTTTGGTGGTCCTTGAGAACATTATAATTATCACCTTCCAAAATTGATGACATTTTTGAGTATTCATTCTTTATAAAGTATTGTGCTGAATTCATTTGTTAATTCTTCTTTAATAATTTTTATACTTGTAATCTTTCTGTTGCAAACCACCTGATGTAAAGGGCACAGGAACAGAATTTTCAAAAAGTCAGTAAGAGAGCCAAGAGTTTTCATTAGCCCTAGAGTTATTTTGAGATCACAGAGATTAGAGAGTTAATTTGCTGGTTCTGTTTTTTTTCATATGGTCAAAGAATTGAAGGAAACAAAAAGTAGATTTTTTTTTTTAAAGCAAAACATTCTCTATTCCTAAATGTTGTGCTTAAGAATTGTGCGTCCCTGGAGTCAGTGAAACAGTCAGTGCTTTGACAAGTTTATATAAAGCCACGGTGTCTCTTTGGACATCCTTTAAAGTGCCCAGGGAAGCGATGAGAGGTACTGTGAGCTGGTGGACAACACAACTTTTTTATTTGAATGCTCTGTGGAGATAAATTTGAAAGAAAATCAAGAAATTAGACATCAGAGTATTCTCAGTTTAGAAAATAGCTCATGAAAATTTTATGTCATGGGCTATCTGTATTCAAAAGAGGATAGAGAAGAGGATATATAAAAGAAATGAAAAATGGTGGAATTCTTGAGTATATTGTGGATGAAGGTAAAGATACCAAACTATTTTCATCAAATTCAAGTTTTTCTAGGAAATATCTTGGCAAAATGCACTTTTTGAAAATCATTATTTTCTTATTAGTAAAATAAGTCATAGATGCTTGCTGAATGATATTTGCATAGTGCATAAAAAAAGACAGCAACAAGTCACCTATAATCAGAGTACCTCATTATTGCTTCAGTTTTTACAGGCACATATAGACATGCATAGATACTAGCATAAAAATCAAGTGTTTTGTGAACTTCTTTTAAAAACTTACACCTTTAACATTTTCTTTTATCTGCAAGTGATTTTGTATCACATGATAGAGATGAACACAGCATTTCATTGTAGATTTTATTTTTCCATTTCTCCATTCATGTCCATTCAAATGATCGGTTTTCCCTATTGTAAAAAGAAATGCTGTGATGAATATATTGATGTAGCTAAATCATAGCATACATTTATAATTATTTCCTGAAGATAAATTCTTAGCCCTGAAGAATATTGGGTCAAGGAAACTATCCATTTTAAAGTCTTATCCTTATTATGAAATTGTCCTTTAGAAATTTGCTTGCTTGTTTTAACCACACCTTTGAAAACGGTAGGCGAATATAATGTTTTGGTTGCTTAATTAGAACATTTTCATAAGTTAAAAGGCCATTTGTAGCTCCTTTTAAAAATTTGCCTTTTGTAATTCTGATCACTTTTCTACCACCAGTTTAATCTTTTAATTTAGAGTTCTTCACCTGTTATGACTATTAATACTTAGAGTGCTATGGATTTTTATTTTCCCACTATAGTTTGCTTTCTGATCTGATTTTTTTAAACACTGCTATTATGTATTTTAAAAAGAAGAAAGTCAATATTTTTTCTTCATTATTTATGCCTTTAGTGCTTGGAAAGCCAACTCCAAGTTTATGTAATTATTTGCTTATGTTTTCTTCTAGTCCTTTTATAGTTTTATCTTTTTACCTTAATGCTTTAATCCTTCTGGAATTTATTTTGGTGTATGTCATGAGGTAAGGCTCTAACCTTTTTTCCAAATAGTTAAGCAGTTGTCTCAGCACGATAGTCATTTTCCTTTCCCCATTGATTTGACATACAAAATTCATATATCCTTTCTGTCTGTTGGTTTCTTTGTTTTCTGCTTTGCTGATCTGACCTTCAGAATTGTTCTTCAACTGTTAACTATGTGGCTTTATGAAATATTTTAAAATATTTTAACTTACAGTTAATTGATTGCCTGTCTTTAATACTTTCGTTTTTGTATACATTCATATAAATTAAAGAATTATTATTTTCAAATTTTTAAAACAATTCTGTTAGAAATTTTATTTGAATTGTGTTAAATTTATAGATGTGTTTTGTGGGGCATTGACATTGTTGTTATATGAAGTCTTTTTAGTAATTTGGTATATCTCATTTTCCTCCCAAATTCCTTTTTATCACTACATGATGCTGTTTTTTTTTTCCTTCATAAGCTTTATGTATATTTGGACAATGTTTATTCCTACATATTTATCTTATTTTTATTGGTATGTGAATAGTCTGATTTTTTTTTTAACTAACTGCTTATAGCTTGTAGATAAGTGATAACTGGTTTTTGTTTAATTTTTATCCTCTATCTCTGTGTATTCATATAAATTCAAGTAGTTTTTCAGTTGATTTTCTTCAGTGTTTAGGGAAAAGACTTAGAATAATAAGTTTGTCTTTGCTGAAACAATTCACTCAAGTTCCCATTTAATCTTATTTCAGATGTAAAATAATGAAGATTTTGTATATACACATTAAAAATTCTCAGCGCATTCTCTTTAACTAGAGTAAATCAAACAAAATGTCATATAACATAATCACCTATTTGCTCAATGTTGTGTTTTGGATTTAAGAAAAATGGCATTTTTTTTACAATATTTCAATGTATTTGCACTTAAATTTTAGTGTGAAATTTAAGTAACATTGCTAAACTTACATAGTATTTTTATTCCTTGGATATCATTTAATTTTATTTCTAATATAGACCTGTTCTTTACAATAAAATCTAATTAACATAGGTAGTACACTATTTGAGTTTAATAATTTGTAGCTATTTCTTATAGTTCTTAATGATTGTTCTAGTCAATCAGTACATAACCTTTGAAAGAGTACAAGAAGTCTTAACTGCAGAGAGCAAGCTGTGGGTAGTCTATTTTTGTAAATCTCTCTGCAAAAGAGCACTTGAGAAATATTTTAATATCTTTCTAAAAAAATAAATATATCAGTAGTTGACATGGCCAAGTGAGTGTTTATACTTCAGTTCACTTGTGTATTAGCAACTTTCATGCCTTCCAACATGTGATTTAATGACTTAAGACTGCATACACATTTCACTTAAAATGATTTTAGATGTTGGTTTTAAAAGGTTCTATGCATAAGGGTAGATATGTGCGTATTACTTTTTAATTGGAAGAACTTGGTAGTTTTCATTTTAGCTCAACATTCTTTTTCTAGTTCTCTGTCTACACATTTTCCCTGGTCAAAATTAAGAATGTGAAATCATCATACCTTGCTGAGTATTACCTTTGTATATTATGATAATTGTAAAACCAAAGCTTAGATGTGCCAGTTCTAAGATTTACTTACCGTGAAGTATTTTATTTGTAATGCTTATACAGCAGATTATATGTTAAGTCACCTAGTTAGAGGACATACTTGTTGCAGTTAAATACAGTGTACATCTATATTTTCCTGTATAGTCAAGGAGATAACTTCATTATTAATATTTTGCAATTGTGAGTTCTGGATTAGTTCTGCCTTGTCAGCTTGTTTTTGGAAGTAAAATCGATCCTGTATTCTAGAGCTTTGATGACGATAAATGGTGTTTGTATGTTATAAATGGAGTTAGTACTTAAAGTGAAAGAATAATTATCTTTTCTCATCTGACTTTATTGTATTCTTTGGCATGTGCATAATTAAATGTTTTAATTTTTATTAGGAACTTTAGCAATATCAAGGTTTTGAAACCTTTGATATCTGATAAGTAACCTAGGGAGTCACGAACTAAAATGTATGTGTGGAAGAAAAGTCAAAAAACACTAAGGCTAAATAAACTTTTATACTGTTCTGAAAGATCAAAAGTCAAAAAACACTAAGGCTAAATAAACTTTTATACTGTTCTGAAAGATCAAGTGGGTCTTGGTATTTTTATTTTCTAGACTATCTTGAAGGATCTGGAAAAGAGAAAAGCTGACTTAAATGCCATCACAGAGAGCAGTGCTGCCCTCCAGAACCTGGTGGAGGGCAGTGAGCCTGTCCTGGAGGCACAGCTGTGTGTGCTCAACGCGGGGTGGAGCCGCGTCCGCACCTGGACTGAGAGCTGGTGCAGCACCTTGATGGTGTGTTTGGGTAAAATGTCCTGTTGGGAAATCTTCCTCAATTCTTTGAAAATAAGTCTAGCTTTTATTTTCTCTGTGCCAAGATAATATTTTGCTTGTGGCTTATTTTCATTGGGTTACTTTTAATTTTTTCCTTTGGAAAGAAAGGTTAAAAAAAAAAAAACCTAGAAAGAATTCAAAATGCCTGTATTAAATAGTTAGAAAAGTCATTTGTGAGATACATAGGAATACGTACTTAAAAAAAAAGATTTATTTATGTATGCATTGAGAACTGGGGTGTTGGCCAGAGGTGAGGGGGTGAGAGGATCTACTAGAGACAGACTGGGGAGCAGAACAGGTGGATCTACTAAAATAAACTGCTGAGGGGAGCAGCGGACGAGACAGGAGAGGTCTGCTGCGCCATGTGGGTCAGCACCCTGGTCGGGGATTGAACTCATGCTGCAGTGGCTGTGTCTAGCTTGATAATGCTGAGATTTCAACCCCTGCACCCACCACCAGGGAGGCCCCAGAAATATGTACTTTAATATTTTGGTAAGTGTACCTTACTTATTTTATTTTAAAAATTTAGTATATTCAGTTTTGACACTATGGTTGATTAAATACATATACATAAATACATTTATAGTGGTCTAATTGTGTTCTAGTTAAGAGCACAGCTTCTAGGGTCCGATGGCCATAGTAAAACTTGTGACTATAATCTGGGTGACCTTGGTCAAGTTACTTAAGTGCTCTCTATGTCTTAGTTCTCTCATAGGTAAAATGGGCATTATTATAATTTCTACTTCATACAGTTTTGTGATGATGATTTTATGTAAAACATAAGGCACTCATATAACCATACGCTGTGAATTTTAGGTATTATGACAATTGTTAAATTCCACATTCTTACAGCCCTTCCTTCTGTATTTTGAATCTGTGTTTTCCAAATTCTCCTTCCAAATAATTTTTTCCCAATCCTATGAGAGCATTTGATTTACCAGGTTTATTGACTAAATACATCTGATACTCAGCAGTTCTTACCTGGAATTCATATCACTGTCAAGCCTTTTCTCATATTTTATATTCTCATTTTGCATTTTCAGCTATTTTTTCATATTATGGATTAATAGTTTGTTTCCTCATCTTTTAAGCACTTTTTTTTCTCTTTTCCTTTATCCAAAGAGTTGTTAGTTTCATTAGATTTCCTGATTCTTTTTGATCAAGTTCTAGATTCTTGCCTTAGCCTCAGCACTTTGCCAAGTTTTAATAAGTTTAATTGTTTGCTTCTTTCTTTAAATGTATTCTCTCAATCATATTTTATATCTTGCTTCAGGAAATATTACTGAGGTCTGTGCCAGATTTTATATTAACTGCTGGTGACATTCAGTTAAAAAGTCAAAGGGCCTGACTTCTAAGGAATTGCAGTCTGTTGAGTGGGCTGAATCTTAGTCAGCCCATTTTAATTATTTTATATTTTTACTTCCTTTTTTTGAAATATATAATTAGAGTTCTGAGAACCAAAATTACAATCTATTGGTTAGTGCTTACAAGTTCATGTGTATAGTTTGTGTTGGGATACAGAGTGGATACATGGGATGGCTGAGAAAATAATTGGCCCTTCCTGGTTGTGTCAGGGAATATTTCATAGTAGAAATGTGTTTTTATTGTGGATGTGTTGGTTTACACTGAGGGATTTTCATATGTTGAACCATCCTTGTGCCCCTGGGATGAATCCCACTTGATCATGGTGTATTATCCCTTTGATGCATTGTTGAATTCTGTTGGCAAGGATCTTGTTGAGGATTTTTGCGTCAGTGTTCATTAGGGAGATTGGCCTGTCATTTTCTTTTTTTGTGCTGTCTTTGTTTGGTTTTGGTATTAGTTTGTTCTTGTTCTTTTTTATTTTTTTTATTTTCCTCCTTTCTGTTGGTCGGAGTGTGCAGGCTTTGTGGGTGGGGGAGGGTAGCAGGGTTCCTACCTTTCCTCTCTTCTCATCCTCTTTTATGACAACCTTCCTCTACAGGCAGTTTGACAGAATCACCCGTTTATCTTCCATGTCCTGGTTCTCACAGGGACCTGCTGCTTTTCCTCCCTTTAACTTTTTTTTTTTTTTTATGGGAGGACTTACTAGCAGCATTTCCCTGCTGCCATGTTCCAGTTGTACTTATTGTTACTTCCTTAAACAAGTTTTTACAAATTTTGATTAACGGGGACAAATGAGATTATTTGTTTTTGAAGAATGAGGAACAAGAGAGACAAACAAAATGAAACTGAAAAGGGAATGTTCACCATTTATACCTCTTCAACTTTTTATTTCAGTGAGGTCTATATCAAAGAAATACAAAAGTGCTTGTGCAAAGCCGTACAGATTTAGGAAGGACTTACTGAGGAAAAGCTTGCAGCAAAGTGGAAACCCTTCTTGGGATTCAGCATTCAGAAGGCCCTTTGAAGGTCTTTTAAATAGTTTCTTATATTATTGTCTTATTTTTCATATGATTGTATCAGCATTTTATTTGTTAATTCCTTTCTAGAACCATCAGAACCAGTTGGAAATATTTGATGGGAATGTTGCTCACATAAGTACCTGGCTTTATCAAGCGGAAGCTCTGTTGGATGAAATTGAGAAAAAACCAGCAAGTAAACAGGAAGAAATTGTGAAGGTAACAAATGCAAAGGTGGAGTGACACACCCAGAAGTGGCAAGTCTGGCTGTGGTCCTCCCGTTAGTGGATCCCCAAGTGCCCGGTGTGCACATTCTTCCCATTCTTGTGGGGAAGACTGATGTCCTGCATACAGGGGCTTATGTGTGAACAGCTCTTACTCAGATTGTGCTGGAATCTCTTACTAGGACTCCCAGACATTTCTTTCGACTACCTTCAGTTTGCACCCTGGCATGGTTATGATTATCCCACGAGGTAATTCTGTGTTTTCTTTTAATTAGCGTTTAGTTTCTGAGCTGGATGAAACCCACCTCCAAGTGGAAAATGTCCGAGATCAAGCCGCTCTTTTGATGAGTGCACGTGGAGGCTCAGGCAAGGAGCTCGTGGAGCCCAAGTTAGCGGAACTGAATAGAAACTTTGAGAAGGTGTCTCAGCACATCAAAAGTGCCAAAGTGAGTCATTGTATTTTTATATAATAATTGGTTTTTCTATTTACAAGTTGCTTCATAAATTTAATTGAGAGAATAATGAGTAAAATCCTTCCTAAAAAAATATGTTTACTTATGTTACCATATTATAATTTTTCTCTCTCTGAGTGTGTTTTTCTCATTCTCTCTCTTCTTACCCTTATTTCATGAGAGGAAGAAAGGAGCATTTTATTGTAGTGTTCTCAATACTTGACATGAATTTATTGCTTGAAAGAAATATTTTCGTTTGACTGGAAAGATTTTGATGGCTTTCTGGGAAAACAAAACAAAACAATGTAACTGACATTGAGGGTTATCCTGTTACTTGTGAGAGTATCCTGACTTTTTCTGGATCCCAACTGTGCATGGTATTTTATTGAGTATTCAGTTATTCCATCTCTTGAGAGTTGTGCACCAAAGTATTGAAGTCATCAATAAGAAAGACTCTCCTCTTATAGGAAGTCACTATTGTCGAGCTCTGCTTTAATTTAGTGTATCTTATAAAACAGACCCAACTACCTTTCATAGCCTGTGAATATACTGAAATTATTCACACCTCAACAAAACCAAAAATCTTGTTTCAACTTTTAGCTTCCTTAGTTTTGATCTAACCTTTTCACTGTCAGACCGCATCTTGCTTATTCTTTTCAATAGATCTATGGGCGACTTTTGTTACATAAAAGCATAGTGCACAAGACATAGAAATGGAGTGAAAGGAAGTATAAAGAACCAAAATTATTATCCTCATAAATGACCTCTGTTAACTTTTTGGCATACCTGTCTTTTGTTACTCAGATATATGTCATATTAAAATGTCAAAAATTTTTATCTTGTTTTCTATATTCTTTGACATGATTTTTATAATATATATTTTTTAAATATCTATTTTTATATTGAAATGGTATTGCATTTAACATTAATAAGTTTCAGGCATGCAGTATTGTATAGCTGTTGACAATAATTGCATGTTTGTACTACTATGTAAGGTCAGCCATCAAATCTTTCCAGCTCCATCCTACATCCACGACCCCTGTTGACGACCCCTGTTACCCAGTTGACACTCATTGCTTCCCCTTTCTCTTCTCATAGCCAATAATTTGCTCTTATAGTCTAAATGTTTATCTTTGTTTTATATGTACTTTGTTGTTTCTTTTTACACTACTCAAGTGAAATCATATGATGTTTATCTTCCTCCATCTGACTTACTTTACTAACTAAATATCATCTAGTCCATCCATGTTGTTTCAAATGTCAGAATAAAATATTTTTATAGCTGCATAATATTCTACAATCTGTATATACTACATTTTTTTTTATCCAATTGTCTGTTGATGAGTACTTGGGTTTTTCCAACTCTTGGCTGTTGTAAGTAGTGCTGCAAAGAATATGGGTCTTCAAACTAGTGTTTTAATATTCTTTAGGTAAATACTCAGAAATGAGATAATTGTATGGAATTTCTATTTTTAATTTTTTGAGGACTCTCCATATTGTTTTTCCATAGAGGTAGCCCAATTTACATTCTCATCAACAGAGCACAAGAATTTCCTTCTCACCACATCCTCTCCAACACTTGTGTTTTTTATCTTTAGGCTAATAGCCACACGTATAAGGTATTAGCTGACTGTTGTTTTTGGTCTACATTTCCCTAATAATAAGAAAGGGGGAACACTTTTTCATGTGCCTATTTTCCATCTGTGTGTCGTTTTTGGAGAAATGTCTATTTAGATCTTTTGACCATTTTTAAATCTGCTTTTTGGTTGTTGAGTTTTAGGAGTTCTTTAAGTGTTTTGAGTATTAACTCCTTATTGAATGCATAGTTCACAAATATCTTCTACCATTCAATAGCATGCCTTTTTGTTTTGATGACAGTATTACTGTGCAGAAGACTTTTAGTTTAATGTAGTCCCATTTGTTTATTTTTGCTTTTGTTTTCCTTGTCACTAGAGTTAAGTCCCCAAAGACTTCTCTGACACTGATGAACTTTGGCATGATTTTTAATGGCTCTGGAGTTTCCTTTGCATCATAGGTTGTAATATTATTGTGGGTCAATTTTAAACTTTCATTGTACCTTTGTAACTATTGCTTTGTTAAAGTCTTTTAAAGATTTATTTATTTATATAAGCACTGGGTGCAGTCAGAAGCACGGGAGGGTGAGAGAATTCACCAGAGCCAGAGCGGGAAACAGAACAGGCAGACTGACGATACACTGCTGAGGGGAGCAGCGGGCGCAGCAGGAGAGATCTGCATGCCATGTGGGACCCTCTCCTGTCGGCCAGGGATCGAACTGGTGCTGTAGAGGCTGAGGGCAGCTTTGCAACCCAGCGCTCAACCACTGTGCCACCGGGGAGGCCCCTTAGTATGCTCTTAAGCTCAGTTCTTAGAATGCCTTGAAATTGTTGCAAAAGTTGTACATATAAGGATTGTTATATAGATTTCCCAAAGAGTCCTACTAAAAGGTGCCAATTTAGGCCTCTATAATGAAAGGTGAGGGCAAATTATATTCCTGAATTTAGTTTTATTAATGTTACATTGCATTCAACCAATAAATACCAAGTTTTTCAATACTGTCTGAAAATACTACCTTAAGAAACACGTGCTTTGAAGTTTGGGTATCAAGATCCAAGGGTACTTCCACTGGGCAAAGTTGACTGGGAGACCTTAGAATGGATGGACCTAACCTGGTTGGTGCCATTTCATCTTGTCTAAGGTCATGGGGATGACAGCTGGATTATGGAACTTTTTCCTGCTGTGCACACATGTGGTCTAAGATCCCCTACATGGCATTTCAAGTTACCAAGTCATTTGCACACAGTTTCCTATCCCTGGGCAGAGCTTGGAGAAAATGGGTAATTCCAAAAAGCCCAAATTGATATAATTATTGCTGTATGAATGAATGAAATTAAGTCAATTCAATACTAGTCCCTCTCCTGACACTCTCCTGGTTAATGACAGAAGATCAAGTTAAGAATCCATTTTTAAAGAACACTTTTCCTTCTACAGTTGCTAATTGGCCAGGACTCATCCTCATACCAAAGTCTGGTCACCACCGAGGCATTTGAAGCAGATGTGCCTTTTTCTGAATTGAAAGTATTAGAAAATGATATAGAAAATATGTTAAAACTTGTGGAGAAACACTTGGAATCCAGTGATGAAGATGAAAAGGTCAGTTCGAGGGGATTTTCAAAATTATGTTTCATTTTTCTTCTTTAATTATATTTTTACTTCAAAGATGTTTGCCCAGAAAATCTGCCAAACATGACAGAACTGATCCAAATGTGGTTTTCTGATGAGTGTCAATGTGAGATTGCCAGGTGATTTATGCAATGCATAAATCTATCTAAAGATAGCATTATCTTAGTGCTGTCTAATTGCTGCGGGTCTAGCATTCTTTAGGAGATATTTTAAATTCCAATATGAAATGTTTTAAGGAAAACATACATGTTAGTGACATATCATTCAGGTTAACGTATTTTGACTTAGACTTTGTGGGTTAGTTCTCACACTTGTGAACTGATAGCAAGTACCCAATACATTTTTCTTTGGAGTAAATTTTTTCTTTTACACATTCAGATGGATGAAGAGAGCATGCAGATTGAGAAAGTTCTTCAAAGAGGAGAGCAAATGTTACGTCAACCAATGGAAGACAATAAAAAAGAAAAGATCCGCTCACAGTTGTTACTTTTACACAAAAAATACAACAAAACTAAGGTATTGTCATGGGGAATCTGTTTTTTTTTTTTTTTCAATAGTTTATCCCGCCCTTGCCATTCAGCTGTTTGCTACTACATTCATGGACAAGACAGATCACTTGAAAGGGTATCTCCTCCTTCCAACTGTATATTATTAGATAAGTTTGTATTTTTGGATGGGACCAGACTCAAAGAAAATAGAAACAAAATATTATTAATGGGCTTTTCTTTTAGATTTCTAATGAAGTATTAAACCTAGAAGTTATTGATCTCTTTTGGAAATAACTTCCTCCTTTGGTTCTGTATTTTGTTTGTGGACATCTAGACCATGTTGGGAAAAAAATTCTACTTTACAGATAACTAAATTGGTAAATTGATAAACTATGATTTATATTTAAGAAAACCGTTTACTTCCAGCTCCCTTTCCAATGGCCGTCTTCCCAGCTGCTTCGTAAGTGTTCTGGTGCTCCCAGGAGTCTGTTGTCTGCTAATCCTTCTAGAACCAGTTTTACATTTTGAAGATGCTGGAATCTAATAGAAGATTGCAGGCTCCTGACATGTTGCCTACTGGATGTTTCTCTCTGTATCTGCTACCATGTTATAACATGCCGTTGGCTGAGCCTGCTATTTCCAACCCCCTCCAACCATGGTTCCTACTTTCTTTGTTACCTCTGATAATTACTTTAAAACTATCCATTATTTGAAGGTAGAATCCTAAAAATACCCCCAACTTATTTCTCACACACTGTATTCTCACACACTGTATTCCTCACACTTAGAACAAGGGCTTAAACACCATCCTGTCTGGATTTTCTTAAGGCTAACCCATCCTCTATTTTTTTTCCTCAGAATTATGTGTCTCTTCCACCTCCAAGTCATAACTGACCATGTCATTTCTTTGGTGTTCAGGAAAATATCACAAAATAAAGAACAAGTTTTATGTGTCAGACTTGTCACTATTTTTGACCTCCAGCTTCTTTGATTCACTGTCATTCACCATGTAGCATAGCTATGCTTGTTTTTTTTCGCATTTCCCCTAAAATACAGCACCTTAGCCACTCTGGGATCTAATCAGTTTTAGTCCTCTTCATTGCAGTAGGTTTTGTCACCTTATTTTGCCTGGAAAGTGTGTTGCGTTACTTTTAATTCTCAACTCCATTTTTATTCCTGACATCTTTCAGATTATATTATAGTATTTTGCTTTATTGTTACTTTCAAAAGTGATCTCTTTCCCAAGTACTTTTTTTAAAGGTTCAGGACATAACCCATTGATCTTTGGGTCCCAAATCAGCAATCATTACTGGTCCACAATAGAAATGATTTTGGGGCTTTTAATATATATGTAAATTTGTTTTTCTGAAGTACTAATATAGGCTATTACAGGTTCATTTCACTTTGGTTTCACTAGAATTAGTTACTATAATTAAAAGGCTTTTGTTCTTATTTTTTTAAATCTATGTGCTTCTTGAAATCTGTGGTTTTAAAATCTGCTTCCTAAGTGTGAACATTAGAATCACTTGGAGCGTTCTAAAGAAAATCAGATTCCCAAATCTACCCCCAAACCAGTTAGATCTAAATCTTTCAGGTTGAACCTAAATATGAGCACTTAATTTTTTTTTTTCCTAGATTATTCTAATGTGTAGTCAGAATTAAGAACCACCAGTTTGCAGGACTCATTTTTTAATTTGAAATTTGCATCTAATGACCTTTTCCCATTTGCTTACTAGAGTATTACTGTTTTTTAAAAAAATATGTATAAGCTCTGTATAAAATACAGATAATTACCTCTTGTTATATTTGCTATAAAATATATTACTAATTTTAACTTCTTACTTTACCTTTATTATGCAACCATTTAAACTTTTTGTTTATCCACACATGACTATATTTTTCCTTTATGATTTTTTAAGCCTGTTTCGTGATCTAAACATCCTTTTTCTCCAGAGAGTTGATGAATATTCAGTTCTGTGTTCCAGTTTTTTCATATGCTTTGATAAAAGCAAAACTTAGAAAATTTTAAAAAGTGTTTATTTAAATATACTATTTACTCTATCTGGAATTTAGCTTGCTGTATGACATGACCTATATCATGAAACTCTCTGATTTTAATGCCGCTTTGTAGTATATTGGTCTTTTTCTGTGTGTGTCTTAGCAGAATTCTTGAAAAAACAAAATTATCCAGAGGTAATGTCTGGGTCAGACTGCAGGGATTGCTTTTTCTCCTAGGGCATTTTGATTGATCACTCTCTTGGGATAGATCTATTTTAGGAATAGAGAAAGCACATGTTTGAGTCTTGAACATGTGAGACAGCTCCAAGAATATGGAGGCTTAGGAGGGCCTAGATGACCTCTTAAACTCTGAATAGAAAAACACAGTTGTTGATAAGCTTTTTTTATTTTCTTTCAAATTTGGGATGTTTCTGTGTACATTAGCTACTGGTGTCCTAGCTTCCCTAAGCCTCAGGTACACACAGCCATGCGGAGGGATGACCTGTTGTGTGGGGGAAGAGGCAACACAGGGTGCTGGCGCAGTCGTGACTCTGAGGCTGTCAGGCTCTTGGGGTCTCACCAGTTACGCAGCAGTGAGACAAGATGCTGGAGAGGAGCGTGCTGCAGGCTCTGGCCTACAGCACTTACCCCATCACTGGGAATCTGTCGTCTATACCAATGAAGGCTTTAGAGAAAATTTTTCTCTCATAGATGAGAAAATCAAGCAGGAGAATGGGTTCCAGCTTTTTATTACAACCTTCTGACACAATTACTCAACTAAATCTCCTTTGTTATTTTCTTTTCCTTAAAGCAGGGGAACAACTGAGTTTTCTGTAGTGACCTTTCCCCCAAATGGCCTATTTTAATTTAAATTCTGAAAAGAATTATTTAAACCTTTTTCTGTACTTAAAAAATACTCAGTATCTTTTTATTCAAAATGGGTTCCTGGGTGGACATATAATTTATGTCAAAATTCTCTTGTATTTGTTTAAAAATATAATTTATATTCTCAGACCTATGGGTAAATATCTAGAAATGCTTTTTGAATAAAATGTGAACATGTAGCATTAGGATAATAAAATTAGTGTTAGTGGGAAGTCTAAATAATCCTGTGGATAAAGTCGGAATCCAGAAGTGTATTTCTAACTGGCCTATTGAGGACTGCCCTTCAGTTGGTGAAAGTAGTATTTTTTTTTTTTTTTAAATCTAGGAGACAAATTGTATAGAATTCTAGGTGTAACAGCATGTTTTTGACTCAGTGTCCTTAGTTTTGAATCTTGGTTTCATTTAGGAATTGCAACCACTTTTAGGAGCACTAACTCTATGAATTTGTTTTTATGATAACTTGCACTGTTATCTTTGAATTTATAGAGGGATGGTTTTTTAGCAAGTCACCAGAGGAACATAGTGAGAGTCAAGGAAGATACCTTACCTCATGGATAAATGCACTTTGGTCATTGAAAGTAGTGAAAGCATTTATTAAAATCTAGCCATCTAGGAGTTAAGTAGTCACTTAGAACACTCTGACAAGAGGGCACAGAGAATACTGTGTCTTCTCGTCAGCTTAGAATCTGTCTGAATTTAACATGTTGGAAATCTATTTAAAAATCTTTTAAATTTTTTTTTTAATTTTTTACATCATGTCATTTTTTTATTTAGTTTTTTCTAGTTTTATTGTATGGAAGAATAGGCCAGTGTGATATCAGACTTTTTGGCATTTGTTGATAATGCTTTTTGATTTTGTAGCAGGCCAGTTTTTATAGTTTTTTTGTAAATTTATTTATTTTTTTTAATTTTATAAGTTGGGTTCTGTAGTACTGTTCTCAGAGATTGGGATTATTGTATTGTTCAACAGCAGGCTACAAATAAAAATTAGAATACAGATTGCTAAGGGTGTCTGTACCAATGAAGAGCTAGTATATAAACAATTAAAACTTAGTTTTTTGATTCTGGGTCATGGTATTGAATTCCTCCACAAAATAGTCTTGTGGTTTTTTTTTTTTTTTTTAAACTTCTCATATTCATTGAGGGGATATTTTTAGAGGTGTGCTTTATTGTTATTTTAAATTTTTTTTTTATAGGTAACCCCTCTTCGACAAAGGAAAACAGGTCAACTTGCTTCTGGAATTCGATCAGCATTTCTCCCCACAGATTACCTAGTTGAAATTAACAAAGTTTTGCTTTTCATGGATGATGTTGAATTATCACTTAATACTCCAGAGCTGAGCGCTGTTGTCCTTGAAGATTTCTCTTTTCATGAAGATTCTCTGAAGGTAAATCTCCAGACACTGCATTGGTTTAAGCACAGTTAATAAAGAAATAAGGGGGGAATTTGTCATTGTTCCTACTTAGATGATTTTATAACTTTTGGAGTTAGCAGTGTGTATGAATAACAGACCTTTCTGATATTCACCAATGAAATACCAAAAATTTTAATTTTTGACTTTTAGTAGTGAACTTATTATAATATATTCAGACTTGATTTATAATGAGGCACACCTGAAACTTATATAATGTTATAATGCAATGTCACTTCAATAAAAATTAAAGAAAATATATATGAATTTTTAAGTACGCAATTACTTTTTACAACATCAGGGACTTTTTAAGTCAAATATGCACAAACCATATTTCCTTATTATAAGTGTAATTGTCAGTTGATGTAAAATGCTAGCATTTAGTATGCCATCATTAATGATTTAAGATTGGCCAGCTGTTGAGGTATGGAATGGTATGTGATTGCAAGTTAATACAGGAGCTGGAAGTTTTAGTTAATTCACAAAACTATTAAATACCATCAAGGACTTTTGTGTGATTTGATTACATTTATGTAAAAAAGTCACAATAAAATTGCTAATACATTTGATAACTCATTTCTATCATTTAATTAGCATTATGAGGTATTTAATTCCAGCTTTAAACATTTCATTACCTTTGTAGAATGTTATTGAAGCTTTTTATTTGTCCTGTACAAATACCACTTTGAACATGTGTGAGGATTTTTTTTGCCACCATTTGAATATTACGTAACATTCTTCACTCTAACACCTTTACAGAGTCTTACTTTTTAAAATTTCCACTTTTGATGAGCAACTGTTATTTTGTTTCATTATAATTTGAGTAATTATGCAGTATAATACTTGGTTATGTATGATTTCTTTGTTTTATTTCTTTGATGGGTTTTGTTAATGAATGACAATATATTGTAGAATATCAAGGACCAACTGGACAAACTTGGAGAACAGATTGCAGTCATTCATGAAAAACAGCCAGATGTTATCCTTGAAGCTTCTGGACCTGAAGCCATTCAGATCCGGGATACACTTACTCAGTTGAATGCAAAATGGGACAGAGTTAACAGAATGTACAATGATCATAAAGGGTATGTGTCAGCCAAATTAATATTTAGTTTTATTTTTTGTTAAAAAGCTTATGAAATCATTGGCCAAAATCAAGGTCAAATGCACATTAATAGTAATATATTTCACAACCTCACTATAGGCTCTGTTTAATAAATTTTGATCAATGTATTTCCTTAAAGAACAAAGAAGTAGTTTATATATAGATGACCATTTGCAACACAACATCTTATAATTGAAAGCAGCATCTCTAATTTTTAATATGACCATTTCTTTAAAACACTTTACACAGGGCCTCCCTGGTGGCACAGCGGTTGAGCGCTGGGCTACAAAGCTGCCCGCAGCCTATGCAGCACCGATTCGATCCCCGGCCACCAGGCGAGGGTCCCACATGGCACGTAGACCTCTCCTGCCGCCCGCTGCTCCCCCCAGCAGTGTACTTCGTCAGTCTGCCTGTTCTGTTCCCCACTCCGGCTCTGGTGAATTCTCTCACCCTCCAACGCTTCTGACTGTACCCAGTGCTTGTATAAATAAATAAATCAATCTTTAAAAAAAAGAAAACACTTTACACATATTTTCATTAATGTTCACTTTAAAGTGAGTGAGTGAACTAAAGTGAGTGAAGAACAGAGACATCTACAGGTAATTGGAAACTATATATATATATATATATATTCCTAAGCCCCCATTTGAAATACCCTCCTGTTTAATGGAATGCTTTTGAACTTCCTCTTTTGAGATTTTAACCAGGTCTGCATGCAGAAATACAAGCAATACCTTTTTTTTGGCAATAACTTTGTATGGAGTGGAAAGGCAATATGGTGTAAATAGCTCAATATAAAGTTCATGCAGAAAAATACAGTCGGAACACTTTGGAGGCATACACGCAAAAACAAGGCATCATGTTCTTTATCTTTTATTTTTGCTACACTTCTATATGATTGTATGGTCTTTGAGAAGAAAAATTTTAATGACCCTTTGGTATATATCTTTGTATGGATATTTAGAATCATCTCTGTGCATTTAGGGAATATATGCTTATTCTTGCTGTTTAACTTGACTTGATAAGATGAAGACTAACTGGTTAAAAAGTAACTTTTAATGCTATCATTATATCACAAAAATGGTTTCACACTCCTGCCAAAAGTGTATATGAAGGTCTCCAAGTTAAGAAACACTCTTCTGTTCAAATATTTTGCTTTTCTTTTTCAAAATGGTTGACTTGTACTTTTATAAAATATTATTTAGCTCTTCCTTATTGTTGGTGATATACTTCCTTTATCATATTTTTTAAATATAGTCCTAGCTCATATTTTAAAACTGGCTAATTTTGTCATCTCACATCATTAGTTTTAGTCTAATACCACATTTTCATTTTTAAAGCATTATGAAATTTTTTCATTCAGTAAAAGCAAATTTTCTCTAATTATTCTTTCAATTTCATAGTCTTTTTCTATGTTTGTTCTAGCAATGTTTTAGAATCATTTCAATCAATTCATTAAAAAAAGAGCAATTTCAAGTGTAGTCTTTCCCTCATTGTTTGGGTCCCTTTCTGTGCCCTCATAAAATTTTAAAGATTTTTCTACACTTTTCTCTCCAGGGCTATCTCTTGGTAGCTTTGTGTTTTCGTGATGTTTATACTGCTCAGTCAGTGGATGGTAGCTTTTTTCAACACCCTGTGTGTGTGTGCATGTGAGCATGAATATAAAATAGATTATTTTGGCCTTTTTCAGTATCCTGTCATCACTTGTTTATCATGACAACTTTTCTTTTTTCTCCCAAGTATGCTGCTTGCATATGTGCATCAAGCCAAAATGGTAGAATTTCAAGATCATTGTTGGTTAGTTATGCTCATTGCAGATAATTTTGTCATTTTCTTCATTATAAAAATGTTACATTTTTGAAAATGTGGGAGCTTTCAAAATTTTAAACCTAGTACTGTATTTCTTAATTACAAAAATCTCTCTGATATCTATTTATTATTTTGTTTTCTTTGTTTACTTGATCACCTCTGCTCTCGGGTATTATCTGTCTTATTATTTGCCCCAACACTTTGTTGCATTAATTGATATGGTCTTAGTCCTAATTTTTGCTTTCTTTTTCTCCTGCAATCTTGGTAACCTATCCTAAAATTTCTTTTTCTCTGTTCATGTTTATCCACCTTGCACAAGCAATATGTGAGTTTCCCTTTTTATTCTGCTGTTCCATTTATAAAACCCAATACAATAACAAATGTCTTGTACCTTCATGGTTTTACATATCAGTTATAATCTCTCCAGGTGATCACCAGATTTATTAATCTACACCAGATACCTGTGCTTTTTTCCTATAAAACTTTATAGCCAGTTGGTAGAGGTCAGATAACTACCATGAAAATAAAACAGCTCATCTTTCTTTGAGAATTACCTGTGTCTACTCTGCAGTGGTTCCTGGCATTAGTTTTCACATTTTCCCAAAATAGCAATTTTTTAAAAATTGTGTTTTTTTTAAATTGAGATAACAATGGTTTACAATTAGAACCATTTTGAACAAATGATGGAGCTCCCTTTTACTTGATAGATATCTTTCCTTTATTTAAAGTAGGTATTCCTTGTTATCCTGGGTCCTGGGGTCCTTGTGTATCCTCGTCCATGAATGCATGAATGTTTGCTCAGATATTTATCCTCTGTGTGTTTTTTTTTGTTTTTGGTTTTTTTGGTGGTTCTCACTATTGTGTGAACCAAGTTTGGACATCTCATTATAGGCAGAGAGGCTTTTTAACGATGTTCTCCAGATGACCTGATTTCTAATACCATATGCATATTGCTAAAAAAAAAAAAAAGTTATCTTCATTTCATATGAACTTATTTAAAATTTTCTTTACCTTCCCAGTTTCTGATTCTTACTTAGAATTCTATCTTCTGCTAGAAATAGTTTTTCTCCCTAATTCCACTATTTCTTCTTTTTCCACCACTTAAAAATAGTTTTAGAATTCCTTTGTACCATGGAAAAGACTTCATCTGTCCACCTACCTTTCTGTCTCATGTATTTGAGGAGTACTAGAGTGCTGACTATTGCAAGCCTCATGTAGGTTGTTATAAAGGATTAGAAGGGCCTCACTGGTGGCACAAGGGTTTAAGACGCAACCAATGAAGCTATCCACAGCCACTGCAGCAGGAGTTTGAGCCCTGGCCAGGGAGCTACCCACATGGCACAGCAGACCTCTCCTGACTAGCTCACTGCTCCCCTCAGCAGTGTACTTTGGTCAATCTGCCTGTTCTTTTCCCCACTGTCTCTGGTGAATCCTCTCACCCCCACACCTATGGACTGTACCCCAGCTCTTGTATGCATAAATAAATAAATCTTTAAAAAAAAGGATTAGAGGACAGATACAGTAAATAGATACAGTCTAGTTTTAAGGACCCAAAGGTCTATAATAGAAAAAGTTTTTAAACAGTGCATAGTGCTAGGATGGGGACAAGTAAAATACCATATTTTTAATCCTGAGGAATCTGGGAAGGCTTCGTGGATATTATGAAGTTAGATAGTGGAAGGAATTGGAGGGGGACAGTATTGTATAAGGTTAGGTAAGAGAGATTTTGATGCTTTTATGGAAATGAACATAATCCAGTAGACCTGGAACTCATCGCAGAGAGATGAAAGAGAATGATCTGACAGGACCATAGCAGAGGTTTATTGTGTATCATGGGAATTAGTTTGTGTTGTGTTTTACTCTGAGAACATTAGGGAACCATCACAATATTTAATAAGGAAATGACAAGGGAATTTACTGATGGAGGGATGAATTGGTAGAGAACAAGACTGAAGCTAGGTGAACAATCTGTGTTTGTCTCATATGGTAACTTGATTAGGGCAGTTGCTGTGCAAGTGGAATGGTTGCTGGATGGGGCACATACGGTGACTGATGGAAGAGAGGTGGATGAAAAATGACCTCTAGTCTTTGGCTTGAAGACCTAGATAACGGTGGTACCGTTCCCAGGGACGGAGAATGTTGGTTGTGAAATGAACTTGTGGGGAGAGATAGCAAGCCATTTAGAATTTCAGATATAGCAAACATGTTTCTAGTTCAAGTCCAAACCAAGGTTGGAATGAGGCTCAAATTTTCTGAAGTCCGTAGTTCTTCATGATTCCGTGCTGCCTCCTCATCCCAGTTGGCTGGATTAGCTTGAAGTGTTGACTTTACAAATCCTACCTAATGTGGATATCCTCTTTTTTATACAATTCTTCTCTATTGAATCCATAGCTGCTTGAATTTATTTGAAATTTAATTGAAATTTGGTTATAATGATAATCCTCTTTACTAATTTAATATTTATATTTCAAAATCTTTAGATATATGTAAAATCCTTTTCAGCAATGTTTTCTATTCATTACTGTGGCAACTTGAGAGTCAGAATTTGTGTTTGTTAGTTATAGCACATTTTTATACAATTTAATGAAGATGGTCTGACTGATCTTCTCACAGTGTTTAATTGGAAGTCCTCCTGTTTTTGTCACACCCTATCGAATGTTGCTACCCTGTGGGTAGTCAGCAAATACGAACTGAAACTTTCAAAATGACTTTCATGGAAAGAGAATATAGAAGTATTATGTAGTGGTTAGCGATGTCAGGGATCATTTTATTATTTTAAATAATAGTACTATGTTTTTTGGATACAAAATTTTATGAATATTATTAAAATCTCACAGATCTCTTCCAGACCTCTCTTTGCACCACTACCCTAACAAAGAAGTCAGAAGGAAATTCTTAAGAATCTTTATCCAAAAAAGCTGTTCCTTTTTACACTTATGTTGTATTCCAAATACGACAAGCCCTGGAACTTTACGTCATGTCATTTCTAAAGGAATTGGGTCTATTTAGAAATTTTGATAGTCCTTTGCCTCATTGCCTGCTCTGGACTTTGCAGGCATTTCATGCTGAGTAGTGTTCAGGTAAATGGAACACTCAGGATGAGTCATCACACAGGATGTCTGCTGGGACTGCATTAACAAGATTCCTTAGATGGGTGCCTTTTACAACAGACATTTATTTTTTCTCAAGTTATGTAGTCCGGTAGTCTAAAATCAAGGTGCCAGAGAGTTTGTTTCTGGTGAGGCCCCTCTTACTGACTAAGACACAGCTGCCTCTTGCTGTGACCACACTTGGCTGTTCCTCTGTGCTCTGTGGGGTTAGGGGGTAAAGAGAGATATCACTGGTGTCTCCCTTCTCACCAGTCTTTTGGGATGAGGGCCCTACCTATGTTACTTTATCTCCACCTCTCAATTGGCCTCTGTGTAAGCATAGTCACATTGGGAGCTAGAGTTTCAACATATGGATGTTGGGGGACACAGTTCCATCCATAACAGAGAGATAATAGATTGAGAAGAATCTTGAAGGGTTTGGGCTTTTTGGGTTTTGTTCTAGCTGGGAACTCAGTTTTCTGGAAGCCAATTTTTCCCCCCTAAAAGATTAGCATAATTAATCATATTTTAAATTTCAAGGTATTTGAAATGTTAAGTGTTTAAAGTTGGTCAGGTAAACCTAATCAATCTTGATTTTCCAAGTCAGAGAAGTCTGTCTTCCATTCAAAAGCTGCCCAGTATATGCACGCAGGTATGTGAGAGAGAGGGGCAGGGATGGTAGTGTGTGCAGCCAGCTTAGTTCCCAGGGTGAGGCAGGTTTCTTAAAGAGGAGTTATTAACTGTAATTCACGATGAAAACTGGTATTGCAGAGCTGTGAGCTGTGAATTCACTCGTTTCAGGGTTTTCATTTGAAATGAAATTTGAATTTCCTTTTGGAAAAAATTGCTTTTAGACAGTCCCTGAAAGTTTAACACCTATTTTATTTGGTTTGTCATCCCCCAGTTATCTTGATAGAGCTGTGGAAGAATGGAGACAGTTCGATTGTGACCTTAATGACCTCGCACAGTGGCTAACGGAAGCTGAAGAGCTGCTGGCTGATACCTGTGCTCCAGATGGTGGTCTGGACTTAGAGAGAGCCAGGAGACATCAGCAGGTAGGTGTTTGATGTCAGAGGATGGGGGCCTGCTGAAAGGGGGCCTATTTATGTCATGTGTTGGCATTTCAGACAGATTTCAGAAGTAGGGAACAAATATATTAATTTTTTTCTAGGACTATTATAATTTGTAAATTTTGTTCTAGATCAAGTTTCTAGTCTCAGAGGTTTTAGAAATTTTTTTAAAGACATTTAAATAAATGATTCTTGTTGGTGGCTAATGTAAAAAACCATTCTATTTGGAAAATTTTATATTCAGAGTAGCATTTAAAAAATTTTGTACCCAAGACTCTATTAAGAATAGCAATATATATGCATACTTCTGTGTTGTATACTTAAACATTTAGGCATCTTATTTTTCTTTGTATCATTGATAATTATCATAAGGTAGCTTATTCTTAAGCTATGTCAGGGCAGCTGCTCATTGTAAGTCTAATTCAGTCTTGGGAAAATATAACACAATAGCTAAGTTAGTTCTGCCCATAACAATAGGTCTTTAAAAATAATCAGCAAAATTTCTATTTACCATTGTTAAAAATTGTTCCTTTTTTAAAATACATTTTAGGTGGAAGATTCGAGAGGAGTTAGAAAATGCTTTTGTTTTTCTCATCAACATGTTCATCATTTTCTCATAAACAAGTGTTTAAATTTGACTTTAAAATATTCCTCTTTAATCCGTTGCTTAAAATTTTCTGAGCAGTGAAGCAATGTCTCAATAAAATGCACATTGATGCTTACTTATATGTGGTAGGATGTAAAAGTATATGGGGCTGTACAGTTGTGCTTCTTTTTATTTTGTAAGAGATACTTCCAAGCACATGTTTGGAAGAAGGTAAGCAATTCACTGTAATCAAACATTTGATGCTAATGCTGCACTGTAAACAGCTGTCATTTATTTTATATTATTAGCCTATCCTCTTTCATTGTATTTGCCTGGTGACATTCACGAGGTGGTGTTAGATTTCAAAGAGGTTCCATTTAGTGTGTTCATTGACATGTAATTAGAGTGTTTTAAAATGCCTCTTTTGGTGTGATCATAAAATATCCTTCCAGGATGTTGTTTCTCCAACCCTTAAGGTGAAGCCTTAAGGATTTACTGAGTGGACTTACTACAACCAAACAATATATGCTACCAGCAGAATGAATCTTGGGTTGCACTCTGTTACAGGAACTGGAAGAGGGGATTAGCAGCCACCAGCCCAGTGTTGCAGCACTAAACAGAACTGGGGATGAGATTGTACAGAAACTGCTCCCCACAGATGGAAGCTTCGTGAAAGACAAGTTGGCAGGCTTAAACCACCGCTGGAGTGCGATCGTGGCTGACGTGAAGGATCGAAGGCCAAGGTGATTTAGTTGTATAATTGGAGGTTCCAGGGAAAGATGTGTCAGGCTGAGCTTTTAAACTACGCTTGGAGTTGTTCAAAGTTCTTTTGCCATCTAATATTATAGTAGGAGTTTTACTCACATTTAAGGCCTCCATTATCCAGGTTCAGTATTTTTAGAACACGGCCTTTACTGTATTTTTGGACTGTCTGTAAAATCTCACTTTTCTACTCACATAGCATGCACGTAAAAAATACCTTGCTTCCTCTTACTTCTGAGTGTTTTTGATAACTTGGTGGTACTGTGACAGGAAATCACAGTAATTGAAATAATGTTTTGGACTTGACTCTGACTTTCTGTCCACAGGGTCTGGCTTCTCACTTATTTGCAGACCAGACCACACTGCCTTCCTCTGTTTCCCCTCTCCCTGGGCCATTGTGAGTGTCACAGGGTGTCTTCTCTCTGTAGATGCCAGAGCTTTGTAAATAATACAGTTCCTATGTAATATAATAAACTTCATGTTTTTTAAATTGTAAGACTAATACTCCTAACCGTATTCTGATGCCTCATTAGCTTTGCTAATTCATATTTCTTTATTGCTAAGACCTGCTGTTCATTTAGAGTTACTGATACTGAAAATAACTCTACAAACTATAAAGCTGAACATTTTTATAGTTTTCATAACCTGCCATTAATGTATATTAAATACCTCCCTAACTTACCAGTATTTGCTCCTTCTCTATCTTCTTATTCTTTTTAATAAGATAACATACACGATATTATAAACCAAAGAGTTGGTTTTTCTGTCAGATTATCTTACCATGTCCCAGATTTGATTAGGGTGTCTTTTGATGACAAAGATGTTTTATTACCAGTAAGTACAATACTCAACATTATACATATTATTTTCTAGCTTCTTAAAAAAATTCGAAGTCTTCTTTTGAGACAATCAAGATTTAGTGGAGTTCTACTTTGCATAATACATTCCTTCTCATTAATGATATTTTGGGGGGGGGTTTATGAGAGTTTTTGGATTAAAAAGTCCCAACCATCAATTTTTCTGCTAACTCTGTAGATGATGTGTTATTTTAGTGATAAATGATTGTTTTGTTAAAGGTCAATCTACTGCTTTATCAAAGTTCAGTATTATAACAAAATATTTAAGTGTGAATATTTGGCCTATAGTTGCTTTTTAAAATAAATTAACATTTATTATTTTGTGTGTTTGGGTATGAGACAAATAATGGTGCATTTTGCTTGAGAAATTGTTAGGTTGCAGAGGCAGGTTTGGCATCTTGTACATGCTGCCTTCTTTAATTCTCACAGTTGCCCGCCGAGGGTCTGTGAGGCTTTAGAAACTAAGGCTCAGAAGGAAGAGTTTAAGTTACTTTTCCAATGTGTCATTGAAAATTAGCAGTGGTGCTATCTCGTGCCCTCAAATACTGGGCTATACAAACATAGGAAAACCACAGAGCTCTCTGGCCAAGTCCCTCTGTGTAAAGGAAGGCTGCGATATCATCCCAGAGTAGTATCATGAGGATTTAATGAAACAGTGTTTGTAAAATGTTTATGCCCTCAGTACTCACTCATACAGCAAACACTCAGAATATCTAGGGTTTATAATAGTAAGTTAACCAAGAACGTATTCTCCAAACATGTTATTACTGAATTTTGCTAATGATTGATTCGATCGATATTTATGGAGTCTGTTTAGCACTGGGGATACAGGGGTGACTAAGGAACACAGAGGCTGGAACAACGAAACTGTTTAAAGGGAATACTGACATGGCATGCTTCAAGAAAACATCATTAAGAAGAGGCAGTGTTGACATAGAGGCAGGGCTGGTGGGTTGTGAGCTCAGGCATTGAGGGAAGGATTCTAAAACTGGCTTTGAAACATTGATAGCATTTTCCCACCACTGCATCCTGGGGAGGACCTTCTAGGAAACAGAGCAGAACAGGTAAAGTGAGAAACGTGAAATATGTATGGCCAGGAAAGACATCTCCAAAGGGTAGGTAAGAAGAGGATTCTGGGGATCAGGACCAGGACTGGAAACTGTGTCATTGGATCTTACATGCCAGACTGATGAGTTTGCATAGAGATTTTCTCCAGCTGGAAAATGATACATTTTTCCTAAGGAAAAAATGCACCTGCTGGCATAGTATTAACAATAAATGCAGAAATTGCCGTAAAGATTTTCAAATGGATCTCCATGGAGTGTGGTAATTATTGCTCCAGGAACTAAGAAAATGAAGCTAATACATATTTTATTCATTTTTTTTGGAAGAGAAAAGAATCGTGAATCATTTCTCCACATGTATTACAATTAAAGCAATATTTGTTTTCATAATTTCATGCTCAGCTTCATTTCAAGTTGGAAGTTAACTTGGGGATACTTTGTAACTTTAGGGTTTGTGTGTGTGCTAGTATCAAAGGCATTGAGGAAGAGCACACAGTTGAGTTAGTTTTTGACTTCATTATCTACAGTAAAACTTTTGTCTAGTACAGCAGTTTATGGTGTTGTTCCAAAATGAGCAATTGTTATCAACTGTTTGAACATAAATTTATAACTTGTTTTTACTATTAGGGATAACATATAAAATGTAGATTATATTTAGCTAGTTTGGAGACAAAAGCTTTGTCTTAACTCAAATAGGTCTTACTGAGATTACTTGATAATTTTAGTTTCTTTCATACATCTACTTTCAGATTATTAAATAAGTTATGATTATGAGACATTGGAAAACTTAAATTCAGACTTTTTTTTTGAAACAAATAATCTACAATAGTATTTTAGGGGTTTCCAGAACTGTTTTTTAAATGTTAAGGACTCTTCCTTACAGAAGGCAAGTTACCTGTTTGGTATTAGAAGTCTTAATAATTAGTACTATTGCTTTATTTATTTATTAATCTGGACAGGCTATGTTCTGTCTTGATTGATGCTTAAAAATGAAAACTTGTGATTTTGTAGGGATTTTCATTGTTTTTTTAAACATTGAAACATTCTCCTTCAAATATTATTGACGATTAAATGTACAAGCACTTATTTAGCATTTTACATAGTACACGATGAAGTCTTTATTATGATTGAAAAGACAAAGTTGTAGCCATAAAAATGTCAATTGTTAAAGAGGCTGATAATGTAATTAATTAAAAAATTGCTTTCTATTTTTAAACCAACAGCTAATGACTGCAGTTACAAAATAATGATCCTACCAACAAGCTCTAAATAGCTTTTGAGCCCTTTCTTAAAAATACATATCTGTTTGTCATATGAGATCTAATCATATTCTTATCTTCTGACAGATGGTTTATATACTTACAAATATTATTCTTATAGCATTTAAGGAATCTAATTAAGGCTGCTCCACTTTCATATTCATATGACTATTTGTTTTCTTAAATTCTTTAAAACTTTTACTTTGTTTTTTTTTAGGTCTCTTTTAAAACTTAGTGCTATATTTAAGTACTTATTTTAACAAATTAACCAGATCTCCATTTTTTCCTGGTCTTTCGTAATTTATAAAAATGTCCAGTTCTTAGAATCTTGCCTTGTTCTTATTCTTTCTTTCCTGTGAATCAGTAAACAGTTGCCACCTGATGTGAATAATCTCTCATATAATGATAACTTTCTGTCTCCATGGAGTACTCAGAGAAAATTATGTGTTTTTTGTTAATATTAGATAAAGACATTTTTCATTTTTTTTATGCAGTCCATTATGATGTACAGTAGCATCTAGCTTCTTAAAAAAATCCTTTGTATTAAATTTCTATGTAATCCATCATAAGAGAACATAACATTCTTTAGTTGCAATGTTTTTTAATTTAATGAAATTGAATCTGGGCCTTCCCGATGGTGCAGCGGTTGAGCGCTGGGTTGCAAAGCTGCCCGCAGCCTATGCAGCGCTGGTTCAATCCAGCGAGGGTTCCACATGGTGCGCAGACCTCTCCTGCCACCCGCTGCTCCCCTCAGCAGTGTATTTCGTCACTCTGCCTGTTCTACTCTCCGCTCAGGCTCTGGTGAATTCTCTCACCCTCCCATACTTCTGACTGTACCCAGTGCTTGTATAAATAAATAAATAAATCTAAAAAAAAAAACTTATAAAAAAAAAGAAATCGAATTTGATGAAGGAAGAATTGTTCTTATCAAGTAATCTTTGGCATTACTATTAACACATTCAAACACATATTACAATAATTAGATATTTCTTTTGTGGTTAGTGAATCAGGATGTCAAAGCAAATATATAATCATTGGTCAAGTTGGATGATTTTTCTCAATATATTTCAATGGTGGTGTATTCTTTTAGGTTAAAAGGAGAAAGTAAGCAGGTGATGGAATATAGAAAAAGACTAGATGAGCTTATTTGTTGGTTAACGAAGGCTGAGAATACTGTGCAGAAGAGATCAACCACTGAGCTGCAAAAAAACCTGCAAGAATTAACAGTAAGCGGTTTAGCTATCTCTGCATTTGCCAATGCTTTTCCACTCATGAATGTTTACTCTATAAATAACACGTTGCATGACTGAAGAAAAAAAGGGAAAAAAGACTTTGTACTTTGTGGTAAATATGGTGAACTTGAAAGAGGAACTTCTTTTTAAGAGCAGCTATAATTTTGGTCTTTAAATAAGGCTTTGCACACAGGTGTGATAAATCATTGTCATCTGAATATTAGATATAGATTTTTAGGTTATTTCAAACAGATTTTACCATTTTAGAATATATTAATTCTGTGAAGTATATTTTTTTTACTTTCAGATTTGGAAGATAATTATGGATAAATGTGGGTTTTAGAAGAAAACTGAATGACTTGCATAGTAACTCATTGCAACTTACTGTGGGGTTAGTCTCATGGGTGCATTAATTAATTATTCTCTGCACCCAGCAAGAATTATTTATGATTGTGTATTTATATAATATGTAAAAAATGCATAAAGACATATATATGTAAATATATCCAAGTATCCATATTTAATTAAATATTTTTGTTGTAGAATAATAATAATAGACTCAAATTTTTATTAAAAATTATGAGTGTGTGTATATACACGTGTGTATGCATAAAAGAAAATCTATAAGGAAGCCCATTAAATTGATGAGATTTTGTCTAAAGGCACATAAACTGAAGAATTTGGGAAAAAAGACTTTTAGTAAGAGTAGAGAATAGTATGTGGCAAACAGCTATTAAGTTTTACATTCAAAATGTGACAACTAAATTACAAAATTGTTCTTTTATCTAAAAATTATAATGGTTTTCTTGGAACATCCCATTTGCAAACAATCTGGTGCAATCGCTGCGGCTAGGACAGTGTGCTCAGGCGGGGTGGCGAATAGAGATAAGACACATAAATGCTCCTGCTGTTTCTTTTTCGCTTAATTGAGGTAACATTGGCTTATAACATGACATAGGTTTCAGGTGTACAGATTTATATATCAACATCTGTTTGTATCACGCTTGTCACCAAAAGTTTAGTTTCCATCCAATCACTATGTAATTGACTCTTTTTACTACCATTTATTTTATATTTTAATTTACTTTTGCTTAGAAGAACTGGGGTGTAGGCCACAGGAGCAGGGGTTGGGAGGATGTGTGGGTGTGTGAGAGACAGAGACAGAGTGGGAAGCAGAACAGGTGGCTCTGCTGAAATACACTGCTGAGGGGAATAGCGGGGTCTCCTGTGGCATGTGGGTCACCTCCCTGGCTGGGAATCAAACTATTAGGCCACAGCCAGCATAGTTTTGAGACTTAACCCCTAGGCCACCAGGAAGGCCCCCTACTGCTGTTTCTTTTTTGCCTTCATAAGTGCAGACATCACTTTTATTATCTAAGCAATGGAAATATAACATTGCTTCACTGAGAGGATAGCAGGGGATGGGGTGTGGAGAGTGTTTGCACATGTGAACACACAGGGTGTTCATTCCATTATGTATTAGTTTTAGTTTGTCCATGTAGGTACAGACCTTTTATGTTTTTTCCATGAAAGGAATTAAAAGTCCATATTTATGAGATTATTTTCCCAAATTATATTACTCTCTTTTAAAAATTAGACATAATGTTGTCTTAGTTTTAGGTGTTCATGTAATGATTGGATATTTCTACCTATTACAAAATGATCACCAGAAGAAAGTATAGTTACTATCCATCACCATTTTTACAAATTTTTTTTTCTTGTGATGAAGAAGAAAATCTTTATTATAGTTCTTTCTAGTATAGTTCTGGAGATTTCTCCAGTGTGTCAACCTTTTAACTATATATCTCTTCTGACTTCTTCAGGACTTAACCAGGGAAATGGATATTCAAGATGAAAAACTCAAATGGTTGAATAGAAATGAATTGGAAATGCTTTCTGATAAAAGTCTGAGTTTACATGAAAGAGAGAAAATTTCAGAAAGCCTAAAAACTGTAAATCTGACATGGAATAAGGTATGTATTAACAATTACTGTGACAATTTTTTATGTTTATTGATTTTTGCTATCAAAGTGGAATTACTTAAGAGTTTTACTTTTAAATATTTTTGAATATGATCACATTTTATTAATGGTTACTAGTATTTATGAATTTGTTTATAGAAGTATGTATTTTCAGGAATGTGTTTTATTTTATATCGACATTCTTGGTCTAAGGCATTTAACATTATATTCTGCAATAAATAAGAAGCTTATTTTAGAATTAGACATTAAATTTCCAGTAATTGTACTAGAAATGACTTTTCACATCTGTATATTTATTTTTAACTATTATATTTTATTCATTTGATATAGATGTACTAAGTTTTATTTGGAATGTAATGGGGGTGTAGGCCAGAGGTGTGGAGGGTGAAAGGATTCACTGGAGACAGAGTGGGGAACAGAACAGGCAGACTGACTGAAACACACTGCTGAAGGGAGCAGTGGGCAAGACAGGAGAGGTCTGCTCGCCATGTGGGTCAACTCCCTGGCTAGGGATCGAACTCAGGCCGTCAAGGTGAGAACGCTGAGACTTAACCCCTAGGCCACCCGGGAGACCCTCCTCTTGAACCTTTAAAATGGTAACCATCATTCTCTCTCCGGTGGTAAAGGCACTTTATTGGTTTGGCCTCTCTGCTTGAGAATTATTGCCTGGCTGAGTCCCTGTCATTGATGAATTGCTCATATTTGTCTCTGGCCCTGCCCTCTCTCTTTACTCCAGGCCAACACATGCAACTGCCTGCTTAGCATTTCTGCTTGGATGCTTCTAGACTGACTTACACCTCCCCTTGTGCTGATTTCCTCCCACCTCAGTTTCTGGTACTTACAGCCTTATTGTTAGGTCAAAATTCATGGTGTTGGGCCTCCCTGGTGGCTCAAGGGGTTAAGCACCGCACTGTGGGGCAATCCACAGCCTCTGCAGCACAGTTTGATCCTGGGCCGGCCAGGGAGCAACCCACATGGAGCAGCAGACCTCTCCTGACTCACCCGCTGCGCCCCTCAGCAGTGTGTTTCACTCAATCTGCCTGTTCTGCTTCCTGCTCTGTCTCTGGTGAATCCTCTCACCCCCCACATCTTTGGCCTTTACCCCAGCTCTTGTATGCATAAATAAATACAAAAATCTTTTTTTTTTGAAGAAACTTTTTTTTTTTTAAAGATTTATTTATTTATACAAGCACTGGGTACAGTCAGAAGCACGGGAGGGGGAGAGAATTCACCAGAGCAGGGAACAGAACAGGCAGACTGACGAAATACACTACTGAGGGCAGGCACAGCAGGAGAGATCTGCACACCATGTGGGACCCTCGCCTGGCGGCTGGGGATCGAACCGGTGCTGCAGAGGCTGTGGGCAGCTTCGCAGCCCAGTGCTCAACTGCTGTGCCACCGGGGAGGCCCAATAAAAAAATGTTGAAAAAAATCATAGTGTTAGCATTTTGATATGTGAATCATATCTCAAAAAAAAAAAAAAAAACAAAACCTTGGAGTCACCACCATCAGCTTCTTTTTCAGATACCTATCCATTTGATGGAAATGGCTCTATGGCTATGTTTACATAATAGCAACATTTTAACAATGGCGGGTATGGGGTATGTGCTGTGCATTCTCTCAGCCTTTCTTAAGCTTGAAAAGGTTTATGCATCTCACTGCTCTTATTGCTTCTCTTATGTGCGTCTCTCTGCTCTTATTGTCCTTAACTTGTTTCAAGCCTCCATCTTCTCTTGTCTTGATTACTGTACTGTCCTTCTCACTGGCTTCCCTGCTTTCGTCTTTGTCCTTTATCAATCTGTTCTCAACAGAGCAGTCAAAGAAGCTTGTTAAAATAGAATTCAGATCAAGGAACTCCCCTTAGTTAAGCCCACGGATAGTTTTCCATTTCACTCAGTATAGGCTGACATCCTTCCTGTGACTTGTGAGTTCCCAAGTGTTCTGGCTTCCTGTTTTCTCTCTGACTTCATCAATGGCTCTCTCCCCCTTACACTTCTGTTCAGATATGTTGGCCCCATGTTAAACACGTCAGACTCAGCTTGACCATATTCAGTCAGAACACATTTATTTAACAGGAAAGATGTCAGTGGATATTGAGTAGAGGAGGACTTGGTGGTTTCTTTTGGGAGCACTATGTCAGACAAAGCCAAAACTGCCTCATCTTAGGTGTTCTTACATATTTTACTCAGGTGAATATGACTGTTCAAGGCCAAGTGGTGCTTGCTGTGCAGGGAATTCCAATAGACCCATCTTGGGAAATATTTGTTTGGGGTATTTCATTCATTCATGCATTTGTTCATTCACTCAGTAGCTTTTTACTCAACTTTCAGTTATGCCAGATACCTTTTTTTTTAATAGAGGCATGCTTTATTTATTTGTTTGCTGGTTTGTTTGTTTGTTTTGTTTATACATGCACTGGGTACAGTCAGAAGCGCGGGAGGGTGAGAGAATTCACCAGAGCCAGAGCGGGGAGCAGAGCAGGCAGAAGGACCGAAGTACACTGCTGAGGGGAGCAGCGGGCGGCAGGAGAGGTCTGCGCGCCATGTGGGCCCCTCCTCCGGTGGCCGGGGAGCAGCCGGGGATCGAACCGGCGCCGCAGAGGCCGCGCGCAGTTTCGCAACCCAGCGCTCAACCGCTGCGCCACCGGGGAGGCCCTATGCCAGATACCCTTTTAAGAACTGGCATTACAGTAGACTATTATACTGGTTCTAATCCAAGGAGCTTATCATGAGTGAGATGAACGGACAGTTATAACCTACAGGTGTCCATGGTGACACCTATTCAGAGTAACCTGGACAGTTTTGTGGAGGAGATCATATCCAAGCTAATTAGTAAGGATCAGCTAAGCATTGGTCAAATGAAGATTCGGAGAAAAGGTGGCAGGGAGAAGCAAGTGAAAAGGCTTACAGGAGACAAGAGAGTTGGCACAGTGCTTTTGGATCCTAGATGTAACTCAGAGTGGAATGTGGAGAGGAGCATTGCTTCCAGAGACCAGGTACAGCAGCCTCACCTTGTATCACAAGGAGTCTGAGGTGCATCTTGAGAATAATTCATGACCTTGAGGGCAGCAGGCAGTTGTTGATGGATTGCAAGCAGGGAAAGTCACATTTTGAAAGATCATTGTCGCTTCACCATAGATCCTTGGTGCAGTGATCCTAAGGATGGATGTAGAAGGGTGAGTTAGACTTGTTAGAAAAATCTTCAAAGGGAATGTTTAATCATTAGAAAAGTTTGTAAAGGCTGACAGATGAATTTAGATTTGGAAAAGTCTGAATATTGAGTTGACAGAAAGAGCGTGACTGAAGATAATGGTTTTGGGAATTTTCAGCCTCTAAAAACTCCACATGATAGATGGCACCATTAGAAATCAAAACTCAGAGGCCCAGGTCAAGGGTAAGAAAGAAGACCAAAAAATCTATCCTGCAAACTGTTGGTGTTTGATGGATGGCAGAGGAAAATGAGCTGGTGAAGGACACTTAGAAGATCAGAGAAAGGAGCAAAGCCAGAACTACAGAATATGACAGAATTCAAAGGGGTGGGATGGGGGAATAAGAGCATTAACACTGTGGAGGGCCAGGGCATCTGAAGACTGGATGCCATTCTTGATAGTAATTCCAGTGGAGAGAGGGACCAAGCCAGGTCACAGAGGACATTGATGGAGACAGAAGCTTAAGCATTGACTGGAAGAAAATCGACAGAGCTACCTTTTTTTTTTTTTTAACTTACCACAAATTTATTAAAGCTAGAAAGCCACGAATTGATCACAAATCTATTAAAATTGCAAAGTGTATCTGTAAATGTGCTAAGCAGCAGAAGTGACTACAGTTCTTCCCAACCCTGTCTGCATGCCCTGTGAAAATATAATCATCTTGATTTATAAAATAGTCTCTTTCTGTTTGGCCCAATGCTGTAGGTCTCCAGAGAGGTGCCCAGCACCCTGAAGGAGTGCATCCAGGAGCCTTGTTCTGTTTCTCAGACAAGAATTGCTGGTAAGATGCCATTATTCCTGTACAAAAGAATTTTTTATCATCATCGAAAAATTTTGTCATTATGAGTGTCTATATGAGATAGAAAAAATGTATTTGAGATGTGTTGGGATTGTGATTTATTATTCCACTTAAAATTACTGGGAAAAAATATCTTGCTGAGCAGGATGTGGTGTGTCCCTGGCCTTCCTTTCCATGGGAGGTAAGATATTCTGTCTTCCTTGGGACTTGGGTGGGAGCTGGGCCTTCGCAGATTCTGCTGAAGGTAAGTGGGGAGGCCAGGTGGGAAACTGGGGACTAATGTTTTGGGACAAGCAGTTTGGCAGGAAATGAGTTGGAGCCACTGTGTTAATACACTCAGGGTGTGTGCAGTGGGCGCTGATCATGACTGAGGACAAGGTTTAGATATTCCTGGAAGCAGGTGTGAGGTGGGATTTAGGACTCACCATTCCAAGGAAGCTGCTTACTGGCACATGCTGACCACTTAGATGTGGAGGACAAGAGTTTTCTCAGTGCTTATTTTCTTCGCCCCTCACCAAGTAAACTCTACCTGCTGTAACCATGGCCTGCGGACTCTCTGAGTCACCTCACCTCTTCTCTTCATCACCCAGCAAAACCACACACGTGATTAAACCGCCTGCCTCCTCGGTGACCATGGCAGCCCCTGCTGTGGGTTCTCCTCGTACCTCTCCTCCCTCCACACTTCCCTCCTCCACCCCTTTCTCCTGCTTTTCCTCCTCAGGAGTTGGAAAAAATGATGAGTGACAAGATGTTTGTTTTCACTTGAGATTGAAAATTTGCTGAAGGCAAAATTTATATTGTCATTTATTTGTATTTCCCAGTACCTTGTCCAAGAAATACCTGACTGGTTTAGTTAATTAATACCCAAAACACTTGAGTTAAATTTGGGGAATGTTCCCTTGCAAATAGAAGCTCAATTCCATAGCCATGGGGAGGAGATTTGATAGAATGGGTTGTCTTACGTTTTCACATATTATGCAGGGTAGCATGGAAAATATAAATGCATTTTTAAAAGTCTGAAAAAGGGACACAAAACTATTCCCCCAGTGGTTAGGTGGTTCATTTTTGACAAGCTATTCATCCCTGAGATAGGTATGAATTTCACTGTCCCTCTCTTCCTGAACAATGTTTTGTTTCTTTTTTTTTTAAATTATATCATATAAAAGAAACATTTTAAAGTAAAAAATTCATTTAATAAACACCTTTATAGTGTTGTGTGCCTGCCATCTCTGTATTATTCCAAAATATTTCCAGCACCCCAAAGTTAAATCTCTGACTCAGCCAGCAGTTCCTCCCTATTTCCTTCTACCCCCAGCTCCTGGTAACCACTTTTCTTTCTCTTGTCTGCATCGATTGATCTGTTTTGGATATTTCCCATTACAGATCTCATATGATGCTGCTTTCACTGAGCATGTTGCTTTTTAGGTGCATCCATACTGACTTCTTGCTTAGAAAGTAAAACATAAATTTAAAGATATTTATTAGTTTAAAATAGTGATAGCAAAACCACTATGTTAATGAAAATATTTTAAAAATATTAATACAAGAAATTATTATTTTCCAAAAAATCAAATTTACTAGAAAAGTGGCTTTGTTTTCCATTAAAAAAAATCAAATTTCTGGTCTATAAGATGACTGCTGGATTCTCACATCTGCTGCTGCCTTTAGTGTGGTGACAGCACATCCACTCTACACTTGGGAAAGAGTGAATATGAAAAGCAAATACTTGATGGTGATAATCGTTTAGGCCTCACACCCCTTAGAGCAGTATCGAGACCTTATGCTCCACAGACATCATTTTGCAAACCAATGACCTGTGGATATATGCTATTTCTTTTCTGTTTGTAGTCACACACATGTGTGGTTGAGCCTTTTTACTGTATGTGTATTGTCTTTCTTGATTCCTCTTCCATGTGTTATCTGTTAATATTTTTGGAGTTTAAAAATTATTTGTGGGCCTCCCCAGTGGCGCAGGTTATTGGGTGCTGCGCTGTGAAGCTGTCCGCAGCCTCCGCAGTGCAGGTTCGATCCCAGCCAGCTGGCAAGAATCCCACATGGCACAGCAGATCTCTCCTGTCTTGTCCACTACTCCCCTCAGCAGTGTAATTCAGTCTATCTGCTTGTTCTGTTCCCTGCTCTGTCTCTGGTGAATCCTCTCACCCTCCTGCACATCTGGCCTATACCCCAGCTCTTGTATAAAATAAATAAATCTTTAAAAAATTATTTGTTACCAGTTTCTGGCATTGCAAATACTTTCTCCCTTGGTCTACAACTTTAAAAATATTTATGGTACTATATTAGAATCCTTAGGTGATATTGAACTATTCATAGCTTCCATTTTATTGTAGGACTCTGCTGAAGTCATAAAGATATTCCATATTCTGTACTAAATTATTTTAGATTGTTGGTTTTTATATTGAGATCCTTAATGTAACAAGAGTTAATTTTTCGAAGGTGCTTTGAGGTCATACATGTCCCACCATCTTCCTGCACCAGCCATTGATTACCTCTTTCCCCAGCAGCATTTACTGACCAGCAGATTCCTGCCCATCAACCTATAAAGCAGTAAGCACTTGGAGCTTCTCTTCTGGTGATCGTTTTGAATCATTTATTGAGTTAATTGTTCCTTATTACCTTAGCATAAACTAAATATCTGGTAGGGCATAGCCCTCTACCCAAATTCATCTTTTGGCTGTTCTTGGCCATTTCTCTTCTACATTAGTTTTAAAGTCAGAAATTTGGATTTATGGCTTTGTCAAGTGTATGAAAGCCCATTGGGATTTTGTTAGTACTGAGTCAAATTTACAAATTGACTCTATTTTTTTTTTTTGAAATTGTAGTGCCTCATCTAATACACCATATGGTAGAGTGGGTTTCTCAGAGATCTATCTATCTATCTATCTATTTTTTACATCATTGTTCATTTTTAAACAATGTTTGCTTCCCTCACTCCCCACCCCAGCTGTAGTCCCCACAGCATTTCCTTCCCCAAGGCACCCGTGCACCATCACCACAGTCCCCTGTGCTCCTCCCTCCCTCCCTCCCTCTGATCCCTCTCCCTCCTCCTCCCCTGCAGGATGGCTCTCATTTATAATTGTCTGCTTGTTTTTGTTTTGGTGTGTTTTGTATTGTTATTGTGTTTTGTATTGTTTTCCCCTGATGTCTTATTTGATTCCCCTGTACTCCTCCTATAATGAAACCATCTGACATTTTTCTTTTTTCCTTTTGACTTATTTCACTGAGCATAATTCTTTCTAGCTCCATCCATGTTGCTGTGAATGGCATGAGTTTATCTTTTTTGATAGATCTAATAATTCAACCACCTCTTTCATCAAAGAAAACAGACAACCTCCCATCATTAATAAATAAATAAACAGGGCCTCCCCTGGTGGCGCAGCGGTTGAGCACTGGGCTGCGAAGCTGCCCGCAGCCTCTGCAGCCCGGGTTCTATCCCCGGCCTCAGGTGAGGGTCCCACATGGTGCGACAGACCTCTCCTGCCGTGCCCACTGCTCCTCTCAGCAGTGTATTTTGTCAGTCTGGCTGTTCTGTTCCCTGCTCTGGCTCTGGTGAATTCTCTCACCCTCCCGCGCTTCTGCCTGTACCCAGTGCTTGTATAAATAAATAAATAAATCTTTAAAAAATAAACAAAAACAAGAAAAAAAAGTCAAATCTTTGGGGGAGACAATCTCCAACTTTAAAAGTGAATCCCCCTAGATAAAATTATGGATTTGATTACCCCAACATTTGGGAACATCTATATGTTAAAAAATATATTTAAAGAAATCCTAAAATAGAAACATCATTTTCAAGAATATACCAAGGGTTCCTTTCTCATCCAGGTTGATAAGAAAGAAGATCAAGAAGGGAGTTATAAATTATACCATATTTGATTAACAAACTGAAAGCGGTTATTCTCCCTAGTGATAAAAAAAAGCCTTTAAGTGAAGACACTGATGAAAGATACGTGTTTATCCATTGAGATGCACAATGTTTTTGGTGTGGGCACAGGATATTTGTATGTTCCACACATGGCTGCTGGATGTTTAACTTTCCAATTTTGATAGAAAGCAATTTGGCCATAAGTATTAATACATCATCTATATATATATATGTGTGTGTGTGTGTGTGTGTGTGTGTGTGTGTGTTGTTCTGCTTTAGGAAACCTAGGCTAAGGTGATAATCATCAATGTGGAAAATACCTACACAAAAGATATGCCTTGCAAGTTCTTTTGTAAAGTAAAATTTGGGGAGCAAAGCATCCAGCTGTAGGAAAAGGGTTAACTAAAAGTGAATAAAAATATATGTAGTAAATTAGGGTAGATATTCACAATGATATTTATTAAGAATGAATAGTTATGTTATAAAGTTAAATGGAAAATAATGCAATAGTAAAATAAATATCTTCATATCATGACAAAAATAATTATGACAAAATAAAGTCACACTCCTAATTTTCTCATGGCTTATTAAAAAAGTTGTTTTTCTTCTTGGTTCATGTGAGTTACTTCTGATTCAGAGCTGGCCATTTTATTGTAGTCTTGTGAGGGTCTGTGGAATTAACTCCGCGACTACAAGGGACATATAGATATTACTGTCAGAAATACCATAGCCATTTTAGCATGAAAAAACTCTTATTTTTTACTTAAGCTACATTTTATATAAACATACATATACAGGTCACCATTACACTACCACAACCAATATATGCTGTTGGTTTACTAACATTTGCTACAATTTTTATTTCAGCTCATCCTAGTGTCCAAAAGGTGGTGCTAGCATCATCTGCGTCAGATATCCCTGTTCAGTCTCATCCTGCTTCGGAAATCTCGATTCCTGCTGATCTGGATAAAATGATAACAGAACTGGCCGACTGGCTGGTATTGATCGACCAGATGCTGAAGTCCAACATTGTCACTGTCGGGGATGTGAAGGAGATCAATAAGACAGTTTCCCGCATGAAAGTAGGTGCACAGTGTAAAGGCTTGTCATGGAAACACTCAGCACTGAGGTGGATGAAATCTGCCTGCACCCCCCTTGTTTATCCCAGATTCTGGGGAAATGAGCTTAAAAAACTTCACTCTCTCTCAAACAGCCTTCCTGAGCTTGCTCCGTACTTGGAGATGCACAATGTTTTTGGACAATGTGAAGCTTTTTTGGCATTTGTCCTGTTTCGGGAAGATCAGGTTCACCAGCTGGAACTATGGACTCTGTGTTTTTAAATTGTAAAACTGATCTCAATCTGGGCACATAAGAATCAAAGTAACTGGTGTTACCATTACACCTAGTTTTGATGATGTCAGGTGATTTCTCGACTCACTTTTTCCAACTTACACTTTATAATGAGCTTTTTGTCTAAATGCTGACTTGGAAGAGAGAAGTTCCTAACTCTAAATTTATGACTATACATATACACCATCTAACTTCAATTTGTGAAGTTTTCCCTCCCACACAATCCCCTCTTCCCCATTGTTTGTATTCTATAGGATTACTGAAAATAATACACGCGATAGAAATTGGGAATGTCCAATCACTAACTTTGATTAAGTGTTTATTAAGTATTTTCCTAAGTATTTTACATCTGTTATCTCATTCACTTCTTGAAAAACTCGTGAGATAGGTATTGTTTTTGTTCCCAGGTTACAGGCATCCCAGGCAGAGGCTGTGGCACTGATGCAGGCAGGCGGTGCCAAGGCAGGACCACAGGAGCCAGAGGGCAGCTGCAGGGACCTGTTAGGAGAGCCAGGCTGGAGGGGGACAATGTGAGCTTTAGCCATCCAGAGGCAAAATAAGCGCTGTCCCTGGTATAGGCAGTGGAGTGAGTGCAGACAGGGGTTGGGGAACATGAGGGACACCAAGTTAACATTTGCACAATAAAGAGGTATAGTGGGAAGTGAGAGGCTTTATGGCAGTTCACCTTCATTTTGTGAAGGGGTGGCAGGGCAGCAAGCCCATTTGAACTTCTCGTTTAGAAGCCTTGGCAAGCGTCTATTTTTCCTACTCTTTCTTTAAAATTTTGACTGGACACTGATGATAATCAGGCTCAGTTTTAGTAAGAGACTGAGAATAGTGAGCAGGATGGAGTGGAGACTTACAAGGAAAAAGCTCTTTCTGAGTGACTAAGATGATGCTGTTGCAATTACTGGAAATAAGAAATAGAAAAAAAAAAGGGATGTGGATGAGGGTTTGATTGATTTCATTTCAGATATATTGTGTCGAGAGGATCTTAGGCCATTTAGAAGGAAATGATCAGCATTCATTGACATATCTCTCTGGGATTCAGGATTAGTAATTGTGAATAATCCATTTAGAAATAATATTTGATGCTATGGGAGTAATTCAAACCTGCAAAATGACTGAATTCATAAAGAGGAAGAGCTGATAGAGAATCTTTGCCAATTATTTGTACTGGCTGTAAATTGAGTTTTCAAATCTTTAGGGCTAAATATAGTTCTATACTTAAAACATTCTCTTCCTGATATTGTCAACTTTTCTGCCATATTTATCAGTACTGAAAAACAGTAACTTTTTAAAGCTATAGCTTTTCATGTCTATGGTTATTTAATTTGCAATTATTCAAATTAGCATTTTTCTTATAACTCACCTCCATTTCTGTGGGTGACACTAGTTTCTATTCACACCTGATAGCAGACATGCAAGGCATGACTGACAGCAATACTTGTTAATATTTTCAGAGCATTTTTTTTCAGTTTTCAAAGGGATGCTCATCAATTGAATTTCCTCAGACTGGATATATATGAATCATAAGTAGTTTATTATTTCTTTTGTGGACACAGAAATAAATTGCCTTACTGGAAATCCGGGTAAGAAGTGGGAGAGCTGAGATTTGAACTTGAAACATTTAACTCCAGATCCTGCTTTCTCTGCTGCATCATCAGTGTCACACTATTCCTTATAGGAGGAAGATAGCAATTTGATAGATATGAGAGTTCTTATATCACTTTTGAACTGTTCTTAGCAATCGTTTCTTCTCAACAGATCACAAAAGCTGATTTAGAACAGCGCCATCCTCAGCTTGATTATGTTTTCACATTGGCACAGAATTTGAAAAATAAAGCTTCCAGTTCAGATGTGAGAACAGCAATCACAGAAAAATGTGAGTTTAAAAGATTATATGTTATCCTGTTTTCCTGAAAATTGTCTCAAGTACACATACACTCAAAGATTATTCAACTAGTAATTAGTGTTATGTGATGCTGTGATTTATTAATAAATGTAGCTCTTATTTTTATTTTGGTGAACATTGTATAACAGTTATTTTAGAAATTCCTTAAAGTATTAATTGACATCAATTTATACACAGCTGGTTATAGTGCTGGCAGATGTGCTTTGTACAGTGGTCATGAGCTGGCAGCTTATGACCTGGCAGCAACAGAAATATCTTGTCTTATTTTTCTCTCCGTTTTGGTTTCAGCCAGTTTTGTCTGGTTTTCTGGTTTAGTCTGCAAGAAAATATAAACAGGAGCATAGCAAGATGCACAGGGCAAGGGTAGGGAACTCATTTTCCAGACTGGGAACAAAACCACATCTTCCCATCTCTCAACTCATCTTCTCAAAATTCATTCTCAAAATATTTATTGAGCAACTACTATGTACTTATATGCCCAGCACTAATTTGGAATTACTTTAGAGGCAAAATAGAACAAAGGGAACAAAAACATGTAGAACAATAATAAGAAATTTGCTCTCTGGCATTAGAGCATCTGTAAAATCTGTATAGCACGCAAAACAGTCTCAGTTCTCAGGAATGTCATCTGGGGACCATCAGAGTCCACTGCATTTTTCCCTCCGTATAGCCCTGGGCCCTGTCTGTAGCTATTTTGTACTATATATACTCTTTAAAACGTCCTGACATTTCCTAGCCTCCTTATTTTATTTGTGTTACTTTTTTTCCTCTTGGTCTTTTCTCCCCAGGTGAAATTCTACTCAGCAACTAAAATGTCACTCTCCCTGTGAAGTCTTCCCTATCCTCTTTTGGTCCTCGTGAACTATAACATTTTCTACCTTCAGTTACTGTGGCAGCCTTTTCCCCCAATAAATACCTCGTAGATCTCAGTTACTTCAATTCTCTCCTCTACATACATGGTGAATAATCAACTCTCTGGCCCTGAGGCGCTCACAGTACCTGATGTAAAATAGATACTTCATAAATATTTGTGGCAGTATATAAACTGGGAGGTGTTTTATTACCCCGCATAGGGAAGGGAAGAAAGTCAACTATTCCCCATATGAAAAGGTATTTTGATTCTATTCTGGTACCTCAAGATCACTCCCCCTAAGATGATCAATCAAAAGTTTGTTTCTTTAAATTTTTCCTTAACTTGATGCTAACAAAGAGAAAATGAAAGAAGGAAGGGGAAGACAGGAGAGGGGAGAAAGATACTAGAAAGAGAGCATATGAAGGGAAAAAATAAGAAAAAAAGGAGGAAAAGAATCAGCATGGATTTTTTTTTTTATGTTGAAGAGCTGCTGGGTAACTTAGATTCATAAAACTTGAATCTACTTTTAATGTTTCTTTAGAACTTGAGCATACAAAAATACTTTTTTAGAAGCATTTCATTTTGCAGTAAAACAAGCGTGAAAAGCATATTTAAATGGTTGGTTTTATTTTAAAATCAAGATTACCTTAGAGCATCTCTTTTGAGGATGACAAGTGACTATATTTACATCTTAAATTTGTATGCATGTATATGTATCAAGCACTGTTAAACTCTGCCTTCATCTAACCAGATAGGAATTTATTTTATTTATAATTTGGTTTATCAGCTATTTTTATTGTGAATTAGTACATTTAAAATAGAGTTTAATCCAAAACTTCATTCTTCAGTAATAGTTTTAGAAATATATCAGTTGTATAATATACCAGGCATGTATTAAAATTCCTTTAAAATGTATGTGCAACTTGTCTCCTTTCTCTTCTATTTGTAAACTTATTTATGACACATTTGGTATCAGGTATTTTTCCATTTCCTAATAGTGATTTTCTGGGATTATTTTTTCAATGCCTCCTCCAGTGGAAAAGGTCAAGAACCAGTGGGACAGCACTCAGCATGGAGTCGAGTTAAGGCAGCAGCAGCTGGAGGACATGACCATCGACAGCCTACAGTGGGATGACCACAGGGAGGAGACCGAAGAGCTGATAAGAAAATATGAGGCTCGGCTCTATATTCTTCAGCAAGCACGGCGGGACCCCCTTATCAAGCAGATTTCTGATAATCAGGTAAGACTCAGATATTTTTTGCCACTATCAGTGTGTTGGCTATACTTGTGTGTTATGTAATGCTTAGTACTTTTTTATGATGTGATGTTTTTTCAAATTCTTAAGAGTACATATTGAAATTTGTATAAAGAATTTGACAGGGAAGTTTTTGAAAAGTTTCTGGAGGAGTAATAAATAGAAATATGCAGGTGTCCTAGATTTACACGAACTGACTCTTTGCAAATGGAACACCCCCATGAACAAGTGTCTAGAAAAAGAATATTTTACTATTCCAGAAACTCTCCTTTTGCTGGTTTCCATCTCTACCCTGAAGGTTGTTTTTATTTGTGAGATTTCCTGAATCTTTTGTTTGAGTAGTGAAGACATTAAATCACAAATAATCTTAATTTCTATTGATACTTTTATAACTAAACCATTTTATCAGTATCGTCACAGCAGATACTTTTTTTTGCAATCCATTTCATGACAGATCAGAATGGATGATATTTAGCACTTAAGGTATTTTTAAGGTGCTGTTTTATATTCTTTCTACAATCATAGAAGTCATTCTTGAATTGGAAGTTATGGTTGTTAGGTTATATTTTAGTGTACCATTTATTTTCCCTTTAGATAGTTTAAGATGAGTGTACATTTATGGAGAATATAATAATGAATATATGGGAAACAAATCTAAAACTGATAGCAAGTAGACTTTCCACAGTTAACATCCAAAAGGCACGAGGACACTAGTCCCAGTTTCCTGGATCTTTTACCCCACTTATATTTACTGGCTGTTTGTACTAAATGACTCAAATGTAGTAATCAGCCAAGCTGATTGTCCTGGACATAAGACTTGAGCATACAATTAAAAGCGGTCCCAATGTTCAATCATCATATTCAGAATAATCTTTCCTAATCAACACTATGGTTCTCTGAAATTTCAGTGTGGATTTTTATGCTACTCATTCCATGTAAAATATTATAGGAACGCTCATTTGTCATTTAGATTTCTTGGGGAGTATCTTGACCCAGGGGCTCTCAGAGATGGAGTAAGCACATCAAGGAACCAAGATCTATGGATACGCTTAGCAGAAGTTTAGTTATTCAAGGAATTCCCAGTAAACCTTGCTTGGTTCCAAGCACTTCACATTGTAGACACTCGGAGATCCAGGGGAGAGAGACAGAAGACTTCCTTCTTAGTGCCTTTTCCATTTCTCTAAACATGTAGAGGAATTCTAAGTTTATCCCTTTATGATGGATTTCCTGCAGGATCAGGTGAATAGCAGAGAGGATGAAAAACACAAGTGGTTTTAGGTAACGGAGGAGCTCAAGGAGGAAAAGATAATAATCTTTTAATATCATCTGTTAAGTGCCTGATAACTTTCTTAGACATTTTCCTTTTCACTTCTAGATTGTTTTGTTTTAAGCTTACCTACCAGTATTTTCTTCTTTGTTTTCTTCTTTTGATATCTGTGTCCAAAATATATTACAGCCTACTGGGATGGCCCAGTGTTTTGATCATACTAATTACTGAGTGAGCAAGTCTAACAATTATACTTGAAATTATACCTTAGATATTGCTTCAAGAACTGGGCCCTGGTGATGGCATCATAATGGCGTTCGATAATGTCCTGCAGAAATTGTTGGAAGAATACAGTAATGATGACACAAGAAATGTGAAAGAAACAACTGAGTACCTGAAAACATCATGGATCAGTCTCAAACAAAGGTAATGTGAAGGCCCTGGCAGATGAGAGTTTGATTGCTTTGGCCTTTTCAGGAAACATGCCAAATATGTGACAATTAGAAGTTCATTTTATCATTATTTTTCCCATTTTTAGGTTGTACTTAGTATCACAGCACAGACTGTACACACTCATACTCACACACAATATCTATATCTCTATGTATATATCTGTACATATATTGAATATATACATTATCTACCTGAATTTCTACAGTGGTTTTTCCTTGAATAAATCTGAGCCTTGCCAATGATTATCATATGAATTCTGATTTTCTCCTGCCTCTTGGTATTACCTCCAATATTTGGTCCCATGCTGATGGAAGGAGTATTGTGTTAGGTACAGACGCTTTAGGGTAATATTGTCCCTAATAGTCATTAAAATAGTGTGCTGTTTGGCCAAATCTCATTAGTTGAGCATGCACACACTAGACCTCTGAAATGTGCTGTGTGTCATTTAGTCACCAACTAATTTATTATCTTTTCTTTCCTTATTCTGTCTAGTATATTTGGAACAGTCTAAAATAGATATGTGCTTATAAGAAATTTTTGTGTCACTTGAGCACTTAGGATTTGAGGAACTATAAACAGTGCTTAGCATCTCTTTAAGATTGCATATTTATATTCATCATCAGTAGAAAAGTGTTTACTTACATAGTATTGGGAATACCTGTCTAAATGAAATTATGGTTCCACGCACATCTTTATATATTTGTATGCATTACAACTGCCTGAAATCTAACTTGATATCAAAACACATTTATTTTGTGAATAAAATGGATAACATTCAAGCATTTTATGTTATATATCACTGGTAATAAAGTATGACTTAATATTTAATAACATTTTGACATTTTATACATTTTTAGGATGCCATTTTTAGTTAGAATCTATAAAGTAGACATTTTTGAAAAACTCAAAGAGAATGATAAGGGCAGTGTATGAGCCTAAATGTGTTGCTATATATACCTGGGATTCTGGAGGAAACAGGGCAGGGGCAGCAACTACAAAAACTCAAATATTTAAATCACAATATAGCTATGTAATCTTGGTCTTTCTAGCATTTGAATACAGCTGTTCTAAGAGATTATTTGGCTATGGGAATAAATCCAAAATTAAGGCAGAGAGGAGGGTGAACTGAAAATAATTTTATTGTACAAACTTCCAGTTATTAAAATAATTAAGTGTTGGGGGGATAGTATATAGCATGGTAACTACAGCTAATAATATTGTACTGTACGTTTGAAAATTGCTAAGAGAGTACATCTTAAAAGTTCCCATCACAAGAAAAAAAATGGTAACTTTGTATTGGGTGATGAGTATTTACTAAAATTAATGTGGTAATCATTTTGCAGTATATGCCAGTGTCAAATCATTATGTAGTATACTTGAAACTAATACGATGTTAGATATCAATTATATCTCAGTTAAATAAACAGCTTTACTGTGTGGAGATTTCTGGACCTACTAAACATAGAGCTTCCATATGATCCAGCAATTCCACTCCTAGGTATTTACCCAAAGGACACAGAAACATCAATTCCAAAGAGCACCTGCACTCCTATGTTTATAGCAGCACTGTTTACAATAGCTAAGCTTTGGAAACAACCCAAATGCCCAAAAATAGATGACTGGATCAAGAAGATGTGGTACATATATACCATGGAATATTACTCAGCATTCAAAAAAGATAAACACATGCAATTTGCAGCAACATGGATGGCACTGGAAGGGATCATGCTCAGCGAAATAAGCCAAAAAGAAAAAGAAAAATACCGGATGGTCTCACTCATAGCAGGAATCTAGAAAACTTAAATAAGGGACAGGAAATGAATATAAGAAAGTGAAAATCAAAATCAACAAAAAACTATGAACCAGAGACACTTTTTGGGGGGTGGGGGCGGGAGGGGAAGGATTGGGTCAGAATGGGCGTTTGCAATTGTGTGGGGAATATAAAAATAAAATTTAATATTTAAAAAAAAAAAAAAAATAAACAGCTTTAACATAAATGGAGATCATCCTTAAGCACACATTATGTGTTTCCAAAAATTTTACATATTAGAGTTATGAGGTTGTTTTTGTTGTAAACAATGCCAGAAAAATTGATCACTTAAGAATGTATGGCCTGCTTTATTTAGCACCTCCAATTTTTTTTTTTTTGCTTTTACTTTGTAAATATTTTAAGACAGCAGAAGTTAGGCTAGATGGAAGAGGCAATTAAAAATGAATTACATGCCAAGATGATCTTTCATTTATCATAGCTGAGACAACTACAATGTTCCAATTTTATGCTAGTTACAAGTAGATTTCCTTATGCCATTTTTTTCCTGTAATTTTTGGGAAATTGGTAAATATATTAATATTCAGACAAGATTTAGTTATCTATAAACAAGGGAGAATACAACAAAACTGTGGTGATGGCTTCATGAGTGATGGTGGGAGTATTTGTGTATTAAGAGGATTTTCTTTATTCAAGCATAATGATGATTACAATTTTTATTTCCAACTTTTATAGTTTTTGTATGTTTATCCAAAAATTATAAATTTTTTGATTTGTTCTAATTGGGAATCTTTCTAGAGTATATAGATCTTTTCTTGCCTTAAACATAGTTTATGACCATATATTAAACATTTTTTGAATGCCAATCATTTTTGTGAAGATAAAATTAAAGGCTTTAATAGCTATATGCAGCCTTACAGTTCTTCTAAACAAGGCCTACTCAGTCTTTTTTTTTTTTTTTTTTAAATTTTTTTTTTAATAGAGGCATGTTTTATTTATTTATTTATTTATTCATTTGTTTGTTTTGTTTCTACATGCACTGGGTACAGTCAGAAGCGCGGGAGGGTGAGAGAACTCACCAGAGCCAGAGCGGGGAGCAGAGCAGGCAGAAGAATCCAAGTACACTGCTGAGGGGAGCAGCGGCGGCAGGAGAGGTCTGCGCGCCATGTGGGACCCTCCTCCGGTGGCCGGGGAGCAGCCTGGGATCGAACCGGTGCCGCAGAGGCTGCTGGCAGCCTCGCAACCCAGCGTTCAACCGCTGCGCCACCGGGGAGGCCCTACTCAGTCTTTTTTTTAATTAACCCCCTAAGAAGCCATTTCAGATCTCTGCCCTCTGTGAAATTTTAATACTGTAGGTTTGTTATGTATCTGTTTCTGAACTTTATAGTTATGCTTTGTACATAACAAAGAGTGAATTTTTTCCACTTCCCTCAGTCACAAAGAACTAAAATTAATGTGGTAATTACTTACTGTTTCTACTGACTGTTTCTGCTGAGACTTCCAATTCTAATTCAGTGCTGCCTGGCTCATGCATGTAAAATGGCATGTTCAAAGTCACATAGCATAGCTAACATGACATTTTTCTTTACAAAATTATAATAATACTCTCCAGACTCTTGAATTCTGAAGAATTGGTAATTTTTTTCTAACTACTATACTTCTGAGGTTTTGTGCTTTTTTAGTGTGTATGTTTTATTGGGTATCTTCTTGTTGTCAGACTCTTCACATACATTATTTCAATTAATCCTCACAACAGCTGTAGGAGACAGGCAGAATTTTCACCAATGTGATGTCTATGAATAAATTGAAGCCAAAGAATGTAAGGAATACCCAAGATCACACAGCTCAGACAGAGATGGGATCGTGGCTAGCAGACTGTCTGCTAATGTTGGTGGCAGCTCTGTGTACACGCCTCTGGGATCTGTCTGTGACTCCACTTACTGTTTCTTACCTATGATGCATTTAGAAACCAGACTGATTACAGATATGGGGGCCTCTGCTGTTAAGTGTTGTCAGTGCAGGACGTAGGCACTGTGCCCGCCGTCAAACTGCTAGGAGGCCTCACACACACCTTTCCTCTTATCTCCCAACTGTTTTGTGTTTACATCATTGTCAGCCAAGTTCTGCAGGGGTGAGGGGTTATTGCATTTGCACATAGAACACTGAGGTTGTGGCATAGTTTGTGATATGTTTAATATCAGTTGTTTTGTTTTTTTTAGATTATTTATGCATACAAGAGCTTGGGTACAGGCCAGAGATGGGGGGGTGAGAGGATTCATCAGAGACAGAAATACTTTGCTGAAGGGAACAGCGGGTGAGACATGAGAGTTCTGCTGCAATATGTGGGTTGCTCCCCGGACTGACCAGGGATTGAAGTCATGCTGCCGCAGCTGAGGATTACCTCACAGTGCATTGCTTAACCCCTTGTGCCACCAAGGAGGCCCTGTTTAATATCAGTTGTAAGGAAATGTTTCATATGAATTACATTTGGCCTAACTAAGTTGGCTTTTCATCCACAGTCCGTTTATCTATGCTGCCAGAATTCAGTACACTTTGATAAACCGAAAGCTTTGAATTGACATGAGGCTATTGACTAGTCTTTGCTTTACCCCACTTACTGAGAATGGTCTTATTTCTAATTGCAAAATATTAATGTGTTTTTTGTCGTCACCCAGACCCTATTTGGGGTGGTATGTCATAGATGCCTTTATAACAATAGATCTAATGTAAAAAAGTTCTTACCTGGCTTCTGCTATTTTGGATTCCGTAAGCAACAAGTCTTTATATACATTTTAAACTAACTGACATATCTTACCCAGAACTCTGCCTGGGAATTTTGTTCCTTATATCTCTTCATGACAATTAACAAGCTTTTTTTAACTATAAATTGAGTAGTGATAGTTGGCATGTACTTATAGTAACTTTTGGATTGTAGTGAGATTTAAGATGCTTGATTTGGTTCTGAAATGTTCTTTTAGTCCTTTGTGTGTGTGTTTGTGTATGTGTATGTATATGTGTGTATGTATATTTGTGTACATATACATACAAATGCACACATAGTTGCTTGTGCTAAAATATTTGAAAGGTAATGAGACAATGACTTTATTCTATAAAGAATATCTGTAAAGCATATCCAGAATCACTAATTACTATATATTTTTCTCTTTGCCCTTATCTCCCAGAAGCCATAGCTTGCCTGTGTCAT